CATCCGACTCCAGCGAAACAACAGGTGAGCCCTTTTTTCTCCCGGGGGAGAGGCGGGAAGAAGGGCAGCAGCAGTGAGGGGCTCCCTGGTCGCCCTTGGCTGCTTCTCAGAGCTGCGCCAAATCAAGTCCGTTCCCCCGGAAGCCTTTCAGTGCCACGCTTGCTGCCCCGGCTCTTGAGCAGGCGGGCTCTTGCCTGAACTTGGTGGAGGAACAGAATAATAAGCCTTGGTCTTCTGTTTTCTTCTTCCTCCTCCTCCAAGGTTTGGTCCAGCGTTGCGTCATTATCCAGAAAGACCAGCATGGCTTTGGCTTCACCGTCAGTGGGGACAGGATCGTCTTGGTGCAATCTGTACGGCCAGGTGAGCAGTGTGGGGAGTTGGGGGGTGGGCTTTGGGTCCTGGCCTCTGCTCACAGGCCCCTGCCTCCTTCCCCTGACTCAACCCTCCACAGAAACAGGAACTGAATTTAACTTGGAAAGTGAGCTGGCACCTTTGCCAGTTCCCACCTGCAACATGGGGGTAATCATGTTCTACCTTAAAGGACTGGTGTAAGGACTGCAACATAATGGCCCGGTTTGAACATAACACTCCTGGCTCCACAGCCCATGGTTTTATAAGCTAGGAATCATTATCACACTTGTACACACAGCCCTCTCTTCACACAGCGGCTTCAGTGCTTTGAACCTCTCCTGTTCAAAATCACAGTTTCTTTTTTCATCTGGAAGAGGGAACTATGGTTTAATGTCCATTTTAGGGCCAGGATCATGAACTCGAATCCAGCTGCGGTTTTAAGATCCTGGCTAGCAAAATAAACACGCAAATGGTGTGGGGAAAATAAGAATAAAAAATACACAACACCTGCAGATTATTTATGGCATAATCTCAAAAGTCTGTCTGTCTCCTGTGTCGTGTTTTGCGCTGCTGTTTCCACAGGGGGGGCCGCCATGAAAGCCGGCGTTCAGGAGGGTGACCGGATTGTCAAAGTGAGTAGTTCTGAACTTACCCAGGCAGAAAAACAACCCATTCTGCCATACTCCTGAGCACCTCCCTCGCCCTTGGGCAAGCATCCCTTCCTAAAAATTACCGCCCCAGGAAAAGTTTGCATCTCATTTGCTCCCCATCCTCCTTCCAAGGACCTGAAGGTGTTGTCTCTTCTGTCTTAACCCCGTTCCTTCCCCTCACAACTGCACTGCAAGGTGGAGCGACCATCCCGAGGTCGTTCAGCAAGGGTTGCGATGGATGAGCAGGGATTTGAACCAGTTTATCTCCAGAGCAAGCGCCAGGCTGGCTCTGAGGACGTGCCTGGTCCTGGGCGTCCAAGAGGAGACCTCCGTCTCTTAAGATGCCAGGGGCATATGGTGGGGGTGTGTGGAGGGAGCCTGTTGTCTCTCCAGCATGACTCCCCCAGCACCCTCTGATTCCCTCTCTTCTTGTGCCAGGTGAACGGGACGATGGTGACCAACAGCTCCCACCTGGAAGTCGTGAAGCTCATAAAATGTGAGTGGGCCATGCCGGCAGGCACTGAATTAAAACACCGGCTTTTAGCCCTTCTAATATGGGGGCAGTGTGTGTGTGTGTGTGTGTGTGTGTGTGTGTGTTTGTGCCCTTGGCAAGAAGGTTGGAGAAACTCCCCAGCAAGGGTACTGAAGACCCCTGTGGGCACATAATAATAATAATAAACAAAATAAAATTTTATTTACATCCTGCCCTCCTCAGCCGAAGCCGGGCTCAGAGCACCTAACAACAATAAAAATAATACAGCATTCTAAAATCAATTCATTTAAAAATCAATTCAAAATCAAATTAATGGCAACCATGGGCTAGAGTTCTGTGAGGATGACCAAAGGAGGGGGTCAGACAGTGCCTTGGCCAAAGGCCTGGTGGAACAGCTCTGTCTTGCAGGCCCTGTGGAAGGATGTCAAGTCCCGCAGGGCCCTAGTCTCTTGGGACAGAGCGTTCCGCCAGATCGGGGCCACAGCCGGAAAAGCCCTGGCTCTGGTTGAGGCCAGCCTAACCTCCCTGTGGCCTGGGACCTCCAAGATGGTTTTTTTTGAAGACTGTCAGGTCCTCAGTGGGACATACCAGGAGAGGCGGTCCCGTAGGTACGGGAATTTCTTTGAGGGACAGAAAAGGGGAACAGGCTGGTGAAAAAGAATGAGTGCATAGTTACACTATGGAACTCTCTGCTGCAGGAGCCAGCATTGCTTCTGAATGTTAGTTGCTGGAAACCTCATGAGGGGAGAAAATGCTCTTGGGCTCAGTTCCTGCTTGGGGCATCTGGTCAACCACTGTGAGAACAGAATGCTGGACTAGACGGCCCATTGGCCTGATTCAGCAGACTCTTCTTGTTGTTGTGAAACGCTTCGTTTGCACACATTTTGCTTCGTATCTCAGTTCTACAGATGCTTGAAATAATCATCATCATCATCATCATCATCATTTTTATTTATACCCCACCCTCCCCGGCCAGAGCCAGGCTCAGGGTGGCTAACACCAGTAAAATGACAATGAAAACATAATGGCGGGGGGGGGGGGGAGAAAAAAAAAACAAATTTAAAATATGGGTTAAAATGCAATTTAAAATGCAGCCTCATTTTAATTGTAGCCCATAGATCAAAACCATAAGGGGAGGGAAACATAAGGGTCAGACGGAGTCCAAACCAAAGGCCAGGCGGAACAGCTCTGTCTTGTGGAAAGGCCTTGTGGAAAGATGTCAAGTCCCTCAGGGCCCTGGTCTCTTGGGACAGAGCGTTCCATCAAGTCGGGGCCAGTGCTGAAAAGGCCCTGGCTCTGGTTGAGGCTAATCTAACCACCTTGCAGCTCAGGACATCCAAAGTGTTGTCATTTGTGGACCTTAAGGTCCTCCGCGGGGCAGACCAGGAGAGGCGGTCCTGTAGGTGCGAGGGTCCTATGAATGAAATCTGGGGGTTATGGTTCATTTGGTCTGGTGGGCGTGTGCCCCCCCCCGGGAGACGGGGACCGCCAAACGGCTCATGTTTTTAACACGAATCTTTCTGTCTGTCTTGTCCCTTTCTGACCTCCCCCCTCACTGCTCCCCCCAGCCGGTGCTTACGTCGCTCTCACCCTCTTGGGCTCCCCTCCTGCCTCCGTGGGGTTCCTGGGCTCCCAGCAGGATGGGCACCAGCCAGGGGCTCCTCAGGTCACACCTGCGTGCCCCCCTCCGCCCCCTCCGCCACCGCTGCCTCCGCCGCAGCGCATCACGGGGCCAAAGCCACTGCAGGTATGAGAGCGGGGTCCTGTGCAGTGGGGCTGGAGGACAGGGCAGAGGCCGTAGGCAGCCTTAACTGACCTCGCTTCCTCCCCTCTCCGGCCTTTTCGAAAACTCTTAGGATCCAGAAGTCCAGAAGCACGCAACACAGATTCTCCGGAACATGCTGAGGCAGGAGGAGGCAGAGCTGCAGGTAGGAATCATAGGATCTTAGAATTGAAGGGTTGGAGGGGCCCTCCAAAGGTCATCTACTCCAACCCTCTGCGGTGAAGGAATCACAGATGAAGAATCTCTGACAGATGGTCCATCCAGGGGAGTGGAGTGGGGCTCTGCTGGACCTGTCATGGTGGTTTTGCTTGCCTCCTGAGCCTGGGGACTTGCCCGCAGCAGAGCAGTTCATTGTGGTGGAATGGGACTCCCTTCCTAGTTCACTGCACTGGGCTCTCTTGTGGAGCCACAGGGCCCTTTTGGGCTTGTAAGTGCTTGTGGAGGGACGCAGGTGGCGCTGTGGGTTAAACCACAGGGCCTAGGGCTTGCCGATCAGAAGGTCGGTGGTTCGAATCTCCGTGACGGGGTGAGCTCCCGTTGCACGGTCCCTGCTCCTGCCAACCTCGCAGTTCGAAAGCAAGTGCAAGTAGATCAATAGGTACCACTCCGGCAGGAAGGTAAACGGCGTTTCGATGCGCTGCTCTGGTTCGCCAGAAGCGGCTTAGTCATGCTGGCCACATGACCCGGAAGCTGTACGCCGGCTCCCTCGGCCAATAAAGCGAGAAGAGCGCCGCAACCCCAGAGTCTTGACATGACTGGACCTAATGGTCAGGGGTCCCTTTACCTTTAAGTGCTTGTGGGGTGGTGGGATACAGGCAGGACTGAGGCCTCTGGGTGTTGCTGGATTCCCTGACCATTGGCCATCCTGGCCGCTGCTGCTGCTGCTGGGAGTTGGAGCCCCACAACTTGCCTGATCTCCCCCCGTTTGAAGCCAGCAGCCAACCCATGTTGCCGTTTCTCTTACTGCCACCCTCTTGCAAATTGGAGGGGTTTTCTGTCCCTGTGCAGAAACCAGCCCCTGCCGTCCTTGTCTCAACCAATTCTAACAACTGGGACGGCGGCCATCACTTTTTTGAATTGATGATTGTGGCACTTGCCTTCCTAGGTGTGTGACATCATACTGGGTTCATAAGAAAAGGCTTAACTAATTGTAAAATGACTAACCAAGGGGAACCCAAGGGGCAGAGTTAACTGTGTAGAAGGTTTAAGCACAGAGGGTTTTTTGGGAGTTAGAGTTGTTGAGAAGTCAGTCTGGAGTTAGAGAAGAGACAGAGAGGATAAGTCTGTGGGTTGGGCTAGTCTGGTGTGAGAGAATTTGTTAAGAGGAGTCAATCAAACAGTTGAGATAATCAGTCAGAAGGTATTAGGAAGGTATAGGCCAGTAAAGAAACTAAAGTTAAGATACTGTCAGGAATATTATCTGAGAAACCATAAGTTTGTTAATGTTTGTAAAATAAAGTTGTTGTTTTTTAGTTCACTTCTAACAACTGTCTGGACTCAGTGTTTTACCTGAGAGTAATGGGTTGGTGGCAGCGGGGAAGCGATCACAGGGCGATCACAGGGATCAATAGACCGTTAAACATCCGGGGACCCTGTGTGATCGCCACAGTGATCTTGGCCAATGCTTTATGTTTTGCTAGCCCTTTGCAAAATCTTCTGGACAGCCTTGGCTCCCTGTCAGTCGGGGGTGGGGGGGTTGGATCTCTCTTTTGAGAAAGCAACCTGTAATCTTGGTACCTGCCTTCCACCCTGGAACAGCGTTGCTACGAGGCCTACAATCGGAATCCGGCTTCCCTGATCGAGGAGCAGATTGAAGGCGCTCGCCGGAGAGTCAGTCAGCTGCAGCACAAGATCCGCCAAGAGACAGGAGGGTTTCTGGTGAGTGAGTGGCTGTGGGGGTGGGGGCTGTGTTGCGGAGGGGGCAGCGTGGACCGTCAGCTGCAGTGAGGATGGGTGAAGGTTGTGACAGGCTGAGCCTGGCGATGTTCAGCGGACAGTGGAAGTTGGTGATGAGAGATCCTGTGCCGCCCACAGAGCACGCCATGCTCCATCCAAACAGAGCAGGACACAGTTCTCCTGTTGTGGGCGGCTGCCAGCCACACACTCCTCCATCCCATTCTCCTCTTCCACCTGGAGCCCTGTTTTTCTCCCCCAAATTTCAGTTGGCATTCTGCAGCCACAGAACAAATATGCTCAGTCCCCAGTGGGGAATGCATCTTGCCACATCAGGCTTTTGTCCCTTATAAAGTAATTATTCTATAATGATAATACAGTGGTACCTTGGGTTACATACGCTTCAGGTTACAGACTCCGCTAACCCAGAAATAGCGCTTGAGGATGATAACAGAAATCGTGCTCCGGCGGCGCGGCGGCAGCAGGAGGTCCCATAAGCTAAAGTGGTGCTTCAGGTTAAGAACAGTTTCCAGGTTAAGAACGGACCTCTGAAACGAATTAAGTACTTAACCTGAGGTACCACTATAATAATAATGATGATGATAGTAGTAGTAGTAGTAATAATAATAATAATAATAATAATAATAATTTATTATTTATACCCTGCCCATCTGGCTGGGCTTCCCCAGCCACTCTGGGCGGCTTCCAACAAAATATTTAAAAACCGTAATACATCAAACATTAAAAGCTTCCCTAAACAGGGCTGCCTTCAGATGATGTCTTCTAAAAGTCTGGTAGTTGTTCTTCTCTTTGACATCTGGTGGGAGGGCGTTCCACAGGGCAGGCGCCACCACCGAGAAGGCCCTCTGCCTGGTTCCCTGTAGCTTTGCATCTCGCAGTGAGGGAACCGCCAGAAGGCCCTTGAGGCTGGACCTCAGTGTCTGGGGAGAACGATGGGGGTGGAGACGCTCCTTCAGGTATACTGGGCCTTTGAGGCCGTTTAGGGCTTTCAAGGTCAGCACCAACACTTTGAATTGTGCTCGGAAACGTACTGGGAGCCAATGCAGGTCTTTCTAAAATAATTTTGAAATGCCTGGGGAGAGTGTTGCTGTTGCTCTCAGGTCTTGCTTGTGGGCCTCGCTTTGGGGCATCTGGTCAGCCACCATGAGGGCAGCTGGCCTGATCCAGCAGCAGCCAGACTCTTCTTATGTTCAGAAGCAGTCTAGGTTCTTGGGGGCATTTGGCCACTGTGAGACCAGGAGGCGGGACTAGCTGGGCCGCCTTTGGAAGCCAGGCCCTTCCGATAGTCTTAGGATTGATCCCAGTGTTGCTTTTCTCCATCCTCCCACCATTCTTACAGGGAGGGTCAATCTGATCCTGAGCTCTCAACCTCTTTCCCTTTCAGGATTCCACCACCCGGCTCTTCGGTGACTTCAGCAGCTCCCGAGTCACCGATGGTGAGTTGTTCTGTGGGACAGGATGCCAGGGCCAGACAGCCTCGGCACCTCCCTCCTTCCAAGCAGCAAAGGAGGTTCCCACTGATTTGTGGGCCTTGTTTTCAGAAACGGTGTGAGTTTGTGTGTGTCAGGGGGGTCAGGGCTAGCTGAGCTTTCTTCCTTATTTGCTGTTCTTCTACATTTAGGGAACATAATGGAAAAAACAAATTCCCTATGCATAGAAGTGTGCAAAATTCATTTACGCATTTTCTTTATCCTACTCTTCAACCCAGCACACAGACACACACAAAAAACTCTCCAGAACAGCTTACAGACAAGACTGCCTGTCTCTGCCCCGCTTCAGGCTTCCAATCTAAAAAGACTCGGCACAAAAGGAAAATGGATTAGGAGGGAGGAGGAAATAAGCAAAGTCATGTGCTCATTGTTGGTTGAAAGTTCCTTCTGGGATGGAAGCGGTTCCAGGAGGAGGAAGCCCCAGGTGCAGAGGCAGTCTGTCTCGATTCCTAGGTTCTTAAGGAACTGTGTTGACAGGGTGCTGGACTAGATCATAGAATCACAGAATTCTAGGGAGTTGGAAGGGACCCCAGGGGTCATTTAGTCCAACCCACTTTGACGTGATTCAGTAGCGGCCAGGCTCTCCTTATGTTCTGGTATGTCCTTGAATCTCTCCTGCCAAATACGGACAGTTTCTTAGTTTCTGCCCGGGCTCTTAACTGTGTCGTTGTCCCCCCTTCTGCATTCTCCAGGACGCCTCTCCTTGGACTCTCAGGACGGTGACAGTGGCATGGACTCTGGCACAGAGCGGTTCCCCTCCGTCAGCGAGGCAAGTGCTGAAGGGGGTGCTTGGGGTTCGGCTTCCTTGGGCCGGTAATGAAAGTGGTGTGTGGGTGTGGGTGGTCTCAGTAATGCAATTTCTCTTCCTGGAGCAGATCTCCCTGAACCGGAATTCGGTCCTGTCCGACCCCGGCTTGGACAGCCCCCACACCTCCCCAGTCATCACCTCCAGAATGTTCCAGCACCATCGGCGCCAGGGCTCAGACACGCCATTCTCCCCCTCCGCAGAACAGGTGAGGGTCCGGACTTCCTGCCCCCCCACACTTCCCCATTTTTAAAAGCACCCCTTGAAAAATTACCCCTGCCTCTCTCGCTTTTCTGAGCCCCTTGAGCAGAGGCCAGCAAATGTTTTCAGCAGGGGGCCAGTCCACTATCCCTTGTGGGGAGCCAGACTATATTTTTGGGGGGGAAATGAACGAATTCCTATGCCCCACAAATAACCTAGAGATGCATTTTAAATAAAAGGACACATTCTACTCATGTAAAAACACGCTGATTCCCAGACCGTCCACAGGGCAGATTGAGAAGGTGATTGGGCCGGATCAGGCCCCCGGGCCTTAGGTTGCCTACTCATGCCCTTGAGCTTCCCAACCCTTTAGCTGCGATTTTGATTCTCACCCACCCCATGACCACAAGGTGGGTAGGAACTTTCTTTGTGTGTGGGGGGGTGTTATTCTGGGAGGGTTTTTTCCCCCTTTTCTGTTTCAGATTTCTAAAACAACAGTAGTGAATACAGACCTTACCCATCAGAGACCATTAAATACACATATAATAACACCAGCTTGCTCTCCTTCTGAAACTTCCATTTTAGATAATAAAGCTGAGACATAACTATTCTCAGCTTCTTCCCCCCCCCCAAAAAAAACCCCAACAACTTGTGGTTCTTCCTCCGCAGTTTGTGATGTGTCTCACCCTGATAAATGACCTTTTGCAGGGCTCGGATCGGACGCTGAGGCCGCTCATCATTGGTCCAGAGGAAGATTACGACCCGGGATATTTCAACAATGAGGTAGTAGCGCCATCCCTGCCTCAGCCGTGCTTTCTTGGTGGGGGGGTGGGGGGAGCGGTAACAGGCCTTCTAATAGTAGAGTAGGATGGGGTTTGCTGGTTGGCCAAGGCATCTCCTACTCAGAATTTTAAAATATTACTATTATTATTCATTTTTATTAGCTGCCAAGTGCAAAATGCCTCTGGGAAACATACATACACTATGTAAAGACATTTGTCAGGTTTAAGAATACAGTCCCTCTCTAAGGCCACCCCCACCCCACTCCCAACGTCAGATCGTAACCCCTCAAAAGCCCCAGAGAATCTGCATTTCTGAATGGGACGCTGATAGGATGGGCCTTCTCGGTAGTGGCACCCACCCTATGGAACGCCCTCTCACCAGATGTCAAAGAGAACAATTACCAGACTTTTAGAAGACATCTGAAGGCAGTCCTATTTAGGGAAGCTTTTAATGTTTAATAGCCTATTGTATTTTAATAGTCTGTTGGAAGCCGCCCAGAGTGGCTGGGGAAGCCCAGCCAGATGGGCGGGGTATAAATAATAAATTATGATTATGATTATTATGATTATTATTGGTCTGATAGGATGTTAAGGTATGTGCCAGGAGGACCTCCCTGGGCAGAGATTAAGGGGACAGGGCACAGTAGAAAAGGCCAACCGCTGGATCTCAGCCAGAGGCAGGGTACAGAGAAGGGCCTGATGATGATGAGGATGAACACAGAATCTGAGCTGCCCATTAGGTATTGGAGGTCCTGAGCAAACAATGGCTTTGCAGGACCAAAACAAGCACTTTGAGGTGTACCCTGGAACATACAGGCAGTCCGTGTGGGCCCTGTGTTGTCGTCTGGCAACCACTGAGCGTGTTTCTTCTTCTTCTTCTCTCTCCTCCCCGCAGTGTGACTCCCTCTTCCAGGATTTAGGGAGGCTGAAGACACGGCTGGCGCACCTGGGCGTCTTCCTGCGCTACATCTTCTCTCAGGCTGACCCGAGTCCTCTGGTAGGATCCAAAGGGGCTCCTTCCTTCCTTTTACCCTTCGCCATTCCCAAGGCAAGGGCCCAGTGGGAAGAGATGCAGGGAGCATGCCACTGGGCAGTCTGGGCCGCTGCAGGGAGATGGGGGGGGGGTCAGGGATGTGCCGGGAAGGCAGGAGGGAGTATGCTGGTGTTTGTGTCAGACTTTTTGCACCCAGCCTGTGTGCCCAAGCACAGGCGCCGCAGCAGGAAGGAAGGAAAGAAGCTAGCTAGATTTCTGCCAGCTTTTTCCCACAGGCACAAGACCCAGGTGCTTGTCTTTCAAAAGAAAGCCAGTCAAAATCAGGCGCCTGGTGTCCTGCATGCCAGGCATTGGGTACCACAGGGCAAATGAACCTATGTGTGGAATACGCTGGTTTATTACGGGGTCCTCGCCATGGGATCACATTCACCCGCTGCTATACCAGCTGCACTGGCTCCCGGTGGAGCACAGGATCAGATTTAAGGTGCTGGTTTTAACCTTTCAAGCCCTATACGGCCTAGGACCCTCGTACCTACGGGACCGCCTCTCCTGGTACGTCCCATGGAGGACCTTACAGTCTTCAAACAAAAACATATTGGAAATCCTGAGCCACAGGGAGGTTAGGCTGGCCTCAACCAGAGCCAGGGCTTTTTCGGCCGTGGCCCCGATCTGGTGGAACGCTCTGTCACAAGAGACAAGGGCCCTGCGGGACTTGACATCTTACTGCAGGGCCTGCAAGACAGAGCTGTTCCACCAGGCCTTTGGCCAAGGCACAGTCTGACCCCTTCCTTTGGTCATCCTCATAGAACTCTAGCCCAATAGCTGCCATGAATTTGATTTGAAACGATTTTAAAATGAAATGATTTTCGAATGCTGTGCTGCTTTTATTGTTGTTAGCTGCTCTGAGCCCGGCTTCGGCTGGGGAGGGCAGGATATTATTATTATTATTATTATTATTATTATTATTATAAAACTCTCTGAATCAGAGGAGCTGCTCCCGGCATGAAGATTGGGGGCTGATAGCAGGCAAGCAGTTTTCTAGTTGTGTGCCTTAAGCCTATGTATTAATAAGGTGTATGTTTAAATTAAGATATTCCCAGCCCTCACTGTTGCCTCAGACGTGGAGATAACTTTTTTTCTCACATTACAAAGAGACCAAAGTGTCTTGTGAGCAGGATTCAGTCCCACTAAAAAGGAGGATGGAGACCCCAGAGAACCACTGCCGGCCACAGACTTGGTAGATGGCAGCTTTCTGTCTTCCCCTCCAAATCGGTTCTTTATTTAGAGCCATGAGGACTACAGCCTTCATTTCTGGAGGCTCAGTGGTGGGGCACGTGCAGAACATCCCAGGCCCCCAATCCCTGACTTCGCCAGGTCAGGACTACCCCTCCCTGAGAGCCACGGCTGCCAATCAGTGTTGACAATACTGAACTAGATTGGTCTGACCCAGCAGAAAGCAGCCTCTTCGTAATTCTTCAGCCCGTGAAATGCGCTTTGCTGTGGTTGCCACAGTTAGTTCCTGCTCGTGCGAGAATTGCGAAACACGCCCGCAATCCCTCCTCCGTTTCCAGCCAGGCAAGATGCCCCCATTTATCCTGGACTGGCATGGTGTCTTCCCTGGGGGCTCCCACGGCAACTCCATACCGGGGACGCCCTGCCAGTCCCACTTCCTCTCTCCCCCCTCACCCCACCCTTTTCGGCTCTCTTGTGGGCATTTCTTCATCCTCTCCGTTCCCTCTCACCCTGATGCGTGTTTTTTCTCCTCTTCCTTCCTCCTCTCTCTCTTCTCGGCAGCTGCTGTACTTGTGCGCAGATGTTTGCCAGCAGATGAGCCCCAAGGAAGCCCGCGGACTTGGGAAGGACATTTGGAACATCTTCCTGGAGAAAACCGCGGTGAGTGATTGGGCAGCCGGGGGCTTCCTCGCTCCCCCCACCCCCAGCCATATCACGTACCAGGTTGCACTGGTGTTGTGGGGTGTGAGAGGCCTCAGGAGGCCAGTGCTGGTGGGTCAACACTGTCTCTTTCTTTCTCTTCCTCAGCCTCTGAGAGTCAAGGTCTCCGATCAGTTGTTGGCTGAGATAGGTGAGTTTGACCTCTTGAGCAAAAGGGCTGTTGTGACCCTTTAAGGATTAGAAATCTAGGAGCAGAGACAGGTAGTGATGGCTTGGGGGAATTTCCTTCTCTTCCTGTGTGCTCCTTGAGTCAGTCTTGCCATGGGCGAACGGATCAGCCCCAAGAACAGTCCAGAAAGTCACTGGCCCAGAAGAGCCTTGGGAACAAGCTTTGCCTTCACAAAACAAATGAAATACCTTGAAAATCCCTGAAACGAGAAGTACTGTATTTTTTGCTCTATAAGACTCACTTTTCCCCTCCTAAAAAGTAAGGGGGAAAGTGTGTGCGTCTTATGGAGTGAATGCAGGCTGCGCAGCTATCCCAGAAGCCAGAACAGTGAGAGGGGTTGCTGCTTTCACTGCGCAGCGCTCCCTCTGGCTGTTCTGGCTTCTGAGATTCAGAAATTTTTTTTTCTTGTTTTCCTCCTCCAAAAACTAGGTGCGTCTTGTGGTCTGGTGCATCTTATAGAGCGAAAAATACGGTAATTGACAAGAAATATTATCTTATAGAAATAAACTAAATAGGTTTTCCTATTTTTTCCTTAAACTTTTTGATTTTTTGATTTAGTTTATTTCTATAAGATAATATTTCTAGTCGATTACTTCTCATTTCAGGGATTTTCACGTTATTTCATTTATTTTGTGTAATTTCTCGGTTCCGTGGCTGTCTTTCTTCCACGGGCTTTGCCTTCACGGCCGGAGGCAGCGATTCTTCTGAACACCCCATTGCTGGAAGCCTCAGGAGAGCAGAGCGTGCTGTTACACTTGGGTCACGCTTGAGGGTTTCTGGGGCATCTGGTCGGCCGCTGCTAGAACAGGACCGGACGGGCCCCTGGCCTGATCCAGCAACAGAGTTCTTCTTACGTTACGTTCTTCCTTGGGTGCTGCTATTGTGCTCAGGACCTGCTGAGCATCCGGCTGGCCACTGTGAGATAGGATGCTGGACTAGTGGGCCCCGTGTGGGTCAGCAGACTCTTCTGTCCTTTTGAGGCATTTGGAGGCCGTAGAACGGGTGGGGGAGCACCTGCGGACCCCCACCTCCCATCACCATCAGCTGAGGCTGTTGGGTGTCAAGTCCAGCAGCACCTGGAGGGTCAGAGATGGTCCTCCCTGCTGTGAAGTCTCCCCTCCTCCTGTCTATAGAAGCCTCCAGGCCTCCCCCTTGTCACACCTTCATAAGACTTATTTTCCTCCCCCCCCCCCCATCCATGGCTCCTGCAGACTCCTGCCTGCGGAATGGGGAGGACGTCCGGAGCATTTTCCTAGAGGCCCAGGAGGCCGTCATGCCCGAGATCCAGGAGCAGATCCAGGATTACAGGTGAGCGCAGATCCCCCAGTGCCTTGCCTGGCTGCGGCTGCGAAAGTACGTTGATAGGGAAAATGGGAGGTGGCAGAGGTGAAGGGATTGGGGGTAGCGAGCCCAAAGGCCTGGGGGGCAGAACTGACACACGCTGTATCAGAAGGGAATCAGGGGGCTCCCCCAGGGAAATAGTTTATTCAACGTTCAGCCTGATTCGCTTGCCCGAGGCTTACATGGCGGAGGTGAGATTTTCAGGGTTAGGTCTTTCCTGAGCTTTTGTTTGGCTTGGTTTACAGGGCAGTTGTGAGGCAATGAGCATTCATCCCGGGGGGTGTGTGTGTGTAGGTAGGTAGGGTGGTGGTTATACATCTTCCCATTAGCCATTTATCATCACACACTTATCTATGCCTTTCCCTGTTACTTTCCAAATCACGAAAATAGAATTCCTATGAAGTGCATTTGTGTGCTGATTGATTAAATTAATCTGTAGAGGAGCGGCAAGGATCCCAATGGCTAAAAACTGGAAAAAAAGAAACTGTGCCAACAAAAAAGGAACGGCAAGACAAACTGTTAGAGTATATTGAACTGGCTAGATTAACAGAGGCAGTTAGAGATCACACTAGACAAGAGTTTCAAAAAGCAAGGGGGGATATGCAGAGAATACTTCACAAAACAGTGCCCTAAAATACACACCTGGACTTGTTTCGATTAATGTCTGCAGGAGTCTTTGTGGATATTTAAGTTATAATTAGAAAAATCTTAATAATAATTCATAAAGGAAACAGCTTATAAGAAGTAAATAAGGAGACCAGATACAGGATAAAGGAAGTCTTTTATTTGGTTGTTTGTATTGTTGTATGTTATGCTCATTGCATGTTATGTTCACGTTTAATGAGGGTGGATTTCTGTATTGGGGGGTGGGGGTGGTTATGTTATGTTGTAAATAATTAAAAAAAAAAAAATCTGTAGACTTCAGCTCACTTGCTTAATCCACTACTCCAGTTTTGAGTAGTTTTGATGGGGTTTTGTGTGTCTTACGTGAATCCCCTAGTTGGTACCCACTTCCACCTGCAACAGAACAGAATAAAGTTTTGTTTTGGGGTCGATGCTCCTTCGTGCAAGCAGGGATCCCAGAGGAAGTGCCCTTTTCTAAGACAGAAACTTGACAGCTGTTGTTTCCATCCAGCTGGAGCTGTTTTAAAAAGCAAACCTGTTCAGCAAATGTGCCTCTTCTGTGCTTTAAAAGAGAGCCCAAATGGAATGAAATGGCATCATGTCAGGTGTTGCGTTGCTTTCCTCTGGGTCACATGACTTTACTTCCAGATCTTCTAAGCCGCCTTGAGTTCTGGGGAAATTGGGTGGGGGGCAGGTTAGGTAGGATACAGAGTTATGAATGAAAGCTGAGAGCGAGGAGTGTCTTCATCCTGCCCTGGTCTCCTCTCTGGCCTTGCAGGACCAAGCGCACTATGGGCCTGGGAAGCTTGTACGGGGAGAACGACTTGATGGACCTTGACGGAGACCCCCAGAAGGAGCGCCAGGTGGCCGAGAAGCAGATTGCTCAGCTTGGAGACATCCTGTGAGTGTGTGTGTATAATCTGAGATTGCACACCTGAGATGACTTTCCTGCAGCATTAAAGTGTCTGTATACAGTATGTGGGGACGCGGGTGGTGCTGTGGGTTAAACCACAGAGCCTAGGACTTGCCGATCAGAAGGTTGGCGGTTCGAATCCTGACAACGGTGTGAGCTCCCGTTGCTCGGTCCCTGCTCCTGCCAACCTAGCAGTTTAAAAGCACGTCCAAGTGCAAGTAGATAAATAGGTACCCCTCCGGCGGGAAGGTAAACAGCGTTTCCGTGTGCTGCTCTGGTTCGCCAGAAGTGGCTTAGTCCTGCTGGCCACATGACCCGGAAGCTGTACGCCGGCTCTCTCAGCCAATAAAGCGAGATGAGCACCGCAACCCCAGAGTCGGCCACGACTGGACCTAATCGTCAGGGGTCCCTTTACCTTTATACAGTATGTGTGTGTCAGGGGCTGACCTGGCAGGGGCTCCCCCCCACCTCCAGCCTTGCAAGGCTCCAGATATCATATAGGAACTCCTTGCCTGTTGCTCTGCTCACCATCTGCTCCTGGAGACTTTGACGGCCGGCTTCTGCTTTTCTTTAAGGACCCGTTTTTATTGAGTTAATGCCAATAAAGCAGGAGGGAATCATGAAGGGTGATTGGAAGTTGTGGCTCAGAGCCAGGCCGGGTTGTTTTGCGGCTGGTGTATTGGGAGCGCCCTCAGTGAGAGAGAGGAGAGAGATAGCTGTTCACGGAGGAACGATCCCGCCCTGGTCGGTGGCCGAGGCCCTCCTCTAACTGGAGAACACAAAGGGGCACAAGGAGTGACCCCTGTAATCTTGTCCGGTCTGGAGTCACCGGTGGGTTTTCTAAAGGGGTCTGCTCCAGTTTGGGACAGCCATAGTGGCTGGGCATAGGCTGTGCTGCCACCACAGTCCCATCCTGCCTGGAGGATTGCGCATGTGGTGCTGCCAAGCTTGAGGCTACATGTAACTACAGGGACAAGCAGCCCCTCTGGCTGCAGAGTGAGGGTGGGGCTGGGTCCCTTGGGAACGGGGGGCAGAGATATTCCCCCAGGGAGACTTGCCAGCAGAGGGTTATGTGCCTGTGTGTGGTCTCAAGGTGGGAGACGATAGGGCAGTCCTGGGGGGTAAAAAACGTGCTTGCCAATGGAATGGTTGACCCTGTGGCTTGCAAATGATGTGCCCAGCCTCTTGCAAGCATGGCCCAGTGGTCAGGGATGGTGATGGAAGTCCCAGCAACATCCAGAGGGCACCAGTGTGCAGGAAGGAAGGCGGGTTTTTAGTATAGACCAAATGGGCAAGAGAGGGTCTCCCGCCTGGGCACGTGGACCCCCTGTGAGCCATCTCTTGGAAGCGACTGGGCTGTAAGCAGAGGAGGAGAGGCTGTCGGAAGTGAAGATGCATCCTAACCTCCTCCTCCTTCCTTTGTCTCCTTCCTCCAGATCCAAATACGAAGAGGACCGGAGGTGAGTGTCTCCCTCGAACCTCAGCCCCCCCAGGACTACTGGGTCAGGCTGCTCAGAAGGTGGGGAGAATTCCAAGGGTCCCCTTGAGAGGCTGCCGGTGACCTGCTTTTTCCTGCTCTCTTTACCTTTCATGTGGCATATTGCTTTGTTTCTGGGTTTTTATCTTACGTATGTGTCTTGTCAAGGGACGTGGGTGGCGCTGTGGGTTAAACCACAGAGCCTAGGACTTGCCGATCAGAAGGTCGGCGGTTCGAATCCCTGCGACGGGGTGAGCTCCCGTTGCTCGGTCCCTGCTCCTGCCAACCTGGCAGTTCGAAAGCATGTCAAAGTGCAAGTAGATAAATAGGTTCCCTCGGCCAATAAAGCGAGATGAGCGCCGCAACCCCAGAGTCGGCCACGACTGGACCTAATGGTCAGGGGTCCCTTTACCTTTAGTTTGAGTTCTCTCTGCTTTTCTCCCTCCCACTGGCCAGCAGCCTCTTCCCCCTGCCCTCCCCTTGTGGGGCTCAGTTGACCCCTCTTCCTCCCCGCAGCGCCCCCATGAGCTTCGCCTTGAACACCTACATGGGCCATGTGGGGATCCGTCCGCGAGAAGCACGCCCCGTCAGTGTGGTGGAGAAGTCCCAGGCACAGGAGAAAGACAAGTGGCTGCCGTTCTTCCCCAAGGCCAAGAAGGTGAGCTGGTGGTCAGGCTGGAGGGAGGGAGAGAAGGGTGTGGGTGTGTGTGTGTCCCGTGCCTCTCCTAATACACACTCTGTGTGTGTCTGCGTGTCTCTCTCTCTCCTGGCTCAACAGAGCAGCAGCACCAAGAAGGATAAGGACGCCATGGAAGACAAGAAGCGGAACCCCATCCTCAAGTACATTGGGAAGCCCAAAAGCTCCTCCCAGAGCAGTGAGTTCCAGGGGCAGAGGAGGGCAGGGGGTGACGGTGCTGAGCACCCCCTTCTCCTGCAGTGTGTTCTGGGGGGAGTGGGTTCACCCGGGCTTCCTCCTTCCTTCCTTCCTCCTCTCCTTGCTTCTCCTCCTCCTTTTTCTATCTTTTTCATCGGTGCAATTTTGACGTTGATTTTGACATTCCATTCTTTTTGTTTTCCTTTTCAGCATTTCATGTCCCCTTGTCCCCTGTTGAAGGTAAAAACAAAAGGAACACACACCCCCTTGCTGGTTTTTCTCCCTGACCCCCCCTCCCAGCTCACCCCCCTTTACCCACCCCACCCCTGCTGCTGCTGCTTAAAAAAAATAAAAAATGTCGAGGAGGTATCTTTTTCTAGAAAAGGCCTTGTAAATTGTTGTTGTCACTGGTTCTGTGAGGATGGGTTGGATTTAATCGCTCAGGGTCTCCCCCCACCCTCTTTCCCCTCCCCATGCAAAAGCCACACTTCCGTTTCCTTGCCTAACTTCTGCACCCAGGACAGCGCACGTTGGCTTAGTGTCGCTGCCTCCCCTCCTCTGCCATGCAATCGTGAGGAACATGGCCTTGGCGCTGCCCTCAGAGGACCCTGTCTGCCGTGGCTTCCCCAGCGGGGTGGGAGATTGCCTGGGGAAAGGTGTGCAAACCACCCCTTGCGTTCACCGTGGGGAGATGGCGCCACCTTCTCTCTCAGAGGCACCGGAGTGGAGCTGAAGGCCACCCCTTTCCCCTTCCCCTCCCATCTCCTTCAGAGCTGGTCATTCAGGTCGTGTCCCCTTGATGTCGTTCTGCTTACAGGAATGGCCCTTCTTCCCCTTTGATTTCTTGCCAGCGGGTGTTTGGGGGGCCCTGGACCTGGGCTGGGCCTGAGGCCGTGGGGTTCCTCCTTTGTGGCAATCCCTTGTGGGAATCCGTAGTCCTAGGTTTCCTCCCTAAGCCGAGCCTCTTCAAGTGGGGAGAGGGGTTCAGGATGGCGACCAGGTGAAGGGGAGAGCGGAGACGGGGCCCTCTCATCCCTCGGCAGCTGTGTAGAAGTGGAGTGCGTCTGTGTAATTACGGCCTTCCAGGCTTTTATCCAGGCAAGGCCTGCTGAGAGTGGACCAGTTGAAATTAGTGAACCCAAGCTGTTCATGTCCATTAGTTGCAGTGGGTCTACTCTGAGGAGAACTGGCATTGGATACAATTCCCCTTCCCTCCCCCCAAAAGTGCCATGCTTCAGTTCCCTCTACACCAGCGGTTCTCAACCTGTGGGTCCCCAGATGTTGTTGGACTACAACTCCCATCATCCCTGAGCTCTGGCCTTGCTAGCTAGGGGTGATGGGAGTTGTAGTTCAACAACATCTGGGGACCCACAGGTGGAGAAAGGCTGCTCTACACAGTCATCTGCCTTGGACCTTCTTCTGGGCCAGACCCTGGTGTCTACCCCCTCACACCCTCCCCAATTAAGTCTGTAGCTATGTGGGGCTTCTAACGGCTCGACTTTCCCTCCCGCTCTGACCAGTTAAACCTGGCAACGTGAGGAACATCATCCAGCACTTTGAGAACAACCAGCATTATGACTCGCAGGATCCTGGCCTGCAGCGCCTCTCCACCGGCAGCTTCCCTGAGGACCTCCTGGAGTCGGACAGGTAGGAGGATGCCCAGAACGCCCGGCAAGGGGGGTGGGCACAGGTGGGCTCCAAGTCCTCATCTGCCCTCCTTCCTCTCCCTCGTGGCTTCAGTTCCAGGTCGGAGGTCAAACTCGGCCGGTCGGAGAGCCTGAAGGGCCGGGAGGAGCTGAAGAGGTTGCGCAAAGCAGAGAACGTGCCTCGCTCACGCAGCGACGTGGATATGGACGCCGCGGCTGAGGCCACCCGCCTCCACCAGTCGGCCTCTTCTTCTGCGTCCAGCCTCTCTGCCAGGTGAAAAGCGGGGAGCTCCTTAACGTCTAGCGCCACCTTCTGTACTTAGTATTCCAGCACCTTGCAGAAGTTGAACGCTTTCCAGATAAATTTTGTTGTTTGCTGGGCATCTCTTTAGAAGCGGCTTATCATTGTTCCATCTTTGAGGCTGCTGTTCTGCGCCATGTTGGGCACAGAAGCGTTAAGAACATAAGAACAGCTTGCTGGATCAGACCAAAGTGGACCCATCCGGTCCAGCCTCCTGTTCTCACAGTGGCCAAGCAGGTACCCAAAAGGGAAACCTGTAAGCAAGACCTGAGCACAAGAACAACTCTCCCCACCTGTGGTTTCCAGGGAGGATTCAGAAGCATCGCTGCCTCTGACTGGAGGCACAGCTGAGCCACCCTGGCTAGGAGCCATTGATACAACAAAACAACAACACCACAAACCGACTTATAATTATAAAACCAAATTTACTAGAATGATAGCTAGAATAGAGATGGACTTGTAACCATTCAAACAACAAACATACTAAGGTGCCATGTGCAAGACCAAGCCTGGAGATACTGTAAACGTGGAGTGGATAAATGTACAACTCTTATCTCCCAACATTAACATTCAATGTTAACAGAACGTTCACATCCAAGGTGACACAATTTAAGCAGCCTCTTTTATATTGTTTGTAAACCACTACAAGGTTTTATTGACAGGTAGGCGGGATGCAGTTTTTGCTAAATAAATAAAGTAAATAAATAACTGTAATCGGGCAGCTAAGGCAGCTTTCTGCTCCTCGTTTTCTTTATTTTGCAAAAATTGCATCCTGCCCAGCTTCAAACAAAGCTGCTAAGTGGTTTACAAAGAGCATAAAATACACGTTTAAAATGGCCCGTAAAAAAGAACCAGCGTTAGAAACAAGTTTACAAAAAGCAAATTTAATGAAATAAGAAGTTAAAAGTGTGCATACTAAGCTGAAATGACTGGTTAAAATACATTTCAACTTTTACATGTCTTGGTAGGCTTTGCCCAAACAAAATATTTTAGTAGGCTCCCCCCAAAATACAGCGAAGGTGCCTCCCTAATCTCAATGGGCAGGGAGTTCCAGAGGGTAGGAGGTGCCACGCTGAGATGCCAGTTCCTTAAAGATGCAGAATGGGCCTTAATGTGGAACTTCCAGTAGTGCCACTTCCGCAGATCAAAATGGTCAAGTGGGCATATATGGGGGAAGGTGGCTCCTAATTAAGATGTGCAGCATTTGTCTTCATGGTGCGCCTTTCTCGCCCCCCCCCATCCCTGCCTTTCTTCCTTTGAGGAGCCCTCTGTCTGTTTGCAAAGGAAAGGGGTCACTCTCTCCCTCATTCTGTGCCCTCCCGGTCTTTGGGACTCCAGCTCCCATCAGCCCAGCCATCGTGGCTGTGCCCTCGTGAGTCCTTGTGCCATTTGACCTGCTGGCTGGGGCTGATGGGAGCTGGAGTTCAAGCACCTGGAGAGCACCTGGTTGGAGAAGTCTGCGTTCTGTGTCTTAAGTGTTTGCTGGATGGGTCCCTTCCCGCAGCCCCGAGGGAGTTAAGCCCAGAGCTTGTGGTGCTCACCATTTATAATCTCTTCTTGTGCCTCCAGGTCTCTGGAAAACCCCACACCGCCGTACACTCCCAAAATGGGGCGCAGGTGAGCTACCCTTGCAGCCAGGGCCAGGAGAAACGGGCATTCTTCCATGGGGTAGGAAGAATGTGTTGTCTAGGTGTTTTCCTCTTCGTCTTCTTATTCTTGGTGACCCAAAGGAGCAGGGGGAACGAGGCCATGGCTGTCTTGTGCTTAGTCACGGTGGTCCTGTGTATGCCTGCGTGGAGTCCTCCCTCCCATCGCTGGACCGTGGCAGAGACCCCAGAGCTGAAATTGAACTGGAGGCTCGTTTAGTTGAGTCTCTCCGTCTGTCTTGCAGTTGGGGTGTCCTGCAAATGTGAAAGAGACTTCTGGGTCCGGCTGGCTCATAATGGGGCTATAAAGACCCTGTGTTGGGAGAGATGCTGCAAGGAAGGAACTAGGGTAGGGGTCAGCCAGCTTTTTGGGCCTGTGAGCCCATTGGCACCTCACTCGCTCCTTCCCTGGAGCAGAACACCCAGCCGCAAGAGACGAGAGAAAATGAGCACATGTCCAAACATCACTTTCCCAGAGGCTCTGGATACAGTTCCGATCCAGCAGAATTAACCTGAGCCTTGAAAAGCACATGGAGCTAAAAGATGAAGTGGGAAGGAGCATCGCAAGGCTCTCGTTTGCATCAGCAGGCAAACTCTGAAGCTCTTATGCACCGTTAGTTCCAGGAAGGCCCAGTTTACGAGGCTGGAGGACCTTTCTCAGAGACCCTCTTTTGACACCCCTTCTTGTCTCTCTCCAACCCCCCCGGCGCAGAAGCATCGAGTCCCCAAACTTGGGCTTCAGCACTGACTCCTTCCTGCCCCACCTGCTGGAGGACGACCTCTTCCAGCTCTCGGACCTGGAGCTGGAGCCGGACTCGCAAAACTGGCAGCACACCGTGGGCCGTGAAGTCGTGTCTTCCCTGACGCAGCGGGAGATCGACCGCCAGGAAGTCATCAATGGTGAGGAGGGTCTCTCTGCGGTCGCCATCAGAAAGACGGGGGGGGCGTGCCTGGTGAGCTCTACCCGTCTGACATAGGGCCAAGGCAGCCAAGGGCGGTGCTTCCTGGCCTTGAGGGGGGCTGCGATGTCTCCAAGGAAGAAGAGGAATCCCTAGATAGGGCCTGTAAGACAGAGCTATTCCACCTGGCTTTCAATTTGAACTTAGCCTGATCTTTTATTCCCCTTCCTCCCCTTTTTATGACGATTCCCCGCTCTGGGATCCCACAGCTAATTCTCCCCTGGTCTCCTTGCTGGCCCAAATAGGACTAATTTAGCCAGCTAGCCCTGGGGATCATCTAATGTTTATTGGATGGATTTCCCCCCTAAATTGATTTGTGAATTCTGAATTTATTGTTATTCACGTTTTATACTGTATTTTATGCTGGTTTTTTGTTGCATCAATCAATTGTTTTAAATTTGTTGTTAGCTGCCCTGAGCCCGGTTTTCTGAACCGGGAAGGACGGGGTATAATTAAAAATTCATTATTATTATTATTAGATGGATGAGGGGTGGGTGTGCTGCCCTGGTAACCAGAGCCATCAGCTCTGCACTGGCGCCTGGGCTGGGGAGGAGCCACGTGGCTCAGTGGCAAAGAGTCCCAGGTTTGATCCCAGGGAACAGGGTCTGCCCGAGACCCTGGAGAGCCAGCAGAGAGTGGAACCATCAGGGGTCTGACTAAACAACGCCGCTCTATCCCTTCATTGATGGCACAGTTTTGTTCAGGAGGAGGGCAGGTTTACTTCACGACCCAAATCTTTAAGAACAAATCGAAACTTCTCTTTCCTCAGAGCTGTTTGTGACAGAGGGCTCTCACTTGCGGATCCTGCGCGTCCTGGACGTTCTCTTCTACCAGCGCATGAGAAAGGAGAGCCTTCTTTCCCGGGAGGAGCTGGCCCTCCTCTTCCCCAACCTCCCAGAGGTCTTGGAGATCCACAGTAAGGCTGCTTCTCCTGCTCCCTTGGAGCCCCTTTGGATCAGGCCCCCTGTTCTGTGGTTTCTACAGCAGGCAGAGTGGGTCTCCCCTCCACAAGCCCCCTGCTCAGGAGGAGAACTGGAGCAAAGCCAAAGAGCCCCACAGGGCGGAGAGGGCAGGGAAATCCTGAGGGTGGCCTTGATCCCATTTGCAATGTTGGTTGGACTCTAAATGGGCAGCTTTGAGGCCGGCTGTGTGCCCACTGCTGAGAGCCTTTCACTGAAAATAAAGAGTGCCTGTGTGGAGTTTAAAACTAGGCCCGTACTCCATTCCCTTCTGTCACCTTTTCTCCTTTCCTCACCATCCTTCCCTCCTCCAGATTCTCTTTCGGAATCAATGAAGAGGCTGCGAGAGGAAGGGCCGATCGTCAAAGAGATTGGGGACCTCATGCTTTCCCGGGTGAGGATCCCAGACCGCGTGGGCTGCCTTGGGGACACTAGGTGATCTCCTGACCCACCTGAGGTTAACCCAGGAGTGTTTTCTCTCCCCTGCCCTCTTTGTGTCCCCCCAGTTTGATGGGGCTGCCCGCGAGGAGTTCCAGCAGATGGCTGCCCGCTTCTGCGCATACCAGTCCATGGCACTTGAGCTGATCAAAACCAAGCAGCGGAAGGAGACTCGCTTCCAGCTCTTCATGCAGGTAGCCTCGTGATGGGGCAGGAGGCTGCTAATGGACGGGGAGGAAGGAGATGGGGGAGGAAGGGACTTTTCTTTTCTTTTTTTAAAAAAATATTTCAAAACAAAAAAAATTACAAGCATCAAATTCAAAATCCATATTCATTTTCTAATGTAAGCCTATTACATAAAGGTAAAGGGACCCCTGACCATTAGGTCCAGTTGTGGCCAACTCTGGGGTGCTCATCTCGCTTTATTGGCCAAGGGAGCCGGCGTACAGCTTCCGGGTCATGTGGCCAGCAGGACTAAGCCGCTTCTGGCGAACCAGAGCAGCGCACGGAAACGCCATTTACCTTCCTGCCAGAGCTGTACCTATTTATCTACTTGCACTTTGACGTGCTTTCGAACTGCTAGGTTGGCAGGAGCAGGGACCGAGCAACGGGAGCTCACCCTGTCGCGGGGATTCGAACCGCCAACCTTCTGATCAGCAAGTCCTAGGCTCTGTGGTTTAACCCACAGCGCCACCCGCATCCCTTAGCCTATTACATAGATTACCTAAATTAAAATATATCTAATTGCTCTAGGCTTCCCTTTGCTATATGTAAATACAACACAATTAACAAATTATATTATAAATGATATTATAGGTTCCCATATACCCCCCACTCCCCTTCAGCCATGTGTGATCTCAATATTTTACTTCTTCCGTCTTGTTATAATTTGATAATTATTCAATTGATTCTGTTATTATTTTCTTGCTTACGTTTTACACATTCTCTATCAATGTTTCAATTCCGGAACCATATTTTCCCATGTATTCCTTCACTCCATCCCACTCTCTAATTATTCTCTGATTTGAGTGGCCTCTAATAATTGCCGTCAATTTTGCCATTTCTACAAGCTCACAGAGATTGTTTTGCCGTTCTAATAGTGATGGGATTTTCAGGGGGAGGAAGGGACTTTTCAGCGGCCAGCCCTCTCCTGTCTCTGCAGGCCAGAGAAACACAGTCCTGTCTCTCTCTCTCTCTCCCTGCCTTTCCCAGGAAGCCGAGAGCAACCCTCAGTGCCGCCGCCTCCAGCTCAAAGACCTCATCATCTCAGAGATGCAGCGGCTGACGAAGTACCCTTTGCTGCTGGAGAACATCATCAAGCACACGGATGGTATCTCTCTCTTCATATTTGGGTGTTTGTTTGTTTTTTGTGTCTCTTCCTATTCAAACGTTACACATTGCAATCTCCTCTTAAGCACATTCAACTCGCTGGTTGAAATTGCACAAATTAAATCCAGTCAAGGCTTGGTCTTCTTGGGGTTACCCAGCAGGGAAATAACTCTTCAGCTCTGTGTCTTGCTTGCTGGGCAAGGCCCACTTGCCCTGTGGCCTCTGGGAGTGCTGGGGATTCTTGCTGCCTCACCCACGAGCTGTGGGAGCAGCTCCAAGGAGTAGGGCCTACACGACCGTTGTGTATACATGGAACTATTGGAACCAACCCCCCATGTAAGATGCAATTGTACTGTATTTTTTAACTTGTGTCAGCTTTCTGATGTTGTGAGTCAGCATACATAGAGATTACGGTGGTGTGTGCGCACTGTGCATTAGCACCCTGTGGTGCTGTGTCTGTAGAGCGTGGGTGCTATTCAGAAGCCAATTTTCACATTAACCAATAAGGATTATTCTGCATCATGTATCAGAGCTGCTGCTGATCTGTTTTTCAGAGGTCGTTTTGTTTTTAAATGCAGCATTGTTTTTAGATTGTACAGTGGTACCTCTGGATGCGAACGGGATCCGTTCCAGAGCCCCGTTCGCATCCTGAAGCAAACGCAGCCTACGCGCGTGGGTCGCGATTCACTGCTTCCACACATGCGCATGACGTCATTTTGAGTGTCTGCACATGCGCGAGCAGAGAAACCCGGAAGTAACACGCTCCATTACTTCTGGGTTGCCGCAGAGCTGGGTTGCCGAAAATATTCATCCCGAAGCTACTTCAACCCGAGGTATGACTGTAGTGGAAGTCACTTTGGGACCACCCTGTGTGTTTTAAACAAAGCCTCCCAGGTTTTCCATAAACAGAAACAAACTTTGCCAGTGGCCGGCCAGCCCATCTAAGAGTGCTAGACTCATAATCTGGTGAACCGGGTTCGCTTCCCCGCTCCTCCACATGCAGCTGCTGGGTGACCTTGGGCCAGTCACACTTCTCTGAAGTCTCTCAGCCCCACTCACCTCACAGAGTGTTTGTTGTGGGGGAGGAAGGGAAAGGAGAATGTGAGCCGCTTTGAGACTCCTTGGGGTAGTGAGAAAGCGGGATATCCCTGATATTTGATATCAGGGATATCAAATCCAAACTCTTCCTCACCTTCATTGCTTAGGGGAGACCTTGGAGCACAAGAAACTTTGCCAGGCCCGGGACCAGTGCCGAGAGATCCTCCGGTACGTGAATGAGGCGGTGAAGCGGGCAGAAAACCAGCAGCGCCTGGAGGTTTACCAGAAGCGCCTAGATGCCACTTCGCTGGAGCGGACCAGCAACCCGCTGGCTGCGGAATTCAAGGTACACTTCCCCCTTTGCGCTGCACCCGAGTCCCTGGCTTTATCCTGCTCGCCTCCTCCTCAAAATGCTGCCTTTTTCTGCCCCTCCTGTCCAGAACCTCGACCTCCGAAGTCGTCGCATGATCCACGAGGGCCCTCTGAGTTGGCGCATCAGCAAGGATAAGACTGTGGGTATGTAGCTGGCAGAAACGAAAGCTCCTCTCAGCGTTTGTGCGTGTTCTCACACAAACATGGCACGGCCTCTCAGAGTGAAGGCCTGTGTGCGCTTCCTCTGCAGTTGACTTTTCTAATTTATATCCCACTTTCCGATTAAAACAGTAATCAAAAGTGTGGAGGGGTTGTAGGAAGATTGCCTGAGCTGAAAAGCCCTGGCGAGCCATTGCTGCCAGCCTGAGTAGACAAGACTGAACTAGATGGACTGAGCGAAGGGGTCAAGAGACAGCTTCCGAAAAGATTAACAGAACCAAACAATTTTGGAACATGGTCCCTAAAACAAGCAGAGCTTTAGCTGTTGAAAGATCAAAACTGTCAGTGTGTTGTTATTCATTCATTCAATCAATCAATCATTTATTTATTTAATAAAATGTATAAGCTTCTTGTTGTAGAAAGCTCAAAGTGGTTTACCAAAAGACTAAAACAATAGAAGTCTTTTAAGTAATTTAAACCATTGAGAAACTCAAAACACACCATAGTATTTAAAGTTCCAGGACAACAGGCCACAGATTAAAAGGCTCTCCCAGATCAGCAGCCTTCGGAAGGCTCCATGGCAGAACACCTGCTTGGAATGCAGAAGGCCCCACGTTTAATCCACACTGGCAGCATCTCCAGGGAGGGATGGGGAATGACTCCCTGCCTGAGGCCCCGGAGAGCCATTGCTGTCCATCCGTGGCAACAGTCCTGAGCTAGAGAGACCGTCCCTTGTTCCTATGTCTAGACAGGCCTTAAGTCAGACTTATATCAAAGAAAAGTACACGCACATGTATAATGCCGTAGCAGGGAGGGAGTAGTGCGACTCATGTAACACGTTGGCGATTAATATACAGAACAATAATTATCCATACTTTATTGAACTTCTGAGAAAAATACAAAACATTAAACAAAGCCACAAAGGCTTGCGAACTACCCAGCCTAAAATGAACTTATAATATCTGGTTTCAATAGATTTTTCAAATGCTTAACTCCGTCTTTTAGATAAGTTCATGAAGATACCAACAAAAGGTAAGTTCGGTGATATTCACAATACCGAGAGATGCTAGTAGAATTGTAGATAGATAGGGAAGCAGTGCATCATATAATACGTTAAAATTTCATATAATGTAGAACTTGTGGAAAAACAAAAGCCCTGTAAACAGCAATGAACAGGATTAGCAATACTCAAAGCAATAGGCAAAGTGGTGCTCTTGCCCACCCACTTATGAGCAGATCAACAAAACAGGCCTTTTTGTGGCGGCTCCCTGTCTGCACAGTGCTCTCCCCAGAGAGATCGCCTGGTGCCATCATTGCATGTCTTTAGGCGCCTCTTTACCCAGGCCTTTGGCCATTATATAATCTGTGGGCTGTTTGTGGGGGGACTTTTATTATGATTATTTTATTAATACGCTATCTATTTTACGCTTTTTATTATGTATTTATTATTATGCTCTGAAAAACGTATTCTTAATGTTGTACTTAATGTTAAGGTACGCGGGGGGCGCTGTGGGTTAAACCACAGAGCCTAGGACTTGCCGATCAGAAGGTTGGCGGTTCGAATCCCCATGACAGGGTGAGCTCCCGTTGTTCGGTCTCTGCTCCTGCCAACCTATCAGTGCATGCAGTGCAAGTAGATAAATAGGTACCGCTCCGGCGGGAAGGTAAACGGCGTTTCCGTGCGCTGCTCTGGTTCCCCAGAAGCAGCTTTGTCATGCTGGCCACATGACCCAGAAGCGAGATGAGCGCCGCAACCCCAGAGTTGGCCACGACTGGACCTAACAGTCAGGGGTTCCTTTAACTTTAATCTTGTACACCACCCTGGGATCTTTTGATAAAGGGCGGTAAATCCTCCCTCTCTCTCTTAGATCTGCACGTCTTGCTCCTTGAAGACCTCCTGGTACTTTTGCAAAAACAGGACGAGAAGTTGGTTCTCAAGTGTCACAGCAAGATGGCGCTGGGCTCCTCAGATACCAAACAAACATTCAGCCCCGTCCTCAAACTGAACGCGGTCCTCATCCGCTCCGTGGCAACAGGTAGGAAGGGAGGCCGTAAAACCACGTGCCCTTATGCAGAGGTGGGAAGCTAGACAGGCCATGGCGCCCTGGTGGGTCGACTTTTCCTCCAGCTTGTCTCTCTCCTCCCTACAGATAAGCGAGCGCTCTTCATCATCTGCACTTCTGAATTGGGACCCCAGATCTACGAACTGGTAGCTTCGAGCTCTTCAGAAAAGAACACGTAATATTTTTATCTGTTGTTCTCCCACGCGCCCCCGTCTCCTTTGGGTGGGAAGGAGCAGGGAGATTAAAAGGCTAACTGGCCTCTGGGCAGCCGGATGAGTCAGGAAGAGTCAAGGAGCCCAGTGTGGCAAACAGACAATTTAAAAACAAACCAAAGCGTTCCAGAACAGTTAACACACTGTCTCCAGCCCCCCACCCCCAAGAAGTTTTAATTGAGCTTTGGTAAATAATGTAACAAAACTAGATTCCCCTCGACGGTAACAAAACACCCCTCCCTCAAAACGACCACAGTTAAAAGCGGTTAAAAGTAGTTTCAGTTAAAACATGCATGTTTGTCTGTTATCTTAGAGTAGCATTGGAATCCCCTGGGCAAAGATTCTGAAGAATATGAATATATATATATATATATATATATATATATATATATATATTGCTTGATTATAGAAAAGAAAAAACAGTGAACAAAGAAAAAAACCAAAGGATAATACAAATGACAAAAAATTAAATTAACTTCTTACAATACAACTTCTATTAATGACTTCCAGTCACCCCATCGAGAGTCCCAGGTTTCTTTTGAGTAGCGCACTTTTCATTATCACTCCAAACTTTCCCCAAATGTTTGCTTTAATAAGGTTTTCTATGTTCACAGAGGGGTCATTCTAAGCCAGCCAGAGAATTCACATTTTTACATGCTCTTTTAAGATACTTTCTGTAAATGTCCCACCCTCTAGTAAATGTTTGTTCTGTATTAAAAGATGCTGATGAAATAAATGTGGGGTCTCCCTGCCTTTCAGGATGGCAAATCAAAGGCACTCTGTTCTCTTTGGGGGCTTTTAGAGAGTCTTTCTTTTTCTCCCCTCTCCCCCCCTTAACTTGGCAGGTGGATGGAACTATTGGAAGAGGCGGTGAAGAGCGCCACCCGCAACGCCCCCCTGCCTGCCAAGCGGCATTCCCAGGAGCTCCCCCTGCACCCAGCGGCTCCTTCCAGGTAAGGGGGGACCCTCACCCCCAGCTCCTCAAGGCAGGAGACCTTTTGCAGGGAACTGCAAAGGGAGGCTGAGGTTAGATGAACTTAGTGTGTGCTTTTTTTTCCTTAAAAAAAGTCTGTGAATCCTGCTTTGCAGGAACTTTATTAAATGAGCAAAACATGCCCCTCAACCGTACCTCTTAACCTCCACATCTTCTTCTTCCCCACCTCAAATAAACATAGCTGCCCTAGGAATTACAGCCAGTAGGGTGTCAAGAGCTGTTTTCTCACTCCAGCTTTCCTGGGCAAACTTTTGGGATATTAAAATGGGGGTTCTGCAGATGGGCTATTCCTCCCCCACCCCCCGTTGCTGCATTTATGGACATCTTGGAGGTCCCAGGCCACAGAGAGGTTAGGCTGGCCTCAACCAGAGCCAGGGCTTTTTCGGCCGTGGCCCCGATCTGGTGGAACTCTCTGTCACAAGAGACTAGGGCCCTGCGGGACTTGACATCTTTCCTGCAAGATTGAGCTGTTCCACCAGGCCTTTGGCCAGGGCACAGTCTGACCCCCTCCTTTGGCAATCCTCACAGAACTCTGGCCCAATGGTTGCCATTAATTTGATTCTGAATTGATTTTAGAATGTATTTTAATTAATTGATTGTGATTTTATGTAAACTCTGCTATTTTTATGGTTGTTAGCCACTCTGAGCCCAGCTTTGGCTGGGGAGGGCGGGATATAAATATATTATTATTATTATTATTATTATTATTATTATTATTATTATTATTATCTTTGTCCTTCCTCTTCAGCCTAGTACTCCAGGATGCTGACATCTCCCCCAACCTGGCCCCAAGCACCTCTGCGTCCACCCAGGAAGAGGACATTTCAGGTGAGTGGCTGGCGGTTGCCCTGGGATGGAGGTGGTGATGGGGGGCAGTCTCAGCCCCAGCAGCCGAGGTCCAGCAGGGTTGCAAGGCATTCTGGGAGTATCCTGCTGCTCCCTATTGAAGATATTTGAGGGGGATATTTTCTGTTGGTTGCCAGAACCTCCTTCTCACACACAAACGGGCTTCTTTGTCTTTGGGGCATGGATGGGGGGGGCACTGTTTCAGGGCTCCAAAGCTTCCTTTCTCTCTCCCATTTCCCCCCGCTCTTCCCCCCAGCAGATGTTGTAAACAAAATCTGCCCTTATTCCCATATGGGGTATCCAAGAGCCCATATAGAGTCCTTACGTGGGTTCCCTGTTGGTAGGAGAAAATAACAGAGGCCAACCAGAGAATATTGAGAAGCAAAGCAGCTAGTAAGCTTGATCTTTATTAAAGATGTCGCCACAGGGTGCTCCCCTCACACGCAGGAAAGGAGGAGGAACCCAGAACAATGGTGTGTAAGCCCTTATATAGACATTTTAAATTGCCCGCCCTGGAGCTCAAGACCACCCCCAGATACATCATATCTACATCACAGAAAGGGCGGTCTACAGCAAAAATCTGAGTTCGTTGTTTATCTCCTGTCTGGCAGGCTATCTGATAATGCCTTATCTGATTCCCTTTCCTGGTAGTCTGCCTGTTCCTTTGAAATGGTGATTACCCAATTCCTGCCCTCCCTCCTTGCAGAGAAAACATTTGGTCAGTTTGGGAGTCAAAATGGTTTCAGGGCGGTCTTCCTGTGCCGCTCCAGACATGTGGTCCCCATATCTATGTTTGTGCTTGATTGGTACATTTGTGAACATTTATTATATATATAAGACCTTAAATTTTTTATTATGCAGACGATACCCCAACAGACACCCTGGCTGAGGAGAGACCCCTTGCACTGGCGGAAGAGCCAGAGGCTGGAGGCAGCGAGGAAAAGGAGCAGGATGAGGAAGGCCTGTGTCCTGCTTTGTCGCCGTTCCCCACTGGGGAGATGGAGCTTCCTCCTGAGGAGACCCTGGAGGGGCCTGATGAACAGTCGCAGCCGCTTCCAGAGGCTGCCTTTCCCGGGTTCCTGGCAGAGTCAGCCTTGCAGGACGGTGAGAGCCAGATTTCTTCTCTACCTTTATGTGTCTTGTCTTTGCACTGGGGGGGGGGGGGAGAGGCTCAGGGTGGGCAGCCTTTGGCCTGATTTCATCCCGTGCCATACACCTGGATTTTCCTGGATGTACCTGGATTTCAAAGGTGAAATTGATGTCCGGGGTGGTGGGGATTTGTGAAAGGCGGCGCTTCATCTTGGATCTTAGACAAGTTTTTGTAAATAAAAAAGCTCAATAACTTTTTTGGGGAGGTCCTAGTTTTTATGCCAACCCTCCCCTTGAGTATCATTGCGACTGTCCCTCTCCTGGCCCATCCTGCTTTCCCTCAGCCCTGAAAGGGTCCTTGAATGCAGAGGAAACTCAAAGCAAAAATTTGCGGGAAAATGGGATGGTTATAGAAGATACATTCAAAAATACAATAATAGTTTTGACTCTGTGCTAGCATTCAAGTGACAAAGGAAGTAAAAGGAGTTGGATAACAGTTAAGGATTTATTATGTTTTCTGAATGTATTGGAAAATTTATACAGAAAGGTTTTTTGTTTTGTGTACATTCAGTTGTAAGATAAAACATATGCAAAGGGACTTGACAGGAAGTCAGAATTGAAGAAAAGATTTTGTAAGATAAAAGGGGGAACATATTTATTTTCATTATTATTATTATTATTATTGTGTGTGTGTTGTATGGAATGTTTGGGAGGAAATAAGATGGTAAATAACAAATAACAAACAAAATATTGATGTATGTAATTTTTATTTCTCAATTATATTTTGTGGTAGTATGGTTGTAATATTTTTTTTGTAACATAAAATCATGCAATAAAAAATATTAAAGAAAGAAAGAAAGAAAGAAAGAAAGAAAGAAAGAAAGAGTCCTTGAACATGGTGGCGGAAGACGAAGGCCCCCTCCCTGGTCCAAGGAGAGGCCAGCTTCAGCCCACCTGTGGGATTTAAACGACAGCCTCCCTCCCTTCTCTTTCCCCTTGCAGTCGAGACCCTGAGGCATCTCCTCCTGCGCAGCTTCCTCCCCTGCCGGGACGCTGACCCCGAGGAGGACCTGACCCCCACCCCTTCGGTGGTCGGGACCGGCCAGCCTTGGGACTCTGCGCTGGCCAGTCAGGACTCGGGCAGCCAGGAGGAGCCGTCTGTGGAGAGCAGCGGAGCCGTGGAGCTGCCCGAATCTTCAGCAGCGGAGCCAGAGGGGGGCAGTGCTGGGCCGGAGGCCAGAGGCCCCCAAAGCACCGAGGAAGGGGAAGGGACAGAGCCTCATGGAGACGAGAGGACGACAGACCCCTCCTCCGGCCAAGGGGTTGCTGCAGAAGGTGAACGACAGGGCAGCGGCAGCAGCTACAAAGTGGTGCGGAAAGGTACGTCTGTGACTCCTGCCCCAGGGTGTGTGTGTGTCTGGCAAAGAGGTTGGCGGGAGGGGTGGGGGGCGTCCTCCCTGAGTTTCCCCTGCCAGGGGTAGAGCTGATGCAGGTTGTTAACGGAGAAATCTGAGGGCTCCCTTGGACGAAAAACAAGGACACCAGCCAGGAATCCCAGAGCAAAACAGCAGCCAGGAGGCTTGGTCTTTCTTGAAGACGGTCGTGACAGGACTCCCACCTGCCACCAGGTGGAACAAGATGGAAGCCCTGAACAAAAGAGCCCCCAAACTTTTATTAGCTGCTCATCCCCATGTTGCACCCCCCCCAACCGACATCACGGTTACATCATGAAAGGGGAGGTCTGGTGGCCGTAATCTGAGCATCCTGGACCCTGCCCCATGGTTCCCCTTGCCCTCCACCAAACACCCATCAAGTGGAACAAAGAAGATCTTGACATTTCCCTGTTTCCCAGCCCAGTTCATCCCACCCTTTGGTCTTCATCTGGGTTTGTTATTTATGGAATGGCTACCTGTCTGGCACTCAGGTATCAGGATGCCAGGGAATATCACTCAGGCAGAGGGGCTGCTGAGGAGCTGAGCTCACATCTCTAGATGAATTTCTGAAGTTTTCCCAGTGAGCCAGTACAGAGATACATTGATCAGTGAATTCTTACATTTGGTATCGTGCAGCAGAGGCCCTTTGAATAGATAGGAAGAAACTGTGATGAAGCGTTTTGTGGGGACAAATCACAAAAGTGATTGTGCTGATTCTGGTAGTGGGCTGCATGTGCAGGATATCTGCTGGAGGGGCAACCCCCCCCCCACCTAGACATAAATTCCTGCAACGAGGTCCTGGGTGAATATTTGTGACTGTGAAGAACAGGGCCAAGCATGGCACTCAGCTGCCAGGCTGTCCCTTGCGCCAGCTCCTGGCCCGTTAGGATTGCCTGGAGGATGGAGGCGGCTTGTGCCATCTCAGACAGCCAGCGAGCTCCTGGGCATTTTATGAGTGAAGACGAGGGGAAATCCATCTGCCAGGAGCCTCAGAGGCTGCAGACTAACCAACCTCCCTGCTCTGGAACCTGCAAGCGTGCCGGAAGACGCCGCAAGAGGGTGATGGGGCCAGGATCGTGGGGCCTGCGGATCGTGGCCTCCTTTCTCCTCTCCTTCCTGGGTGCAGCTGGCTCTTGCTCAGACCTCTCTTAGCTTTAACCTGCATGCGCTTGACTCCTAGGCTTCTCTCATTCCCCTGCCCTCCCATCTGGGCACTTCCTCCTGGGTGTTCTCTGTTGGGTGATGGGCACTTCCTGTGATTCAAGGTTTTGATCACGCTTCTCTCCTCCCTCCCCCCCTCTCCCCCCCGCCGGTGTCTCCTTGCACAGCAGAGGTGGAGGGAACTAACGGTGCTTTGCCTTTGACAGACGGCAGCCAGGCTGGTGGCGCGACTCATGCAGATGGTAAAGAAAGTCTTTCTTCCCCTGCCTGGTGACGGGAAGGGCTTGGGGAGATGGAAGGGGTGTCCTGGGGGCAATGCGTGTGTCTTAGGGGTGGCCACAATGTGCAGGAAGGCCCTGCTCACCCCCCCTGTGGGACCGCAGTCTGGCCAGACAAGTGCGCTCTCTCTCTCTCTCTCTCTCTCTCTCTCTCTCTCTCTCGCTGAACACCCGGCTGCAACTGTAATAATAATAATAATAATTTATTTGTACCCCACCCCTCTGGCTGGGTTTGCCCAGCCACTCTGGGCGGCTTCCAACAGAAATTAAAAATACATCAAAATGTCACACATTAAAAATTCCCTGAACAGGGCTGCCTTCAGATGTCTTCTAAAAGTCTGGTAGTTGTTTTTCTCTTTGACGGGTGGGCGTTCCACAGGGCGGGCGCCACCACCGAGAAGGCCCTCTGCCTGGTTCCCTGTAACCTCACTTCTCGCAGTGAGGGAACCGCCAGAAGGCCCTTGGATCTGGACCTCAGTGTCCGGGCAGAGTGAAGGGGATGGAGACGCTCCTTCAGGTATACTCCCAACTGGCGCCCATCACTCAACATTCATACCGCCAGCCAATCCTCACTTGCCAACAACACTCCAAACTCCCCCCACGAATCCCTGCCTGACAGGATCCCCTTTCCTTGTACTACCAGTATTGAACTGACACCTTCGTTCCTTTGGTATTTGCGTGTCACAACTTTGCGTGCGCCAAAAGCAGCAGAACGTCACAGCCATTTCCCACTTCTTTTACATCCTTCCAAAGGCAGATTGCACTAAGCCCCCCAGCCCAATTCCACCCTCTGTCCTCCCCTCACCAGCCCCATTTCTGCAAGTGCAGCCTGCCCGCCCACCCTCTATCCCTCCAAGGTCAGACACGGGCCCTGTGGCTGGGCTGGTGTGTGTGGAAGCTCCTTCAACCTTCCCGCTGGCCTTTGCTTCTCTCCGTGGGATGGGGTGGGGAGGGAAGCGATTCTTGGCCAAGGCACCCCTGTGGGGTCCATCTACCTCAGTGTTGCCTACACTGGCTGGCAGCAGCGGCTCCCCAGGGTTTCAGAACTGAGACGGCCTGCAACTCTTCCTGGAGATGTTGGCCAGGGACCTTCTGCACTCCAAGCAGGTCCCCTTCCGACTCAGATTGTGGCAGCCCCTTCTCTAAAACAAATGTAAGATTTCGATCCAGAGGGGGTGATTTAAATAGGAAGCTGCCTTACACTGAGTCAGGCTATCGGATCACATGAACCGCGTGTTTCTCCAGGGGTTCAGGCAGGGAATCTTTCCCGGACTTATTCGGAGTTACAGGTGAAACTCGAAAAATTAGAATATCGTGGAAAAGTTCATTTATTTCAGTAATTCAACTTAAAAGGTGAAACTAATATATGAGATCGACTCATGACATGCAAAGCGAGATATGCTTCTACTTCTCAGAGGTCCAATCTTGCTCAATTTGCAATCCTTGTTTTGCTGATTTCCTTGAATATTCTAATTTTCTGAGATTGTTAATTTGGGGTTTTCATAAGCTGATCATCGCAGTGATAACAAATCAGGGCTTGACGTATCTCACTTTGCATGTCACGAGTCTGTCTCATATATTAGTTTCACCTTTGAAGTTGAATTGGTGAAATAAAGGAACTTTTCCACAATATTCTAATTTTTCAAGTTTCACCTGCACTACCAGGGATTGAACCTGGAACCTTCTGCATGCAAAGCAGGTGTTCTCTGCCTGTCCTCCATGGTGGCTCTTCCCCAGTGTGGGCACCCCCCCTCTTTTCTTCCCTTCCCCTGTCGGCTCTTCGCCCCCACGTCTCCCTCCGACTAACGCTCCCCTCCGTCTCCTTCCCCCAGGGAACTACTTCTACGTGAGCTTGCCGGCGGGTCCTGAGGAATGCCAGCCGGACGCCAGGAGCCCCAGCCCCATGGAGCCTGCCCGTCCTTCCAGCCCACCAAAGAGCTCCCCTCCTGCTGCCAGGCCGCCCCACAGGTGGCATCGTGCCAAGGAGAGCCCGGCAGCAGGCTGGCTTGGCCACTTGGAAGGCCCGCCAGCCGCCCCAGATCTCTCCCCCTCCAGCCAAGTGGTCCGGGATGTGGACGTCATCTTCCAGACGATAGAGCAGCTTTCCCTGAAGCTCACCAGGCTAAAGGTGAGGGGTGGGGGGCGGCTTGGGGGGCAAGAAGGAAACCCTTGGTGCTCTGTCACCAGCAGGAAAGCTTTCAGCCACCTGCATGTGGCCTCTGTTGTGAGAGGCAGGGCAATGGGTTGAAATGGGCTGGGGGAATGAATGCTGTGTGCCTTGGGACGGGGAGAGAATCAAAGCAGGCACAGAGGGTGGTCTCCAGCCTTGCCAGTCATGTCGCCCTTGGACTGAAAAAGAGCCCCCCCCCCCCGCCCCAACTGAGGACCTAATGGGGGGAAAGACGTGGAACACGTAATTGAATAAGCCCAGTGGCCCTTCTTCTCAGGCATCCCTAATGGCCCCTTCTTCTGTAGTGGTCAGATGGCATTACTATGAGGAATTATAAAATATGCATCAAGCCATTGTGTCAGCGATGAAAGCATTGAGTTGACTGGGTTTGATTCATGGACAGTAATTTCTGGTCAAATCCCACAAGTCTCTCCATCTATGCCATTTGCTTTCTCTACACCTGACAGGCACGTCTAAGCATTCTGAAACACAGGCCGGTTGCTTCCTCAGGCATCCTCAGTACATGAAGATAGTAGGTCACTTTGATGTAGTTTAATCTTTAGATAGATCTTAAGGGCCAGGAAGAGAGTTCACAAGGAGATGGTAAATACTGCCATCCTGTCTCTCCTGTTTATGACCTCTGGGGTTTTGCTGAATGCATTCCTCCTTATATTCCTATTTCATTTACTCTGGACTACTATGCATGCTCAAGTAGGAAATAGTTTCTTTGTAGTTTTAACTTTAACTTTGTCCCACGTGGGGTTTTTGAAATGCTCAGAGGAAATTGATTGGTTCTTATGAACACTGTGTAAAAAGTTCTTTTGTGAATAAAACTCACCTGGGCCAAGGAATTATCATACACACTCCTCCCAGAGTCTTGCTGGTCAAGCCTTGTGTGTATTCTATTCATCAGAGTCCAATCCTTCCTTGTTTTGGGAACGCTACACCTTCCCCTCTCTCTCTTTGGGGTCTTGTAGGATGTTGAGAAGGCCCACCAGGAGCTGCTACAATCCTTGAGTGGCGGCTCTACCACAGACAGCTCCACGCCGGTGGGCTGCGTGCCACCGGATCTGAGCCAACCGCTGCCGGGCAGCCGCCGAGTCTCCAGAGCCAGCGATGAGGACCTTCTGCCCTCCCCACAATCTCCGGCGGAGGCAGCAGCTGCGTTGGGTAAGAAGCCCCCCGTTTGCACCCTCCTCTTTTGCTGCGGACACCTCTCTCCACCTGCAGGAGATTGGGGGCTCCCCAACCCCTTTCCGCCTGAGGGGGAGAAACTCCTGCTGTGCTTGGCTGCTCTTCAGAGTGTTGGTGCTGACCTTGAAAGCCCTAAACGGCCTCAAAGGCCCAGTAGACCTGAAGGAGTGTCTCCACCCCCATCGTCCAGCCCGGACACTGAGGTCCAGATCTGAGGGCCTTCTGGCACTTCCCTCCCTGAGAGAAGCCAAGTTACAGGGAAGCAGGCAGAGGGCCTTCTTGGTGGTGGCACCCGCCCTGTGGAACGCCCTCCCGCCATATGTCAAAGAGATAAACAACTACAGTGGTACCTCGGGTTACAAACACTTCAGGTTACAGACTCCGCTAACCCAGAAGTAGTACCTTGGGTTAAGAACTTTGCTTCAGGGTGAGAACAGAAATCGCGCGGCGGCAGCGGAAGGCCCTATTTGCTAAAGTGGTACCTCAGGTTAAGAACAGTTTCAGGTTAAGAACGGACCTCCAGAACGAATTAAGTTCTTAACCCCAGGTACCACTGTACCTGACATTTAGAAGACATCTGAAGGCAGCCCTGTTCAGGGAAGTTTTTAATGTGTGACATTTTGATGTATTTTTAATCTTCGTTGGAAGCCGCCCAGAGTGGCTGGGGAAGCCCAGCCAGATGGGCAGGGTACAAATAATAAATTATTATTATTATTATTATTATTATTATTATTATTATTAAAGTGTGTCCCCCCTTCTCTCTCCCTTCCAGGCCAGATCTCCCTTTCTGAAGACAGCCCCCAGGAGGTGACCCTTTAGGAAGGGGCATTTTGCAACTGGACGGACTGAAGGCAGGCAGCAGGCGGACTCGCTCGCGGGCAGATCGCCGCCCCCCCCTTCCCTGCCCACTTTGGGGGTCTCTGGGTTGAACTGAGGAGGGGGCGGGGGTCCTGTAGCGGCCAGCGTGAGAAGCGGCAAGACCTGCGATGGAGCAGAAGGAAAACTGGAATCCCTGGGATGCACATGCTGGATTAATCTGAACCCTGGAAAACAAGAATATCTGTGGGGCTTCCCAGGAGGGACAGCCAGGCTCCCGGAGAGTGTGTTTTTTTTGGGGGGGGGCTTAAGGTGGAGAGAGCACCCGCTTCTCTCTCTCTCTCTCTGCCTGCATGTCTCTTCCATTTTGGGTAGGGGGTAGCTTCCATTTGCTCCCCCCCAACCGCTGAATCAATCGCGTACATATGCACACCTGCATATGCGCCCCACAGGCTGGCTTTTCCAATGTACATGAAAGCTGGAAATATATTCTGTATAATTGCACTTTTTTTCCATTTTGTTTATTTTTGTTTTTCTCTCCACGGTGAGGAAGACCCCGTCCCCACTGGAGAGATTTCCCAGCTGCTTCCAGACCTTATTTGATATAAATATGTATGTATATGCATTGAGTTATTGTAAATATATGAGGAAGTTGTTGGTTTTTTTTAAAAGATATGCCTCCATTACCCTGATGGATATCTAGAAGACTGGAAAGACCCACGACCCCCGTAGCCCAGACTGGGGTGGTGGGGGGCAGCAAAGACCACTGCAACTCTCAGGGCGTGACAGTGACAGATCGAGCAGCAGCCCAAAGGGATCAGGCAGGCAACGGCCGCCCCCCCCGTGCCCCCACCCCAAACCCTCTCGGGGCAGAATGGCTGCCCTTCACCCCACAAGCACCGCTGTCTTCCGCTCTGGCACTCACTTCGCGAGAGGTGGGCGAGGGCTGGGATGTGGGGGCACCTGCCTTGCAGATAGGGTCCTCCTGCTGTTTTATTTGGGGAGGGGGCGCCTGCTGGTGCTACGACAATCTGCCCCCCTCCCCAGTCGCCCTTTCCTCCCGCGGCCGCTCTGGCTTTGCCACGGTGCAGGCGGCGTTTGGGCTGGAGCAGAGGGCAGGCGACCCCTCTTGGTACTCAGGCTTGCCACCCCCCAACCCCCACCCCCAACCAGCCTGGCCGGGCCGTGCAGATTCCTGGGGGGGCCTCCCTGGCTCCAGCTGCAAGTCCCTCGCAACCCCCCCCCCGCTTGCTGAAACAGGTGGATGAGGCATAGAAGATTATATATAGATATATATATAGATATATATATATGTTTAAAAAAAAATAAGATGCCAGACTGTTTGCTGTTCAATCCGCTAAAAGCCAATTTTATTTTCTTCCTTCCGATGGTAAAGGTTTGTGGTTTTTGTTTTTTTGTTTTTTAAGAAAAGTGGGGGGGAAAGTAAAATATTATTTGACCTCCTGTCTGTGCGGATTCTTTTCCTTTCACCAAAAATGGAGCGGAGGAATCTGGAAGGGCTGAAGGGACAGAAACAGACCCCCCCCCCGCTGCCTTTGGATGCAAGTGTGAAGTGGGGGGGCAAGCAATATAATGCCCTAAGAGAGAGGGGGCTCTATAGGGGTTGTTCTGGTGGGGGTGGAGTGCCAGGGAGGGACCCCTGTTGGGGGGGGGTCTTTCAGTGGGCATTGCTTGAGGGGAGGGAATATCCCTGACAATAAGGGTGGGGGGCGTTTGGTGATTTCCCCTTGTTTAATGACACCTTATACAATTTTGAAACTATTTTGGCCCTATCTGTCCTATATCCTTTCACTAATTTTTCGAAGGGTGTAATCATTCTTTTACTACATTTTTTAACTTCTTCCTTTAGCAGAGAGTAAATTTGTCCTTTCTGTAACCAATTAATTTTATTCCAAATACCGCTTTCCTGTTCCATTGTGCCTTCCATTCCCCAACTATTCTCCATCTCCTCAATTGAGATCTCCTTTAATTTATCCCCTACCTCCTTTGGGGTGAGCTCCCTTAACGGGGCCGTTTTAGCATAATGCCACATTTTGGGAAGGGGAAAGAGGTCAGGAAAAAGCTCCCTTCTCCACTTCTCCCATACCCAGATGGACCCCATAAATGTTGATATTTTATCTACTTCCCTTTTCCTTTTCCTCCTATCAAATATTCTTATTTTCCCTCCTACTACTTCCAAATTCTCCCGCTCAATACACCCCAAATCTTCCCCCTGTTCTCCCTCCAACCAAATCACAAGATGTCTCAGTTGTGGGTGCAGTGGGACTGCAGTGAGAGGGTGGGGGCCGGAAATGCATGTTGGGCAACTGAGGTTCAGACTGCAGGATATGTGAGGTGGGAGTGGGGTCCCTCACAGGTGGGGGGGCCTCAAAGTGGGTGTAATGGGCTGTTATGAAGAGTCCTAACTTGCAGCCTTTCTCAACCAGTGGGTCCCCAGATCACCCCTAACTTTCCGAGCACAATTCAAAGTGTTGGTGCTGACCTTGAAAGCCCTAAACGGCCTCAAAGGTCTAGTATACCTGGAGGAGCGTCTCCACCCCCATCGTCCAGCCTGGACACTGCGGTCCCGATCCGAGGGCCTTCTGGCAGTTCCCTCCCTGCAAGAAGTGAGGTTACAGGGAACCAGGCAGAGCGCCTTCTTGGTGGTGGCACCTGAGCTGTGGAACGCCCTTGTGGAACGTCTTGTCAGGATTCAACCTCAATCTGTTAGCCGCCATCCATCCTCCAGCCGCCTCCAGACACTCACACAGGACCTTCACCGCCTTCACTGGTTCTGATTTGAAAGAGAGGTAGAGCTGGGTATCATCTGCATACTGATGAACACCCAGCCCAAACCTGATGATCTCTCCCAGCGGCTTCATATAGATGTTAAAAAGCATGGGGGAGAGGACGGAACCCTGTGGCACCCCACAAGTGAGAGCCCAGGGGTCTGAACACTCATCCCCCACCACCACTTTCTGGACACGGCCCAGGAGGAAGGAGCGAAACCACTGTATAACAGTGCCCCCAGCTCCCAGCCCCTCTAGACGGTCCAGAAGGATGTTATGGTCGATGGTGTCAAACGCCGCTGAGAGATCCAGCAGAACTAGGAAACAGCTCTCACCTTTGTCCCTAGCCCGCCGGAGATCATCAACCAGTGCGACCAAGGCAGTTTCAGTCCCATGATGAGGCCTGAATCCCGACTGGAAGGGATCCAAATGGTCTGCTTCTTCCAGGCGTGCCTGGAGTTGTTCAGCAACCACGCGCTCAATCACCTTGCCCAAGAATGGAAGATTTGAGACTGGGCGATAGTTGGCCATCGTGGCCGCATCTAAAGATGGTTTTTCAAGAAACGGTTCAATAACCGCCTCTTTCAGCGGGTCTGGGAAGGATCCCTCACGGAGGGAAGCATTCACCACCCCATGAAGCCCATCGCCCAGCCCTTCCCGGCTAGCTTTTTAGAGAAAGACAGAAAGAGAAAAACAACTACCAAATTTTTAGAAGACATCTGAAGGCAGCCCTGTTTAGGGAAGCTTTTAATGTGTGACATTTTAGTGTATTTTTGTCTTTGTTGGAAGCCGCCCAGAGTGGCTGGGGAAACCCAACCAGATGGGTGGGGTACAAATAATAAATTATTATTATATTATAGCTAGCAAGGCCAGAGCTCAGGGATGATGGGAGTTGTAGTCCAGCAACATCTGGGGACCCACAGGTTGAGAACCGCTGTAAGGGATGAAGTGAGAGGGTCTCCCTGGAAGGGAAGGATTTGAGGAGGGGGGCTGGGAGCTCCGTGCCCACTTTGGGGGGGAGCAGGTGACAGCCCCCATCTTCTCCTCAGCTGCTTAGGAGACCCGGGGCAGCCCCTTCAAAACTGGGCTCAGGCTTTGCCCTGAGTAGTGGGCCGCAGTTGCCGTGGCAACCAAGCCTTGGGAGAACAGGGTGCTGCCTGCCCCCCCGCCCCCCCCCGCAGGGTGGGCCGCCCATTGCCAAAGCAGTCTTCCAGGGGGCTCTCTCGGCGAGGCGGGTCGTGGGGCGCCGAAAAGGAACAGCAACAAAATGGGTTTTCCGTCGTGATTCCTTCCATTGTCCCACCAGGAGTTTGAACACTTTGGAAGCGACTTTCAGCGGCGGAGGGGGTGTCCCTAAAAACACGCAGCTCTGGGTGCCCAAAGGCGGCGGGGGGGAGCCCCTCTTCTCCCTGCTGAGCTGATGAAGATGGAAGATGGTGATGAAGACACCTTGGGCAAAGGGAGGGGGGAGGAGGAAGGCGTCCCCGCTGGGAATATCTAAGCAGTGGCGTCCAAATTTATTCAGAGGGCCAGATGTGATGAAGTGAAGGGCCATGGGGGCCGACCAAAGTTGACCTCTTTTTTAGGATTGAAGTTGTTAAGGGTTTTTTAGGATTTTACCCCGGGAAATAAACTGCCACAGGGGCTGGATCCAACCGACCGGTAGGCTGGATTAGGCCCCCGAAACAGACTTTGGACATGCCTGATCTAATGCAACCACCACCACTTCCCTGAGCTCCTTAGAGGAAGATGAGAAGAATAATTTCAGAGGTCCTGCTCCTCTGGCCAGTTGCGCAGGACGGTTGTTCCATGAGTGTTGGAAGGGAGAAGCATCATGCATACTGGCAAACACGATGCAAACAAGATGTGATCTGCCTGAGATAAGAAAAAAACCCCAAGTGTGTTTTATAAGATGGTCTCCGACTACAATAATCTATCTAAACTTCATTCACAAGAGCCAATGGCCATAGAAACAGTAAAACATTACAGTATAGCAGAAAAGGAAATTTGATATAAGAGCACAATTTAAAGTCCTGAATCAGGAGTCAGTGGCCCTTATTCTGATTGCCCCAGCTGGGAACCTAGCAACCTTTGCTGATATCTGCTCATTTTGATCTGAGCTCCTTAGAGGAAAGGGAAAGGAGGGGAGGGGAGCAGCCCTGGGTTCAAGGGCGTCCTGGGGGTTTTTGACCTCTCCCAGCTGAGGTTTTCCTGCAAACAAGCGTGTTTCGCATCCCGACTCCCCCTTTCCCCCGCCTTGCAGAAGCGACCTGCACCGTGGGGAGACACGGGCCCCTGCCTCTGGGTGCCTCCAGGGGCACCTTTCTCGGCCCAAGCGGATCCTTCAGCTGCGACCCCCTGCACTTGCAGCTGGTTGGATTAGATGACCCTTGGGAGTCCCTTCCAAACTACGATTCCTTCCCATTATAATCATCTTTGGCTTGTTAACGGAGAAATCTGAGGGCTCCCTTGGACAAAAAACAAGGACACCAGCCAGGAATCCCAGAGCAAAACAGCAGCCAGGAGGCTTGGTCTTTATTGAAGACGGTCGCGACAGGACTCCCACCTGCCACCAGGTGGAACAAGATGGAAGCCCCAAACAAAAGAGAACCCAAACTTTTATTAGCTGCTGGTGGCGCTGTGGGTTAAACCACTGTGCCTAGGACTTGCCAATCAGACGGTCGGCGGTTCGAATCCCTGCGACGGGGTGAGCTCCCGTTGCTCTGTCCCAGCTCTTGCCCACCTAGCAGTTCAAAAGTATGTTAAAGTGCAAGTAGATAAATAGGTACCGCTCTGGCGGGAAGGTAAATGGCGTTTCCGTGCGCTGCTCTGGTTCGCCAGAAGTGGCTTAGTCTTGCTGGCCACATGACCCGAAAGCTGTACACTGGCTCCCTCGGCCGGTAAAGCGAGATGAGCGCCACAACCCCAGAGTCCTCCGTGACTGGACCTAAGGTCAGGGGTCCCTTTAATCCCCATGTTACGCCCCCCCCAAACTACATCACTCATACATGACGGTTACATCATGAAAGGGGAGGTCTGGTGGCAGGAATCTGAGCATCCTGGACCCTGCCCCATGGTTCCCCTTGCCCTCCACCAAACACCCATGGAGTGTAAGAAAAGAGATCTTGGCATTTCCCTCTTTCCCAGCCACGTTCATCCCACCCTTTGGTCTTCATCTGGGTTTGTTATTTCTGGAATAGCTACCTGTCTGGCACTCAGGTATCAGGATGCCAGGGATTATCCCTCAGGCAGAGGGGCTGCTGAGGAGCTGAGCTCACATGTCTAGATGATTTTCTGAAGTTTTCCCAGTGAGCCAGTACAGAGATACATTGATCAGGGAATTCTTACATTTGGTATTGTGCAGCAGAGGCCCTTTGAATAGATAGGAAGAAACTGTGATGAAACGTTTTGTGGGGACAAGTCACAAAAGTCACAAAAGTGATGGTGCTGGTTTTGGTAGTGGGCTGCATGTGCAGGATATCTGCTGGAGGGGCAACACCCCCCCAAAAAAACCCTATGCACAAATTCCTGCAACGAGAAGCTGAGCCCTGCTCAGAGTAGACCCATTGGGTTCCCCGGAGAAGCGGAAGGGCCCCGATCCCGGAGGGCGGAGCTGCGGCGGAGGAGCGGAAGGGAAGGCGAGGCTCCGCCCGAGAAGGAGGCGGAGAAGGCCGAGGCTTCGTGGCCGCTTTCCTGCCCGGCTTCCCCGCCTCCCTCCCGGCAGACATGGCGGCGCCCGCCCCGCAAGAGCAGCAGCCGCAGCAGCAGGACGCGGAGCTGGAGGAGCTCCTCGAGAGTAAGGAAGGGGGAGACCCCGGGGTGGGGGGTGGGGGGTAGAGGGGGACCCCCTCCAAGTCCCACGCAAACCCAAGCCCCGCCCCGAAACTGCCCTCTTCCCTCCCCCCACCCCCGTTCACACGATCAGGGTCGCGACACGCGTGTCAGGCCGTGGGGTGAGAAGGCTCTGGGTCTGCCCCACCCCGCAGGGGGGCAGGGAAAAAGAGAGCCTCCCCGCAAAGGACCTTGACCTTGGGGCTGCCGCCTGCCAGGCCTCCCCGGCTGGTTTGGGGGGGGGGCAGCTGCGTGTAGGTGGGGGGAGAGGCTCCCCCCCAATCCCCCACCTTCCCCCCAAAGGATCTGACACGGGGGTTGACTCCCACCCCCCATGCCTCCCCTGTTCACACATCCCAAAGAGAATCCCCGCTGCGGGGGCCTTTAAAGAGACTCTCCCCACATTTTCTCCCTAAGGGGCGCTGCCCCATATACTGCTTATTTCTCCCCCCCCCACACACACACTTCATATACCCCTGCTTAGAAGCCTGTATATATGTCTTTGCACGTGGGAAGGTCTCTCATAACGTGTCCCAGCAGGAAGAGTTGAAACCCTGCCCCCCCTCTCCCCAAATTAAAATAAATGCCCTCTTGGCGGAGTGGACCGAGACCCCCATCACTGGGCACAGTGCCCCCCTCCCTGTCCCCACATGACGCACTCCCCCTGGGGATTTTAAAGCAGAGGTTGCATAGCCCTCTGCCATGTAAGATTTAGCTGAGATTCCTGCATTGCAGCGGGTTGGGCTGGATGACCTCTGGGGGTCCCTTGCGACTCCACAGGTCTAGGGTTTCTTTGTGGGCTGGCGCAGGGGGGCGAGGCTGCCCTGGGGCTCCTCTGTGGCAGCAGGTGACCCTCCTGCCTGGCGGCTCACCTGGCGCTCACGAGTGCATTTTCTGACGTTTGTACCTTGCCCTTTCTTGCTGCCCTGACAAATTCAGGATATTACAATATAAGCCCTGAACAGCTTAGGACCAGGGATCATCTTATGCCATATACGCCCACTCTGCTAAATCCACACAATCTGCGGAGCTGGCACTGGGGCACGTGCCGTACGGCACCCATTCTGTAGCCATAAGAAACCAGTGTGTTGGCAGCCACCCTGTGGAACTCCCTGCCTCTTGACAGGGGCCTTCGCTGTGCTCTTTACAGCGCCTGCTAAAAACATTATTGTTTAAACAAGACTATCCAGATAGGCGGGATGTTTACATGTGTCTTACTTTTTAGCTGATTGTTGATTTTAATTATTTTTTGAATGTTTCCAACAGCTGCTTTTAACTGTTTTTCCCGATAACTTTATTGTTTTGCTCTTTATGAGGATTAATTTTTTTAACACCATCAGTGGTATATCGATTTTATGAATCAATACATAAATAGCAAAAAAATAAGAATGCGATGCGCGTTTTGCTGTGGGGCACATTTTGACCCACCTTTCCCCCAAGGTGGCGTGTGTCCCCCCCCCTTTAACCCCCACGACAACCTTGTGAGCTTGAAAGGCAGCGGTCACACTCCTCCCTGGCGGAGTGGCAGGATTGGAACCCGGGCCTTTCCCAGGACCTCATCCAGCGCCCCTATTCAGCAGGGATTGTTGTTGTTGCTCAACACAAGGCTGGCAACGTGCTCCTCTTGGGTGAGGCAAGAGTCTGGAGGTGGCTCTCTCTCTCAGTTGCATCACTGCTTTGAACTCTTATCTCCTTTCGCAAGGACTTTAGTGTGTCGGAGAGGATCGCTCCAGATTTTCTGTCATTTTGCAGCCCTGCCAAATTGAACGTTTGGGCTTTCCGTTCTTTTAAAAAACCCGCTTTGGCTTAGGCAAACTGGAGCCAGGATCTGCCTTGAGCTCAGTGGGGCAGGATCCTGGCCTCCGTGTCCCCTCTTCCCACAACGCCTCCTCGCACTCGCTCCTTCCTTCCCAGGTGGAGTCTGGAAAGGAGATTCTGCTCAGGATCTGGGCGGTTTCAGGAGCAGGTTGGAAGCCGATTTGGCCATTAAATTTGCCTACTTTAAGTGAAGAGAGAAATGCAGCAGTGACAAATCTGCGTTCTTTTATGTATCTATATTTCCACCTACGTCCTGCAACGTAGTAAAGAAAGATGCTGTAAATAAGGCACCTTGGAGCTTGAAATTATAACATTATTTATCAAAACGTGGCAACATTCGGCCGACTGATCGGTTATAGCTTGCATTTTACATGTTTATTTGGAAAATAATCACTGTGACTTTATGTTGCATCAGTCAGCGTCATTATGCAACTGATGAAATGTGTACAGACGGTTGTTCAAAATTTTATTCTTTCCCCGCTCCCTTATTTTTATTCAACGCCCCCCCATTGCTTCTCCCGCCCCCTGGATTATTACAGCGCCCCCCCCCCCGGGAGTGATATCGCCCCCTTTGGGAAACACCGGGGTGGGGGTGTCTTCCTGCCCCACTGTGTGCTGGGAAGCCCCCAGAAGGTGCCTCTTCCTTGGGGAAATTCCACCCTGGGCCCCCCAGCAAAGAAACCCCTCTCTTGCCTTCTGGATTTTGGGGAGATGCGTACCTGCTCACGTCTGCTCCCTCATGTGGGGGCGGCTGTTTCAGTAATGCCCCCCCTGCCTTGCATCATCACTCTTCTTTCTTCCCCCCCCCCCCAGGTGCCCTCGATGACTTTGACAAGGCCAAGCCAGTCCCATCGCCGCCCCCTTCAACTGCCTCCGTGGGGGACGGCAGCGTCTCTGAGAAATCGCCTGGAGATGCTGCCAAGGTAGGGCAGGCGACCTGAGCACCCCCTGGGAATGTGGGGATGTGTGGGGCGGCTGGGGGAGAGAGGGCAGCCCCTTGCTCCCAAGGAGACGGACCTTGGGGGTCTTGGCTCGGCAGGGGTCGAGGGTCGCACAGGGACAGGACCGCCGACTGCCTGTTGCTTCTTCTCCCTGTTGCTGAAACGGCCCACAGCTTCTTGACCCTGAGAACCATTTGCAGTTCCCGCTCTGTAAAATGGGCCCATTGGGCCACAAAAGAAGTTGTGTGGATGTCAGAGAGGGCCGAGTGTGGCGCTGATTTGAGCTCCTAAATAGCTCCTGGCCTTGCTCTCCTCTGGCGAGTGAGTTTTGTTTCCAGGCGAGTGGACAGGAAAGTTCTTATTTTATATTTATATATATATATATTAATTTTTTAACATATAAGTTCCAACAATCATTTAACATAACTTCTTATCTTACACAGTAATTTAGACTTCCGTCAACAACCTCTGAAGATTTTCCGTTCTTTATCATGTGTTCTGCATTTCTTAATTTCTTATTACTTTTAATTGTCCTTAACTAACAATTCTCTTCATAATCTCTGCAGTATTTTGCAAAGTCCTCCTTACACAACTTCTTGCAGTCCTCCTAGCATAATCTGTTCATCACAATTGCTTTTCAAATAGTTCAGATATTTACTCCAGTCCTCCAAGAATCTCTGATCCTGCAGGTTTCGAATCCTTCTTGTTAATTTATCTAATTCTGCATTGTCCATTAATTTCATTTGCCATTCTTCTTTCGTCAGTAATTCTTCTTGCTTCCATTCTTGTGCCAATAAATATTCTTGCTGCTGTTGTTGCATATAAAAACAGTTCATAATCCTGTCTGTTAATATCATCCCCTACAATGCAAGTAAAAATGCTTCTGGTTTATTAGTGAAGGACAGGAACGTTCTTAAGAACAGATTTATTTATTTTCCTTTTGGCCCTGGACTTCGCCAGCTGCCTGGGCAAATGTTTTGTGGGCTATTCGTGTGGGTCAGTGGCAAGACCCAGGGCTTCCCCTCTGCTTAAATCCAGGGGGTGCTGAGCTCCCCATCTCGTCCTCACCCATTTCGCTTTTTCTCTTCCCAGGATTCCCTCTTTGCCTCGCAGGAGAAGTTCTTCCAGGACCTCTTCGATAGCGAACTGGCCTCCCAGGCCACGGCGGAGTTTGAGAAGGCCATGAAGGAGTTGGCCGAGGAGGAACCCCACCTGGTGGAGCAGTTCCAGAAGCTCTCCGAAGCAGCAGGCAGAGTCGGTGAGCGAGTTGCTTTTGGGGAGTTTCTTGAGATCCTCTTTCTCCGCCCCTCTTCTTAGGGGAGAGCCAGGCAGGGTCTGAACTTGCTCCCTCCAGCTGGACATTGCTAGAAAGAGAAGAGTCTAGTGCCCAGATCAAGGGAAGGGATAAAAAGGTAAAGAGACCCCTGACCATTAGGTCCAGTCGTGGCCGACTCTGGGGTTGGGACGCTCATCTTGCTTTACTGGCCGAGGGAGCCGGGGTACAGCTTCCGGGTCACATGGCCAGCAGGACTAAGCCGCTTCTGGCGAACCAGAGCAGCGCATGGAAACGCCGTTTCCCTTCCCGCCAGAGTGGTACCTATTTATCTACTTGCACTTTGATGCGCTTTCGAACTGCCAGGTTGGCAGGAGCAGGGACCGAGCAACGGGAGCTCACCCCGTCGCAGGGATTCAAACCGCCGACCTTCTGATTGGCAAGTCCTAGGCTCTGTGGTTTAACTCACAGCGCCACCTGCGTCCCAAGGGAAGTGATAGTCCTGCTCTATTCTGCCGTGGTCAGACCCCTCCTGGAGTCCGGTGTCCAGTTCTGGGCACCTCCGTTGGAGGAGGATATTGAAAAGATGGAGCGTGTGCAGAGGAGGGTGACTGAGATGGTCAAGGGTCTGGAAGCCAAGGAATGGTTGAGGGAGCTGCGGATGTTAGAATTCTTGCTCCGTGATTGCAGTCATGGGATTTTTGTCTATCACATGACGGTATATGTTTTGACACCACAGAATGGGAAGTGACGGAGACAGGATGTTTGTGTTGCTGAGTTCCATGAAGTGGGACTATTGTCCTTTGTTCTTTCTCTCTTTGCTGTCTGATGCTAGAGAGAGAGGGAGCCGTGTTGCAGTGCTCCATGTGTGTTTATATGTAAATAAAGTAGATTAGCCCAAATGCTGAGTTGCTGAGGTCTGTCACGCGAAATGCGCAAACTCTGCGGATCCCTAAGTGTGCCAGTGTCGGTTGGCATCGGTCGCTGTGATGTTCGGGCTGAAGAAAGATTTTGAAGCTCCTGAACAAAGGACCAGGAGGGAGAGAACATGCCAGCCGGGCATGTGTCTCTGCCAGGGTCCTACTCGAGTGTAGGACAAGCTCCTGACAGCTTAGCCTGGAGAACAGATATCTTAAGGGCTGTCACATGGAAAATGGAGCCAGCTTCTTTTCTCCTGCTCTGGAGGGCAGGACTCACACCCATGGCTTCAAGTTACAAAAAGTAGATTCTGACTCAATATCAGGCAGAACTTTCTGACAGTAAGAGCTGCTCAAGAGTGGAACAGTCTCCCTCGAAGGTTGCGGACTCTCCTTCCTTGGAGGTTTTTAAGCAGAGGCTGGATGGCCATCAGTCCTGGATGCTTTAGCTGAAATTCCTGTATTGCAGGGGGCTGGACTAGATGAGCCCTGGGGCTCCCTTCCAACTCCACAATTCCATGAGACGCCGCCCCAAAATGTTGTGCAGTGCCACCGTCTCTGGAGGACAGCAGCCCACACTGATACCCCGTTCTTCTCAAAACGAAGACTTCCACGCTTCTCAAAATAAATGTGGGGGTGCTTTCCCACCCACCCTAAGCATCACACATTTATGAAGCAAAGCTAAGAGACCTCCATCTGAACATTAGACCCAGCACCTTTCAGGCTGCTTTACATCAATCAAGAGATCGTACCGCTATGCTGTTACTTGAATAAAAAATATGTGTTAAAACTGTCACTTTGAAAGGGGCTCTTTGAAAAGAATGCTCTTTAAAACACACACACAAACATAACCGGACTCCCACTGGTTAGCTAAAAATGCCTGGATGCCCCAAAGAGATCCATGCATTTTCTAACCGCAGCCTCAGCTGCATGAGTTCAAACTAGTGAAAATGCTGTGTGGGCTTCCAGCTTCTGCTTAAAAACCTCCAATGAAGGAGAGCTGAATCTGAATGAATGAATGAATGTCATGATTATGGCCACAGACCAGTTCTGGCTCACTTACAATATCAGGAAAATCATAAAACACAACAGGAATACATTGAAGTGCAATTGGGTATAACAGAGACAATTCAGATATAGTGGCAGTTAAAAATATACATTAAATCTAAAATATAACCTAAAATTGTCATTTAAAACCTTAATCATTTTAGTAGTACAGCTTGTTCCCTAAGTTTTATGGCAGTTGCACAGAATTTGGCCAGGAGAGCTGCTGCTGTTGTTGCTACACGTAGAATTGTATGTGGGGACATGGGTGGCGCTGTGGGTTAAACCACAGAACCTAGGACTTGAGATCAGAAGGTCAGCGGTTCGAATCCCCGCGACGGGGTGAGCTCCCATTGCTCGGTCCCTGCTCCTGCCAACCTAGCAGTTCGAAAGCACGTCAAAGTGCAAGTAGATAAATAGGCACCGCTCCGGTGGGAAGGTAAACGGCGTTTCCGTGCGCTGCTCTGGTTCGCCAGAAGCGGCTTAGTCATGCTGGCCACATGACCCGGAAGCTGTACGCCGGCTCCCTCGGCCAGTAAAGCGAGATTAGCAACCCCAGAGTCGGCCACGACTGGACCTAATGGTCAGGGGTCCCTTTACCTTTACAGTTGGAATCACAGCTAAAGGTTCCCTGGCACGATGCCCATCCAGCCTCTGAAAGAGATCTCACCCACAACCTTCCGAGATTGCCTGCTCCTCTGTCCAATGGCTCTTACCCCTGGAAAGTTCTTCCTGACCTTGAGTCAGAATGCCAGCGTTGCCTGACTTCAAGCAACTTTTCTGATGGGTGGATTTGGGGCACCAGGGCAGCTCAGCACAGAATTGCGACCTTTGCCATGGCAGTTCATGGATGTTTTGTGGGAACCCCTTCTTCCCTCAAGCAAGTCTCAGGCCCTTGGGGTCTCCAAATTCCCGTTGCAGGATTTCTGGTGCCCTTTCAGAATAAAGACAGGGGGAGCGGTGAGGTTGCATCCTGTTTCAGGCTCCTGGGTGAGAGCAAAGAGGCCGAGAGGGCAGGTGTGTCAGAAGCGGAAGGAACTGACGCTGGGTTATTTATTTTGTAAAAATTATACACTGCTTGATTGTGTAAACAAACGACAACCCTCAAAGCGATTTACCAAAAATATAAAACAGTAAAATCAAGAAAAAAATACGACAGTGCTTTAAAACTTGCATAAGTTGAAACACCAGATCAGATTAAAACTGCTTCAACTTTCTCAGGAATTATATATATAAATGTGTGTGTGTGGCTTTATATTTTTGTACAATTTGTCGTTCAAGTTGTTAGTCGTCGCTTTACATTTTCGTACACCACGTAAGAGATTTATATATTTAAGAAAACTTATTAAGTGGTATAGAAGTGGTCTAAATATATAAATAATATTTTTCATTTTAAAACCAAATGCATTTTCCTCTTCAGGGGTCTCTTAAACACTTTCTCCCTCGCTTTTTTGCAGGAAGCGACTCCAACTCCCAGCAGGAGTTCACTTCCTGCCTGAAAGAGACGCTCAGCGGCTTGGCAAAGAACGCAGACGACCTCCAGGTATTACAATAATAATAATAATTTATTATTTGTACCCCGCCCATCTGGCTGGGTTTCCCCAGCCACTCTGGGCGGCTTCCACAGAGACCAAAAATACACTAAAATATCACACATTAAAAACTTCCCTGAACAGGGCTGCCTTCAGATGTCTTCTGAATGTCAGATAGTTGTTTATTGCTTTGACATCTGATGGAAGGGCATTCCACAGGGCGGGCGCCACTACAGAGAAGCTCTGAACCCCTTTCTGCCTCCCTGGCTTCTCCAAAACGCTTCCTCTGCGTTTCCAGCGGCGGATCCACTCTGCAGACCCTGTTTCGTCAACGCCTGTTTGGGGCGTGAGAAGAACAAATCCCAGTTGCTGCCCTCACTGCAAGCGGGGAGAGCGCTGCTGCTTCTCTTGCACCCAGGGCCCGCTTGCGGGATTCCACTTGGGACATTTGGTTGGCTGGGACTAGATGGGATGCTGGCCTGATCCAGAAGGCCAGGCTCTCCATGTGGAGGTCTCCTCTGATAGCAGAACCTCCATGCCCAAGAGCAGTCTACCACAGAATAACAGGTGGCAGGGAACTGCAGAGCTGCTGTTGTGCTCAGGGTCCCACTTGGGAGATTCCTTTTGGCCACTTTTGAGAACTAACAACAACAACAACAACAACAATTTATTATTTGTACCCCACCCATCTGGCTGGGTTTCCCCAGCCACTCTGGGCAGCTTCCAACAAAATATTAAAATACAGTAATGCATCAAACATTAAAAGCTTCCCTAAACAGGGCTGCCTTCAGATGTCTTCTAAAAGTCTGGTAGTTGTTTATGCCATTGACATCTGGTGGGAGGGCGTTCCACAGGGCGGGCGCCACCACCGAGAAGGCCCTCTGCCTGGTTCCCTGTAACCTCACTTCTCGCACTGAGAGAACCACCAGAAGGCCCTCAGATCTGGACCTCAGTGTTCAGGCTGGACGATGGAGGTGGAGACGCTCCTTCAGGTCTACTGGGCTGAGGCTGTTTAGGCCAGGCATAGGCAAACTCGGCCTCCAGATGTTTTTGGACTACAACTCCCATCATCCCTGACCCCTGGTCCTGTTAGCTAGGGATGATGGGAGTTGTAGCCCCAAAACATCTGGAGGGCCAAGTTTGCCTATGCCTGCTTTAGGGCTTTCAAGATCAGCACCAACACTTTGAATTGCGCTCGGAAACGTACTGGGAGCCAATGAAGATCTTTCAAGACTGGTGTTATGTGGTCTCGGCGGCTGCTCCCAGTCCCCAGTCTAGCTGCCGCATTCTGGATTAGTTGTAGTTTCCGGTCACCTTCAATGGTAGCCCCACAGAGAGCGCATTGCAGTAGTCCAAGCGGGAGATAACCAGAGCATGCGCCACTCTGGCAAGGGAAACCCCCAGAGCAGGATCCTCCCTTCCTCCATGAATTTGTCTGATCCTCTTTTAAAGCCATCCGAGTTGGTAGCCTCCTATGGGGCAGTGGGCTTACAACGTAGCCGGAGGGGCTGTAGGTCATCTCGTGCCTTTTCCTTCCATGAAGAGGTTGGCTTCCTCGCCCAGCCTCCCTAACAGCCGCCCCCCCTTCCTTCTCCCGCAGAACTCCAGCGTCTCTGAGGAGGAGCTTGCGAAGACCATGGAAGGCCTCGGCTTGGAGGAAGGAGACGGCGAAGGGAGCCTCCTGCCCATCATGCAAAGCATCATGCAGAACCTGCTGTCGAAAGATGTGCTCTACCCCTCCCTGAAGGAGATCACGGAGAAAGTAAGGCGGAAGGGCACACCCCGGGGGGGGGGGCGTGGCTCAGTGGCAGAACAGCTGCCTTGAATGCAGAAGGTCCCAGGATCAGCCCCTGGCATCCTAAGCAGGGATGGGAGAGGAGCGTAGATGGTCTGAACTCGGTGTAAGGCTGCTCCCTACATTCCCGGAAAAAACAATGCTGTCCAGGGTTGTAAAGACTGCGGAGAGAATAATTGGGTGCCCTCTTCCCACCTTGGATCAAATATACGCTTCCAGGTGCCATAAGAAAGCTGCAGAGATAGCGCAGGATAGTACGCACCCCGGAAATGATCTCTTTCAGCTTTTGCCTTCTGGAAGAAGGTCCAGGGTTAGAAAGGCCAGGACTAGCTGCCTGAGAAACAGTTTCTATCCAAATGTGATTTTGGTTTTAAATGCAGTGTAAGGTAGTCTCTGTGGGAGTATATTGTATTTTAAAAATGGGGTATCAGAGTTTTTAGGGGGCTAACCAGGTTGGGATAGCTGGGATAGCAGGCTTGTGGGTTTTGAATGTCTTATGTCGATTCCCCCCCCCCCCCCATATCGTTGTTCTGTATGGGACAATGACAATAAAGATTATCGTATTGTATCATATTGTGTTTAAAGCAACACTAGAACAATGAGGACTGGGAACCTGCTTCATTTTTAGTGGAATGGGCCATCGCTCAGTGATAAAGAGCAAGCAGAAGGACCCGGGTTCAGTGCTTCTCCAGGTGTGGCTTTCTGAAAGATGCCCGTCTGAAACCCTGGAGAGCCATGACTGCCACTTAGTGTAGACCAGGGATCAGCAACCTTTTTCAGCAGGGGGCCGGTCCACCACCCCCCAGACCATGTGGTGGGCCAGACTAAATTTTTTTGGGGGGGAAATGAACAAATTCCTTTGCCCCACACATAACCCAGAGTTGCATTTTAAATAAAAGGACACATTCTACTCATGTAAAAACATGCTGATTCCCAGACCGTCCACAGGCTGGATTTAGAAGGCGATTGGGTCGGATCTGGGCCCCGGGCCTTAGGTTGCCTACCCCTGGTGTAGACAGTCCTGAAGAAGATGAGCCCAAGTCAGGCTTCCTATGGTCCACGTAGGAGCAGCCTGGCCCACCCTCCCCTCTTCCTCCCCCAGTACCCAGAATGGCTGCAGAGCCACCGCGACTCCCTGCCACAGGAGCAGTTTGAGAAGTACCAGGAGCAGCACAGCATCATGGGCAGGATCTGCGAGCAGTTTGAGGCCGAGCTGCCCACCGACGGCGACACGGAGCACAAGGCCCGCTTCGAGATGGTCCTGGACCTCATGCAGCAGGTGGGTAGGGGGGAGAGGGCACGAAGGACAGGAAACTGAGTCCCCTGCCATGGTTCCCTTGCTGATGCCGCTGCCTGTTTTGTCTGCCTTTCAGCTCCAAGACCTTGGCCACCCCCCCAAGGAACTGGCGGGAGAATCGGTGAGTTTGGGCCGGGGGCAGATGGCGACCCATTTCTTCCTTCCTTCCTTCCTTCCTTCCTTCCTTCCTTTCTCTCTCTCTCTCTCTCCCCGCTGTCCTGCCCGCATTCCCTTCCTTCCTTCCTCCAGATGTAGTTGGACCACAGCTCCCTTCTTAATTCTGCCCACGCCTTTCCTTCCTGCACGCCAATCAAAGAATGGTGGGGTTGGAAGGGATACCCCAGGGCCATCTAGTCCAACCCCCCCCCCAGAATCGCAGCGAAAGCATCCCTGGCAGGTGGCCAACAAACCTCTGCTTGGAAACCTCCAGCGAAGGAGCGCCAACGTTCAGACGGGGCCCATTCCTCTGCCAAACGGCTCTTGTGCTCAGAAAGCTCTTCCTGAGGTTTAGTCAGAATCTCTTTTCTTGCAATTTGTTGGTTAATGTCCTTCCGGCACAACAGGAAATATTCCATAGAATGGCACAGTTGTGAGGGACACCTGTGGGTCATCTATTCCAACCCCCTGCAATGCAGGGGTCCCGGCTAATCTCCCCTTCTCTCCATCTTCTTCTTCCTCCTGCAGCCCCCCGGGCTGAACTTTGACCTGGAGGGAATGAACCTGCCAGACGCAGCCAGTTCGGGAGGAGGAGACCAGTGCCAGATCATGTGACCCCACAGAGCGAGCGGACCGGGAGGAACGCGGCAGAGGGGTCCCTGGAGGGGCGTTACTGTGTCCGGGGTTGGGGGGGGGCTGATTCTCTCTCCCCCTCCCCACCTCCTTTTATTTTGGTTTTCTTCAATCACCAGGTGCCTAAAAGGGGCTGGGCTGACTGTGTTAATACGTATGTGTGCGGGGGAACTTTATAAGAAAAAATCCAAATAGGATGATACAAGTCAGAGGCTTTCAGAAAGTCTCAAGGGATGTAAATGGACATGCTGCTGCCGTCTCTGGGGTCCTGGGGTGTGTGTGTGTATGTGGGGGTGCAAGAGACACCCCCCCCACACACACACTTCTTTCCCTTTCCTTCCCTGCCCTGGACCGACTAACAGATGGAGCTCAGCCGCCGTGTGTGTGTGTGTGTGTCAATTGCTCCCCTGGTTGGCTCTTGAGGGAGTTCACTGGAATCTGCCTTTTGGAAGCCGGCCAGTGCCGCTCCTTCGAAGTTCTGTGACGGTTTTGGGCCACGCAAGAAGTGTTGGCGCTGGACCAGAATCCCCTCCGCACCTGGCAGGGAGGAAGAGCCCCAGTGGGGATGCCTGGCCGAGGCGATTTTCAAAAAGCACTGATTTAAATGGGGGCATTGAAAACATCCCTGCCCCAAACAGCTGCTGGGTGCCCTCTCTCCCCACTTTTCAATACTAACCCTGCCTGCCCCTCTGGTTAACACTGCCCCTCTCTTGGTGCCTCTCCATCTCTGGGTCTCCGGGAACTTGGGCTTGGCCAGAGAGAAAGCCAGGAGAGGTCAGTCGGGGGGGCGATGCCGTCCTCATCCCGGCCAGGACTGGGGGGGTGGGCTCTGGAGTTTATGTCTACTCTCCTTCCTGAGACGGGCAGAACCTCAGAGGGAGGGGTGTTTGTGTGTGTGTGTAAGGATAATTATTAAAAATAAAGGTGGAAAAGCTGATCCTCTCTTTGCTTCCCTGCGTTTTCTTTTGATGAAACACTGTGTGTGTGTAGAGAGAGAAGTCAAGGCTTACTCCAGACACCCTGTTTTGTGTGAGAATAATTTCAGCGAGTTCCCCTAGGACACTGCTTCCGACTGACAAATCGCCAGCTATGTCCGGGAAATTCTGGACGTAGTTCGCTTCTTTAAGATCCTTCCCAAAAGTTGCAGCTGTCACAAGTGCATTTTGATGTGATGCCAAAACATTAATTCCTGCATGGCAGGGGAGTGGACTAGATGGCCCTTGAAGGTCCCTTCCAACTACAGTTTTATGATCCTTGCACGGAAGTTAATCTGATGCCATTTGGGGAGGAAGTTTGACAGGCAGGGAGCCACCACCAAGAAAACCCCACCCCAAAGACCCATCGTGGCGCAGCAAACAAGGCCTTTCCAGCAGATTGCAAAGCATGATGTGCGAATTATCAGGTCCAAGACCATTATTTACTTGTAGGGAATCAATCTCTGGAACTCCCTGCTCCTTGATATTAAGCAGGCACCTCCTTTGCACTGTAAAACTTTAAATTTTGTTGATATTTTGACAAGTTTTCCAACACTTTGAATTGTGCTTGGAAACCTACTGGGAGCCAATGTAGGTCTTTGAAGCCCGCTGTTATGTGGTCTCGGCGGCCGCCCCCAGTCCCCAGTCTGGCTGCCGCATTCTGGATTAGTTGCAGTTTCTGGGTCACCTTCAAAGGTAGCCCCACATAGAGTGCATTGCAATAGTCCAGGCGGGAGATAACCAGAGCATGCACCACTCTGGCAAGACAGTCTGCAGGCAGGAAGGGTCTCATCCTGCATACCAGATGGAGCTGATAAACAGCTGCCCTGGACACAGGGAAGACCTGTGCCTCCATGGACAGCTGTGAGTCCAAAATGACTCCCAGGCTGCGCATCTGGTCCTTCAGGGGTATAGTGACCCCACTCAGGACCAGGGAGTCCCCCACACCTGCCCACCTCCTGTCCCCCAGAAACAGTACTTCTGTCTTGTCAGGATTCAACCTCAATCTGTTAGCTGCCATCCATCCTCTAACCGCCTCCAGGCACTCAGACAGGACCTTCACCGCCTTCACTGGTTCTGATTTGAAAGAGAGGCAGAGCGCTCTTCTCCTGCTCCCCATAAGTATCTGGTTGATCATAGTAAGAACAAAATGCTGGACTAGATGCCCCCCTCCCTTTGGTTTGATTCACCAGCCAGGCTGCTGTGTCTCCATGGACAGCTGTGAACTCATGGCTATTCTGGGAAGCTGAATGCGGGGCAAATAACAGAAAGGCCTCCTTGGGGCGGGACAGAGTGGAACTGCGGAACTCTCTGCCACAGGAAGCAAGCTGGAAGCCTTGAAAGGAGGCCTGGAACCTAGAAATAAAAATGGGGGAGCCTGATCGTGGTGGTGCTTGAACAACAACAACATATTATACGATATAATAAAACAGTACGATATTTTTTGATTACTGCTTTTATTGTTGTTGAGGAGCTGCCGCTCTGCGCGCGCCTCTCTATGGCCCCCCTTCCCTCCCCCTAGAGCCCTTCTGCGCGCTCCTCTCGGCGGCTCTCCCCTCCCAACCCGGAAGCGCTTCTCTCGCGCGTGCGCGTTCCCCTCCCCTCCCTCCCCCCGCCTCCTTCGGGGTCGGCTGCCCGGGAAGTGTCGCAAGGTGTCGTGGTCGGGGGGCCGTAAAGCGCAGAAAGGGAAAAAAACACCCAGCGCTGCTCGGGGTCGGCGGCGGCGTCCGGGGAGCATCGGCGGCTGGGCGGCCCCATGGCGGCGCCGGAGGTGGTGGCGGCGGCCCCCCGGCCTGGAGGCGGCGGCGGAGGGGGAGGCGGAGCGGCCTCCAGAGGTGAGGGGGGAGGGGTCGGGCGCTTGCTCCCCCCCTCCCGAGAAGGCCCAGGAGGGGGAAGGGAAGGAAGGACAGAAAACGGGGGGGGGGCAGAAAACGGGGGGGGGTCCTGCTCCCCTCCCCCCTCCCCTGCAAAAAGGAGGAGGGCTGTTTGTTTGTTTATGGTGTTGCCCCCCCGTCTCCTTTCACCCCCCCCGAAGGAAGGGCAGAAAACGGGGGGCCCGTCCCCTCCCCCCTCCTTCGCCATAGAAGATGCCCTGCAGAAAGGAGGAGGGGGGTTGGTTGGTAGGTTTATGGTGTCGCCCCCCCCCAAAGTGGGTTGAGAAAACGCCCCTCCCGGGGGAGGAAGAAGCGGGGTGGGGGAGGGGAGGCGGCGTTTTTCAGGAAGAGCCCCTCCCCCCAAGAGGAGGGGGAGGGGCCGGGGGGGGTCGAAAAGGGGCTCCCCCTTTCTAGATCTCTCTTCTTCGGAGTTGCCCCCCCCCGCGTGGCCCTGGGGTTCCCTCGGGGCGCCTCGCCTTCTCTTGCCTCCCTTCCCCGCTTCTTCTGGCCTCTCCCCCCTTTGCCCCCGTTCCTGCTTCGCCTCTTCATCCCGGCTTGTGCTTATTTCTGGCATTTGCCCATTCTCTCCGTGGTCGCTGCTATTATTCACTTGCCCTTAAGGTCACAACAATTAAAACACAATAATATTAAGAACAGGTTGCAGCTGCTTCCAGTCGCCAAAATGAGGCGGAGCCTAAAAATATACATTTCTTTTTCAAAGCAGGGCCAGTCTCTCTCTTCATCCGCCCTCGTAACTTTATCTCAGTTTATGTTCAGTTTCTGTTGTGTATTTATATCCATATTTATTCACTGATATCTATGTTTATCTATGTCACCTCCCTCTGTTTATCTCTGTTAGTTTCTGTTTAAAAAATTCCTTCCAGTAGCACCTTAGAGACCAGCAAAGTTTGTTATTGGTGTGAGCTTTTGTGTGCATGCACACTTCTTCAGATACACTGAAACAGAAGTCACCAGACCCTTATATGTAGTGGGAGGGTGGGGAGGGGTGTTACTCAGAAGGGGGGTGGGAATGGGTGATTGGCTGATAGGTGTGGTAAACCTGTTGAGTGGCCAAAAATAGCTTTATCATGTATAATGAGATAAGAATCCAATGTCTCTATTCAAACCAGGTCTCTCCATGATTTTAAGTTTGGTAATAAGTTGCAATTCAGCAACTTCTCTTTCCAGTCTATTTCTGAAATTCTTTTGTAGCCGTGTTGGTCTGCCGTAGTTGAAACAAAATAAAAAAAATTCCTTCCAGTGGTACCTTAGAGACCAACTAAGTTTGTTCCTGGTATGAGCTTTCGTGTGCGTGCACATGTGTATCTGAAGAAGTGTGCATGCACATGAAAGCTCATACCAAGAACAAACTTAGTTGGTCTCTAAGGTGCTATTGGAAGGAATTTTTTTTACCTGTAACTAGTTTCTGTTTATCTATTCATCTGTCGTCTTTATCTGTACTTATCTTCCTATATGTAATCTCTATCATTTTAGCTAAAGCTGTCCATTTATATTTTATCTTTCTGCCAGCTATATCATTTCTCTATATTTATCATATGTTTATATTTACCTTTTTTAGCTATTCATATTTAATTGTATTTATCTTTAGCTTAAGTCTGTTTACATTATTTTTTCCTATCTTATCTTTTTTATTCGTTCATTACACTTTTGTCCTCCAGGGAGCTCAGGAGCTCCCTGTTTTATTTTGACAACAACCCTGTGAGTTAGGTTAGGCCTAGAGAGGAGAGACCAGTCCAAAGTTCATGGGTGAGAGTTCTGGCTGAACAGGGATTTGAAGCAGATGAATGGGCATGGCTAACTTAGATCCATTAGTTCAGTGGTTCCCAGTTAGCTAAGTACTGAGGACCCCTTGTTTTTCAAAAGCCAATCCGTGAATCCCCCTACTTCTGAAATTTTTGATATCTCTAGGTAGTTTTTGTTATGCCTTGGACTCCTTGGGTGGGTTACGTGGACCCCCACCCCGGGGCCTGCAGACCACCAATTGGGAACCACTGTTCTCGTTAAATACAACTCAGAGCTTTCTCAGCCCAATGCTGTTTTTTTATTAATACATCAGCACCTCAGTTTTCTTCCAAGAAGTCCAAAGTAGAAAATATGGTTCTCCCTATTTTTCCTCCCCTCACAACAACCTGGTGAGGTAGGTGACCAGCTGTGAGAGAGATTCCTTCAAATCTTGGACTCCAGTGAAATCCACAATATGGTTCTCAACTTCATGGAAGTTATGAAAATGCATAATTTAGGATTGAATATATTTAGTGATGTGTACATGGATATGAAATAATTAGGAGCACATTTGTTTGCGATTTGCCATCTTTTCTGCTTCTGTGTGTATATCTGTATATGTGTGAGTGGAGAGAGAGAGAGAGAGAGTGCACACACAGAGATCTGCACACATAAACAGATTTATATCCCACTTTTAAGGGTGAGAAAACTTTCTTATACAATGACTTATAAAACAAGAGTTTGAAGCAGCAGTGCACAAAGTATGAAGGCAATAGTTGTTGGTCCATAAGAAGAATTTCCCAGTCCACACCTGGGCAGGATCTTGATCAGGACCAAACCAAAATGTCACAAAAAGCAGACAAGTGTTTGAGTTAACCAGAATGGAGACTGACTGTTAAATGAAACGGAGGAGCTGAAGGTGGGTGGGAGGGGAAGAAAAAATTAAATGGAATTAGTCAGGATCTTGAGGTCTGCACTCGAGATTCATCCTCCGGGTGGTGATTGCAGACTGAATGAGGCTCATGGTTCTTCCTTGCAGGCATCAGGCTGCCCCCAAGTCTCATTGCGGGATGGAGAAACCATGGCTGGATCCCCCTGTTTAAAACAAAGCCCCAACATTTATCCACATCTGTCTCTATCAGTATTATAGATAGATTGTGTGTGTGTGTGTGTGTGTGTACACACACACACACACACGTAAAATTGAGAGAGCTGCCCATTGGTGTGTATAAAATAATTTTTTATTTAAGTAACTTATGTCTTATTGCTGCCAGAGGAATCTTCAAACCCCTTTTTCATACTATGTTTTGAGTTACAAAGACGTTTTTCTGGTATGAGAGGTATAGTATAATCCTTACCATGATGCCAGTCAAACGAAGTGGCAGGAAAGTTTTGGGTCCGGATGAAATGTTAGTGCCATTGTTTATTTATTACGTTTCTATCCCACCTTCTTCCCTCCAAGGAGCTCAAGGGCTCTCCTCCCCATTTTATCCGCACAACAACCCTGTGAGGTGGGTCAGGCTGAAAGGCAGGGTCTGGCCCCAAGGCCAGCCAGGGGGACGCTGTATGAACTGTATCATCACGTCTTGTCTTTCTCTGACTGCACTTCTTTGTAAAGCTCAATTATGGATACAATAAAAAGCATACACACATACACACTAGAATATAGATAAAACAATTATATATCTAAATAAGTTATGTGGCACCCTGGCACCAAATGGTGCCATCTGTTAGGAGGTCTCTGGCTCATTCCACTGGAGGGCCAGTCCAACGTTCCCCTGTGAAGCCCAGAACGTATTTTCATGCTGATTTACTTTGGTTGCTGGGACTTGCATGCCTCTTTTTTTCCTTTCGCATGCTGCTTCAATATTTTTTTGGGATGCCAAGCAGACTATTAATATTTCTGAAATACCATTTATTTTAAGAATAAACAAATGTGCATCTCAAATGATTTGGAAGGCAGTAAATTTCCAGTCTTTTCAGTGGGGCCTTTAGTTCATTGGAACAGAACCGTTTCGTGCAGATAAATAGTATTAACAAGGCAAAAGATTTATATGATCTGAAGAGCAACCAGAGTATTAATAATATATTTTTATTATTTATAACCCGCCCATCTGATCGGGTTACTCCAGCCACTCTTACATAAGTGAGTGTTGATACTTAAACGTACAAGTCTTTGCTTGCACATAAAAACTGTGTGTTTGCATCTGTTGCTTTTAAGAAAGGGAAAAGTTCAAAGCGATGCAACAGTGAAACCAAGTCTCAAGAAAGGGAGGGAAGAGGGAGCAAGAGAATCCGTTATCTGCTACCCCAAACTTATTAGTGCACGGGCAAAATAAAACTGAGATAAATTAGGTGTGGCTGTAAATTTGTTGATCCTTAAGGTGCCACAAGACTCGTTCTAACCATATGTACGAATTTCACTCCCTGTAACTTTCTCCTCATGTCTTTATTTGCAAAATGAGCTCCCACAGCCGCTTTTGATCCCTGTAGCAACAGGGGTGCTAAGGGGCATCATCGGTGGCCCATCAACTGCCTGAGCCTTGAAAGTCATAGAATCAAAGAATTGTAGTTTTTGAAGGAGCCCAAAGAGCCATTTAGTCCAACCTCCTGCAGTACAGGAGGAGTCTTCCAGCTGAGAGAGGCAACGCCACACAAATAAATGTGTGACTGTTTACCTGTTTCTCCACCAGCCACCCTTAACCCTGATACTAAAAAGATCCTTTGCACTAATGTGGAGACCTTTCAGGAAAAGCAGGATTGAAACCGCCCCACTTCAAATTCCATCTTCTGCTTTCTCCCCCAGTCTGACGTCAGTTCTACAGCACCAGTTCCCAGAGAGCTCCTGGATCTACTCTGCTCGAAAAGGGAGTCGGGGAAAGGTAAGTTTCTGCCTTGAGGTTCCTTAGTCCCTGCCCAAGAGTACAGAGCAGTGAGCAGAACTTTTGGGTGTCCAGTGCTGCTGGGGGGTGGCCTGGCATCCCTCCCAGATAAGTGTGTCCTTCAGGAGAAGCCCCATTGCTGATCAGTCCAACTTATTTCAAGTTAAACGCTTAGAAAATTGGGAGCGTTCATCTTGTGTTGGAATGGAAATACAGCCTTAATCGATGCGGAGGCCTTTGTCCAGTGACTACCACCGAATGAGGGGTGTGCGTTGTTGTTCAGTGTTTCATTGGTGATGCTGCTCTTACCAGATCCTGCGTCAGTAGAGTTGTATGCACGTAAGAAGAGCCTGCTGGTTCAGGCCAATGACCCATCTAGTCCAGCATCTTGTAATCACAGCAGCCAATCAGATGCCTCAGTGGGAAACCCAGGGGCAGGATTGGATCACAAGAGCATTCTCAGTTGGTATTCAGAAGGACTACTGCCTCCGACTGTGGAGGCTGGGCGCAGCCGTTGTGGCTAGCAGCCATTGATAGCCCTCTCCTCCTCCTCCTCCTCTTCCTCCTCCTCTGTGAATTTGCCCTGCCCTTTTTTAAAGCCATCCAGGGTGCATGGTGCATGGTTTCTGTAATCTGCTAATTCTGTGGATGTTGAATTCTGTGATGTTTTGCTAGGGTTCCTCCCTATTTTGCTTATTTTTTATGATTTTTTTTTAATGATAATCTTTATTGTCATTGTCCCATACAGAACAACAAAATTGAAAAAATCTACATCAGACATTCAAAAACCCACAAGCCTGCTATCCCAGCCTGGTTAGCCCCCTAAAAACTCTGATACCCCATAAATAAATACAATACACTCCCATAGGGACTCCTTACACTGCATTTAAAACCAAAATCGCATTTGGATAGAAACTGTTTCTCAGGCGGCTGGTCCTGGCCTTTATAACCCTGGACCTTCTTCCAGAAGGCAGAAGCTGAAAGAGATCATTTCCGGGGTGAGCACTGTCCTGCGCGATCTCTGCAGCTTTCTTATGGCACCTGGAAGCGTACATTTGATCCAAGGCATTTATATCCCAGTCTTCAGCAAAAGGGGTTCTCAGAGTGAATTACAAATACTGGTGATAAGATGGTCCCTGTCCTCGGGCTTGTGGTCTAAAATTCACAAAAGGAAAAGGAAATTGGAGTGAAGAGGGGGGGAAAGCAAACTCCGGTACTATTATTTAGAGCATGGATAGGGAACCTCAGGCTCAGGGACCCCCCAGACCTCTCTGTCCAGCCCCTGGGACTCTGCCCTCACTGACCTGTGCTTTGCACCCTCCTTGAGGGTCTTTGCCTTGCTGAAATATGCCCTGGGCCTCTGGTAATGCCTCTCATTTGCCTGCATGGAGGGTCGAGTCGGGTGTCTGTGTAGAAAGTCTTTTGGCGATTGCTCATAGCCGAGTAAGATGATCTTCCATGAAAATGGTCTTAACGGTGAATCCGTACGTGACAGTGGAGGCCAATTCTGGATCCATACATCCTTCCACAGTGGGGGCATAGGTTTCTGGGCGGGAGTTGATCACGGTGAGGGTTTGCTAAAGGTCAATTTGCGTTTGTTGCTCCGCCCACTTTTGCTTCTGACCCTGCCCACTTCTGGCCCCCAGAAGGTTCCCTAGAAGGGAATGCGGCCCCTGGGCTGAGAATGTTCCCCATCCCTGCGATGACCAGCTGCGGCCTCCCATCTCTGTCTCTCTTTCCCTCTCCTGCTGCCTGGTGGAGGTGAATTTCAGGCTGCTACGTCCCCTAGTAGGGGGGGCTTTGAATCCCACCTGCCCTTGATTCTGGGGTTGAGCACAGGGGACGGCCCTGACTCCCCTGGAGGGGAGCGTGGCTTTGGCCTCGGCTGCCTTGTGTGATGCTTCCCTCCTCCCTGTTTCCTTCAGCTCAGGCCAGGGCTCCTGGCTGGGCCTTTTTAATTCTTCCAGCAGCCAAAAGCCCTCGGAGCGGCTGGTGACCTTGAGTGGCCGCCCTCCTCCTGCCTGTTCCCTCCCTTATCTGCTTATGAGCAGTTCTGGGGCCCAGCCAGGATGTCTCACGGCCTCAGCCGGGCTGCCTCCACCTCCTCTAATCGCTCCCTGCGCAAGCCATAGCTTCCCTTTCCCCCGCTTTCCTCTGGGCTTTCCCTTGGCACTTCTTCAGAGTGAAGCTGTCCAGGGTCCCAGCTTCCCCAGTCTCTGTGGGGATTGGCCGACTGGCTCCACTGATCCCGCCCCCTCCCAGACAAACAGAGGGAGGGGCAAAGGAGGAGCTGCAGGTCAGCTCAAAAGGGTCCCGGGTCTTCGGATGCTGTGACTTTGGATTAGTTTCAGTTGAAACCAAGGGCCAGTTCCTCTTGTCGGTGACATTAATCCTCCCCCCAAGTGTGTGTTGCTCCATATGGCTCTTCACCAGGGAAGGTGGAAGCTGGGGGTCCTGCATGGCAGGGGGTGGACTAAATGAACCTGGGGGGGGGGGGCTCAACTCTATGCTTGCTTGGCCTTCCTCTGTGCTGCCTCTTTGTCACCTGCCCTCCAGCCAGCAACTGATGCCTGTCTTACTTTCATCTCCATGTGACAGCCAGGCCTGTAGAAGAGGGTGAATCAGCCAGATAATAGCTACTTTCTCTAGCAATTAGGCCAGCAGGAGCCTCTTCAGAGCCAGGCGATACCTCCTGCCCTTTGTCGTCTTCTTGAGCCCAAGTGACTTCCCTTAGACCTCACTCTGAACTTCCTTCCCCGCAGTGTTAAAGAAACGGCTGAAGGCTAACCACCACGGGGTCTCCAGAGTTTATGGCCAGGCACCAAAGAGCTGGGCTGCTCCCTCGGTCTGCTCTCGATCGCTGGTGGGCCTCTTATTTCAGAAAACAAGCAAGAAATCCCCCATGCCTTGTAGCTTAACTTAGCGCTTCTCCTGCCAGCTATGGATTTACTTAGCTGGCAAATGCAGGAGCGTTCTTTGTACATGAGCGGGATGAAATCCAATACAGTGGTTCCTCCGGTTGCGGACGGGATCCGTTCTGGAGGTCCGGCCAGATCCTGAGGTTTCCACAACTGAAGGACCGCTTCTGCGCATGCACACACGGCAAAACGCTGTAAAATACTTTCGGGTTTGCCGCTTGCGTATCCCAGAGGGTTACGTAAGCGGAGGTACTACTGTATATAATAAACACAGCACCAGCAGTGTTGCCTCTTCATAAACCAGGTTGGCAATGAAAGAATGAAAGCTGGCTGTTTTCGGATGCATGCTTGAAGTCTCGGGCGAAGGATGTCTGTGTCTGGGGCCAGCAAGATATAGGAGAGAGCTGCTGCTTTGGGGTTTCTTTTTGCGGACAGTGCATGGCAAGGTGCCACCTCTGGTCATTCAGATGTTGGTGGGAGAGGGGGCATTGGAGGCAGATTGTAATGCTCAGGGCGGCTCATGCAGAGGTCCCAGGTAGCCAGGCTCAAAGCGGCTTAGGGCTCTCCAGGTAACAACCGGCACTTCTAGTTGTGCCTTGGAGCTCAGAGCGCCTGGCCTTGAGGAGCTGCTTGTTTGAACTACTTCTCGGAAACTGCAGGAAGGGAAAGTGCTCTTGTTCCCGGGTCCTGCTTTTGTGAGGCATCTGGTTAGGCCAGGGGTTGGCAACCCGCGGCTCCGGAGCCGCATGTGGCTCTTTTACACCTTTGCTGCGGCTCCGGGGCGGATACTAGCGAGGGGAGGAGGCGCATTGTGCGCCCCGACACTCCCCACTGTGGAGGGCGCTGTACTGGCTGTGACATCGCATGGGGGCGGTGCGTGCGTTAGTCACGCACCGTCCTGACGTCACCTTCCCGCCTGCCCGCTACATTGTAAGGGGCATGTATGCTGGTCACTGCATTGAAGGGGAGTGAAGAACACACACACACAAAAAGATAACTTGTTAATTTAACGTTTATTTCTATGAGGAGGAGTAATTCCGAGGGGTCAAACAAAGAAATAATTAAAAAAAAGTGAAAAAAAAGTTATTTTTATAATGACGAGTTTTGCGGCTCCCAGTTTTTTCCCCTCCGGAAACGGGTCCAAGTGGCTCTTTTTGTCTTAAAGGTTGCAGACCCCTGGGTTAGACACTGGGCTAGGTGTCGTCGTCTGTCCCCCCTGCCTGATCCAGCAGCCAGGCTCTTCGGGTGCTTATATGGAACCTCCAGGTCCAGGTGTGGGCTATCTGGATTCCTAGGGTGCTAGGGGCATTTGCCCATGGAGAGAACAGAAGCCTGGACTAGGGAGGCCTCCTTGGCCTGATCCAGCGGCCCGGCCCTTCTGACATTCTTGTGTTGTCGTGTGCCGGTGGGGAGGAGACGTTCTTGCCTTCAACCTCTTCTCAGGCAGTTCCTGCGAGTTGTGGAGTTGGCCACAGGTAATAATAATAGTAATAACAGTAATAAAAAAAATATTTATACGCCACCCTCCCCAGCCAAGACCGGCATCAGGGCGGCTAACAACCGATATAAAACAAATTGATTGAAATACAACTTAAAAACAAGATTAAAATACAGCATTAAAACATTAAAATGCAGCCTCATTTCAATGGAAACTCAAATCAGAAACGTTTTTTGGGAGATGAAAATGTCAAATCTTCACCAAGGCCAACTATCCAGACTGGTCCTACATGGGCCAGAAAAAAAGCCAGGGAAGTCCCCAAATAGGAGTTCCGTCACAGAAGGAGAAAGGAAAAAGGAAAGAGGGGGAGGGGATCAAGTTGATTCCAAGCCAAAGGCCAGGCAGAACAACTCTGTCTTACAGGCCCTGCGGAAAGAAATCAGATCCCGCAGGGCCCTGGTCTCATGAGGCAGAGCGTTCCACCAGGCCGGGGCCAGTGTTGAAAAGGCTCTGGCTCTGGCTGAGGCTAATCTGACTTCCTGAGGGCCCGGGACCTCTAGGGTGTTGCTATTTATGGACCTTGAGGTCCTCCGCTGGGCATACCGGGAGGGGTACCCCCCACAACACCTTCCCTGCAGAACGCCCCCAGATAAGGAACTGGGGCCTGTGCTCCTTTTGGGGAGCGCAGGAACAGTGCCAGGCCTGTGTCTTCCACTCTGTGTGCCTCTCCGTGCAGATGGCGCCTGGCACTTGGTCTGCACCACCAGAGCCTCTGTTGAAGGAAGCTGAGATGGGCGGCTGTGATGACTCACCTGACCCCCTGCTCTGTGGGAAACAGCTGCGGGGGGGTGGGGGGTGCAGGAGGAGGAGGAGGTGGTGGCACCGGGCCTGCCCTCTGCCTTGCTGCCTCCCAGGCTCTGTCATCTCTGTGCTAATGCAAAAGTGACAGCTGACGGGGTGCAAAGAGGCACTTTCAGGGGAGGCGCATGAGCTCAGAGCAGATTTGCTTTGCTGGAAGAAGGTCCCAGAGTCAGCCGCCACTGGCACCTCCAGGTGGCACCAGGGGAGACCCAGGGCAGTCCTTGTGGGTCAGCACAGGAAGTCCTGAGCAAGGCGGGTCAAGGGCCTGACTCCATTTCCAATGTTTTCCAAACACACATCTTAGGTATTCAAAGTCTTGAATGAGGAAGGAAGCTTCAGAGCAGTCAGTGGACCCAAAATGTTTTTAGGCCGAAACCTCCTTGGCCCATAAACTCACCCCCAGTATACCCCCTGCCCTAGAGAAAAGTATTATTCAGAGTATTGGTTTGCATAACCTGTTAAGGAAGGTAACGGCACAATAAAAACAGTCACAATTTGTTGAAAATCTAGTTGAAACTGACGCAATTGATTCACAAAAACGTATGGACTTCATCCAGTAATTTCAGCTTTTCAAAGTCCAAAAGTCATTTGCCCCTCTAGCACCTCTTAGTGCCCCCTAGGCAATACCACTGCCCCCCCCCGAGGGAGGAGCCACCCTCTCCCACTTTGGGAACTTCTGGCCTGGAGCTTCCATGTTTCTATTGCTGAGAGAACCGGAGTGTGAGAAGGCTTCTGGGAGGGAGAGGTTTTGCTGACCCAGCCAGGGAGCTTGGAGTGGCACCCCGGGGGCGCTGGAGGGGGGCGGTTGGCTGCCCCACAACGTAGGAGGAAAGGAGTTCATCAGAGAAATAACGGGAGAGTTTGTGTGTGTGCCGAGGGAGCGTCCCGCTCTAAGAGGCTTGGAGGCCCCCTTGGTCCTTGGCATTCCGTGCCAGACAGAGTGACCGTTGGGGAAGGGCAGTTGGGCCCAGGGTCTCGGGGGGGGGGGGGCCTTCAGGAGGAATGGCTGCAATGTCACGGCTCCTGCTGGCTTCCTCGCGTTCGCAACCGTTGCTCCAGCTTTTCAGCTAGTCAGTTCTTCCCCGCCAAGCAGGCGTACTCCTGAGGGTGCTTTAGGAAGGCCTGAGGTGAAGTTCTTGGTGGGCCAGTTGATTTAGGGGATGCCCTGGCCCCAAACAACGCCCAAGCACTTTCGAGGCCACCCTTGGGCCTTCGGATCGGGGCCTGGGAACGAATGGGGAGCTGGGGCCCTCGTTTTGGCCAGGGAGCCTTGCACAGATCATGGCCCCCAACTGGAGGGAGGAGAGGCTTCATATCCTCCTTGGGGCCACGGATCAGCCTGCCTCTGGGGTCCTGCTCTGCTCCATTGGGGGCCAGCACCCCTTAGCCTTGCCTGGGGGGCAGTTTCAGCAGGCTGTGCCCCTCTTTCCTCCCAGCAGAGGCTGGACCCCATGTAGAGCAGCTTCTTTCACACAGTTGGGTCCCCTTTGTTGGCTCCGATGTTTACAGCCTCCTCCTTTTCTCTCTTTACCGAACCTCTCAGGGCGAATTCACGAGAAAACGCAATGTCAGACGCAGGAAGTAGCACGGATGGGAAAACAGATTTACCCAACGGTAAGAGGAGCAGGGTGGAGGGACTACAGAAACTTATATTGGCCTAAGTTCTTGGTGTGCTTTTTTCCAGTGGCTTCCAGCCACGTCTCTTTGGACTTGCGGGTCCCTGAATTGCAAGACCCACAACTTGCACGTGGGCTAGATTCCCACAAACCTTCCTGACACTGGCCTGGAGTGCCTCCTGCATGTGTGTCTCTGACACAGGAGAGGATCCCTCTCGCCCGCCTTGTCCAGTGAGCTCAGGATTCCTTGCAGCTTGACCAGAGAGAGGTTCTGAGCTCGTGTTTCAGGCCGTTGTGGATGCAGAGTCGCCAGGAGAAGTCAGAGCCGCAAAGGCTGGGGTGGAAGAAGAAAAGCCCTCCCTTTTGGTTTGGCACATGCCCACTCCTGAGCGCAGTGTCCAGGCCTGGGCAGTGCAACATGATCTCTTTGGCTCTGGGTTTTGAAACCCAAGTTGTGTGGCGGCGGCGGCAGCGACTCCTGAGCTGAGTCCCTGGAGAGCTGCTGAATCTGGCTCCACAGTGGAGGGGGTGAATGCAATAGGTGCGTGTGCCCCCCTCACCGAACCCGTGGGTCCCGTTGCTCATACTCCCCGTTTCTAAACCCACCCCAAACAGCTCTGTCGCATTATCTGCCCCTCCAGCTGACCTGGGGCACAGTCTGGCCTCTTCCCTGGAATTGTGGCATGCAGCAACCCTCTGTCTCTAGAGCTCCATTTGCTGCCATCCCGTCCACAAATCATAGAATTTTAGAGGTGGAGGGGACCCCTGGAGGTCATCCAGTCCAACCCCCCCTGCAATGCTGGAGAATCCCTGGCAGGTGCCCCCTCCCCAGCCTCTGCTTCAAAACCCCCAACGAAGGAGACTCTGCCACCTTTCGAGGGAGTCCTTTCCACTATCAAGCAGAAAGTTCTTCCTAGCGTTGAGTCGGAATCTCCTTTCTGGTTTCCTCCCCTGGAGCAGCAGAAAACAAGCTTTTCTTCCCTGGGCCAGCCCTCCAGAGAGTTGTAGATGGCTCCCATGCCACTCTCAGCCTTCCCTTCTCCACGCTAAACATCCCCAACTCCCTCAGCCGCTCCTCACGAGGCTTCATCATCACGCCGTCTCCCAAGGCCTTGTCGCCAGACCCTTCATCATCTCAGTCATCCTCCTCTGCCCACCTTCCAGCAAACATGACAAGAGTTTCATGTGGCTCTTCCTCTTGCCTTGGGGAAGGGCTGTCATAGCTCCTCCGCAGGGCACCTGCTTGGCATGCAGAAGGTCCTGGGTTCAGTCCTGCTGGGGCTGGGGAAGACCCCCTGCCTGAAGCCCCAGAGAGCCATTGCTGGCTTCCAGTGTGGAGAACAGTGAGCTAGGTGGAGCCCAGGGACCCCGACTCAGGGCAGCGTCAGCCAAGTCAGGGCGAAGGGAGGGAAGCTTCAGAGCTCAACAGCAAAGCACTTGCTCTCAGTCCTCTTTGGCTGGGAAAGATCTCCTCGCTTAGAACCCCAGCGAGCCATCACTGCCTGTCAGGACGGAGAGTCCTGAGCTGGCCAGACCTGACCGGGTGCACGAGGCGGCCTTGCTCTGTTCTTGAGTGTCAGCCCCAGCAGAGTTCATGCTGAGTGGATGGAGCCTGGCGGCACAGAGGGCAAGCAGGCAGAGCGGCATGACGCGTCTTGGGTGGGCGGGAAGAGTGTTGGCAGCTCTGCGGATCCAGCTGGCAGCGAGGGAGTGGATCCATCCTCCCTCAGCAGCTTTCCCCCACAGCCAGAGCAAAGGGGAAGCTGCCCCCCCCCCGGCACGTTCTGGGTTGCAGCTCAGCCCCTTCTGACCGACTTGAGGAGCTGGGACTCTGACTCAGCCCAGACGGCGTGGAGATGACTCCCTCTTTCAAACAAACAATGATTTATCGATTGCCTTCTAAACCGCCCTCTCAATTGACACAGAAGGTAACGGAAAACAGCTTAAGATGTTTAAAACAAGACTAGCAAGTGGATAGTCATGACAAAGACCCATTTATCCTGCGAGGAAAGCCTCTTGGGGCAAAAAGTGGGCACCTAGGCAGGGATGTTGTGCCACAGAACGGGGGCAGTCACCCTCAAGGCCCTGCTCTTCTGAGCTACTGGCTGAAGGAGCTTCTGAGATCTTCAGGGTTTGCAGGAGAAACTCACCCACAGACTGCCCTGATTTGTGGTGTGGATAAGGGATCAGGCAGTCTCAGATGACCTGGTGCTGGGCTGCATAAGGCCTCATGCGTTACTACCGCCACCTTGAATTTGGCCCGTTAGACGAACGGCACCCAGGGCAAATCCCACAAGTCAGGTGTTAAATGCTGGCAGTTGGTTTTCAGTTGTGACCCCTGGACCAACCCTGAGGGTAGCCCCACGTTAGAGACATGGCCGTAATCCAGTGCAGTTCCTTGGGAGTTTTCCTGCATTGTTGGGGGTTGGGCTAGATGACCATGGGGGGTCCCTACAGGACCTGCAGTTCTGTGAGTATCCACAGATATCGAGCTGGTGCGGTTTTCTCCAGGCTGAGGCAGAGAGGGGTAGGCAGGATGCCAGAAAAAGAACTGTTAGTGCATCTTGAGCGGATGCGAGAGCGATGTGGCTGTCGCATCTGTCACCCCACTGATCGCCAGGGTTGATTCGGCTGATCTGGCGGGTGCCCCCTCCCTCCCTCGTGAAGCCGTGCGCTTGGTGGAAGAGGAGGCCATCCCCGATAGAAGGAGTGTTTTCAAGGGTATACAATCGCTGCTTCTTGAGCCATCCCCTTGTAGTTTGATAAACCTCTGCATTGTTGGGGGCGGTCCCAGACGTGTGCTGCCTGGAGCAGTCTAGCAGGGGCTCCGATGGGACCGGAAACCTGGGGTGGGGAAGACGCTTTCCTGCGGCCTCACCAGCTGCCTCTCTTCCCTGCACAGGAAGCTTATCCAGCAGCCCGGAGGAGATGTCTGGCGCCACGGAGGGCCACGAGACGTCCTCGGGGGTGGAGGTCGAGGCTTCCGACCTGAGCCTGAGCCTCACGGGGGACGAGGTGGGGCCCAACCGCACCTACACGGAGAGCTCGGCGGAGGAGAAGGACTCGGACAGCATGGACGACACGGGCCACTACTCCATCAACGAGATGAACCGCACCTACGACCGCTCCCACTCGGAAGAGGAGGAGGAGGAGGAAGAGGAGGAGGAGGAGGAAGAAGAGGTGGAGGCGGCCGAGGCCCAGCGGTCCCGCCGGCGAGCCCAGCGCAAGCGTCCCAACCGGGACCGGGACTCCTCGGACGATGAGCGGGCCCTGGAGGACTGGGTGGCCTCGGAGACGACGGGGCTGCCTCGGCCGCGCTGGCGGGCGGTGCAGGCGCTGCGGGAGAGGGCTCTGGGCTCCTGCGCCCGCTTCGTCCACGAGGCCTGCGGCGCCCAGGTCTTTGTGCAGCGCTTCCGGCTCCAGTATGGGCTGGAGGGCCACACGGGCTGCGTCAACACCTTGCACTTTAACCAGCGCGGCACCTGGCTGGCCAGCGGGAGCGACGACCTCAAGGTGGTGGTCTGGGACTGGGTGCGGAGGCAGCCGGTGCTGGAGTTTGAGAGCGGCCACAAGAGCAACGTCTTCCAGGTGAGGGGGGCTCCTTCGCCCAGCCTTGTGGTTCGTTGGTTACAGCACAAAGCAAAGAATTCATAGTATCGTAATAGTGAAAGGAGGGACGTGGGTGGCGCTGTGGGTTAAACCACAGAGCCTAGGACTTGCCGATCAGAAGGTTAGCGGTTCGAATCCCCGCGACGGAGTGAGCTCCCGTTGCTCGGTCTCTGCTCCTGCCCACCTAGCAGTTCGAAAGCACGTCCAAGTGCAAGTAGATAAATAGGTACCGCTCTGGCGGGAAGGTAACCGGCGTTTCCGTGCGCTGCTCTGGTTCGCCAGAAGCGGCTTGGTCCTGCTGGCCACATGACCTGGAAGCTGCACGCCGGCTCCCTCAGCCAGTAAAACGAGATGAGCGCCGCAGCCCCAGAGTCTGTCACGACTGGGCCTAATGGTCAGGGGTCCCTTTACCTTTACCTAATAGTGAAAGGGGGAGTAGGCAATTTGAAAGGCCATAGATGGATTAGCAGCTCAAGACCTGGGTGAAGAGGAATGTTTTCGCCTGGTGCTGGAGCCACTGCAGGAAAGGCCCTGTGCTCATGTTGCCACCCTCGGGACCTCTCATGTCGATATGGGGAGATGCAGTCCATGACGTATTGGGGTCCTGAGTCTCACAAGGCTTTATAGGTCAAAACCAGCACTTTGAATTGAGCCCGTAAACTTAACAGGCACCCTTTGCAGTTGGCCAACATGGGTGTTGCATGCTCAGACCGCCTTGTAAGCAACCTGGCCACCAAATTCCATATGCACCATATGCAACTCCCATGACGTTCACAGAGCCCTGTGCTCTTCGGTAGGGCAGGGCTCAATCCGACTGTGGCCCACGGGGCCCCTTCCTTTGTCAGCCAGTACTTCCAGGCGTTTGGGCTGCTGATTGGTGGGTTTTGGGAGAGGGGGTGGGCCCACACTTCTGCTAGGGGCCTTCCCTGTTCTAGCAGCTGCTCCTGGGCAGGCCTTTAGCTCCTCCTCCCTGGGTGTCACTCAAAGCCTGGGAAACCAAACTCCCCGCCCCCCTTCTGCATCTCTCCTCTGCCGCGCTTCCTGTGACCAGGAAGGACCCCTTGCTGGCTGGAGGGGGGGGGAGTCACTCTGGGGTCATTTTGTGTGCGGAGGAGGGGAGGGTCTCCTTGTCCATCAGCTGCAGTCTCAGGGCCTCCTCTTTCTTTCTCCTGCCCTGCCAGGCCAAGTTCCTCCCCAACAGCGGGGACTCCACCCTCGCCATGTGCGCCCGGGACGGCCAGGTCCGCGTAGCTGAGCTCTCCGCCACCCAGTGCTGCAAGACCACCAAGCGGGTGGCCCAGCACAAGGGGGCGTCGCACAAGGTGAGTGGGCCGGCTGGGGCGGAGGGAGACCGGGCAGCGGGCTTCTAGTCCTGGGGGAGGGGGCACAGAAAGCGAGAGGGTGAGAGCTTGGGCCCATCTGCACACTTTGCTTTCCTAAGGGGTGGTGGGGAAGGTTTGACCCAGTAGAATGGAACTGAAAGCCATCTATCACGGATGCTTTAGTTGAGATTTCCCGCATCGCATGAGGTTGGGGTCCCTTCCATCTCTCCAATTCTGTGAGCCTTGGAAAAAGTCCCTTAGAGACGAAAGAGGAAGTGGGAAAGAACAGCACCCCTCCATCTTCCTCTTTCAGCTCTCTCCAGTGTTTGATGCGGGGCTCATGAGCAAGGGAGCAGCGATGTGGGGTGCTATGGGGCCTCACTGATGCCAGGGGAAATTCTTGAAGTTGCCATTTTGCCCAGCAGCCCCAAATAATCAGGCCCTGCCTGATGTCAGCGGCGCTGAGGGCTGGGAAGGGATGCAGTCCATCCTTGCAAAAGGGCTTCAGGGATGTTTATATAGCTCGGAGGGGGATTTCCCCCGCTTTATTTATTTTTCTTTATTTCATAAACATTTGTACACCGCTTGATTGTAAAAAAAAAGACCTCAAAGCGGTTTGCAAAAAGATGAAACCATAAAATAAAAAGAATTGCAACAGTACAACTTGCAAAAGTTGAAATACTTAAACAGGGTTAAATTTCTAATCACCTGGTGGGCTTGTCTGAACAGAATGCTTTTAGCAGGCCCTGAAAAGAGGATGGTGAATGTGCTTGCTTGGCATCAATAGGCAGGGAGTTCCAAAGGGCAGGTTCTGCCACACTAAACGATGGACTTCTTACAAACGTGGTGTTGGTATTATGTGGCATGCCTAGTAGTGCCATTTCTGTCGATGGAAGCGCTTGTGTGGGCACATGTGGGGTGATCTTGCAGGTAAACTGGTCCCAAGTTGTCTTTATTGACTGATAGTATCACCTTGAACTTGACCTGGTAGCAGATCTCAGAGCACGGGCGGTGCATGCTGGAAAGGCCTCACCCTGTCAGCAATCGTGTCGCAGCACCCTGCACTAGCTGCAGCTTCCAGGTCAAGTGCAAGGGAAGCCCCACAAAGAGTGCCTTGCAGTAATCCAGTCCGGAAGTGACCGGTGCGTGAACTGGGGTGGCCAGGCTTTCCTGGTCAGGAATGGCCGTAGCTGCCAGCTGCAGTTGGTCAAAGGCACTTCTGGCCACCGAGGCTGCCTGATCCTCCAGGGACAGCGCCGGGTCCAGAAGCTCCCCAAACTGCAAGGCTGCTCCAATTTCTCAGACCCGGGAGCTGCTCACCCACACTGCCTCCATCTTGCTAGGAAGTCTTTGGCCCTTGAGTCGCTCTGGCCTGGCAGCTTCTTGGGGATCGGCTGCTGGGCAGCGGGTCCCAAGGGAGTGTTGTCTGAGGGCACACAAGGGGTGATGGGGGGAGGCCTCGCTGCAGTTCCCTCCCTCAAAACAGCCCGCCTCTCTCTCTCTCTCAGTTGGCCCTCGAGCCAGACTCCCCCTGCACTTTCCTCTCGGCTGGCGAAGACGCTGTGGTCTTCACCATTGACCTGAGACAAGACCGGCCAGCTTCGTAAGTGTGTGGGGCCCCCTCTCGTTGCTCTAACTCTTGGCCTGCCCCCCCCCAGTAGTTCTCCTGCCCCCTTCTCTACTTTATCCCCAGCCCCCCTTGTTCCACACTCCCTCTCTAGATCAGTCCACCCAACCTCTTCCTGCTCTCTTGAGCCACGGTTTGGGCTTCTCTTTCTTAAAGCTGGGCTGGTTTCATTTCAATAAGTTGTCCAGATGTGGAGCGCACCCCCCCGGCCGCTCCGCCCCTCTCCTGTGGTTTTTTTTCTTTAATTGTCTCAGCTTTCATTGCTCACATTGAGACTGGGGCCAGATCCTCCATGTCCTGCGTCTCTTTAGGGATGCTCTTCTCTGGGGTGGGGGGATTTGGGTTCAGATTCCCCCCCCCCTCCAGGCTGCCGAGCATTTGGGGTGGCAGCTGTTTTCCTCCCGCTCTGCCTTCCTGGCTCCACTGAAGGGCCCCCCTCCCTGGTTCTCTTCCTTGAAGCCTGGAGCCAAGAAACAACTCCTTGCCACTTTTGAGCAGGACATGGCTGGGTCCTTTGGGGTCTCCATGCTGGAGCCTGAAGGGGTGGGTGGTTTTTCTCCATCGGGACTCATAAGCTGTGGGGGGAGGTGTGTGTGTGTGTACTGTATTTTTTGCTCTATAAGATGCACCAGACCATAAGACGCACCTAGTTTTTGGAGGAGGAAAACAAGAAAAAAAAATATTCTGAATCCCAGAAGCCAGAACAGTCAGAGGGATCGCTGCGCAGTGAAAGCAGCAACCCCTCTCACTGTTCTGGCTTCTGGGATAGCTGCGCAGCCTGCATTCGCTCCATAAGATGCACACACATTCCCCCTTACTTACTAGGAGGGGAAAAGTGCGGCTTATAGAGCGAAAAATACGGTATCTAGCCTTCTATCTCTATATCTCACCTTCTTCTAAGGAGCTCAAGGTGACAGAGCTTATTTCTCCCCGCAACGACCCTGTGAGGTAGCTTCTGCTGAGAGGCAGTGAGTGGCCCAAGGTCATAGTCTCTCCCAGCTCCTGGCGAGGAGGGGGGTGAGGAGGCTCTTTCCACTGAGGGGAATTCAAGCCCCCTCCCCTCTCTTTCTGGTTTGCATCCTCAGGAAGCTGGTTGTGACGAAAGAGAAGGAGAAGAAGGTTGGCCTCTACACCATCTACGTGAACCCGGCCAACACCCACCACTTTGCTGTCGGGGGCAGAGACGAGTATGTCAGGTGAGACCCCCTCCCGCCTGGCGACATCTCAGGGACCACTGAGCCCGCCCCCCGTCTCCCAGAACCCCGCAGTTCAAGTGAAGGCAGGGGAGGCTGTTGTCCTGGCTGGCGTTGGGGTGAGGCATTGACTCACTTTGGGGTTCTGGGGGCCTGTGGGGTTGAGGGGAGGGAAGCATCTTATTGGCTGGTTGTTGGGTCCATTGAGCCCCCCTCTTGGCCACCCGCGTCTCCCTCCTCCCGTGCCCCCTGCGGACATCTCCCCAATGTGCAAAGGGATAATAATTTATTATAGTAATTTTATCATTTATACGTCACTCATCTGACTGGGTTGCCCCAGACACTCTGGGTGGCTTCCATCGCATATACAGTGGACGCTTGGGTTGCGAGCAGGATCCGTGCTGGATGCACGTTTGCAACCCACAGCAGCGCGTCTGCGCACACGCGGGTTGCGATTCAGTGCTTCTGCACATGTGCAAAGTGTGATTTAGCACTTCTGCGCATGCGCGGCCGCCGAAACCCGGAAGTAATCCGTTGCGGTACTTCCGGGTTTTGGTGGGTGCATAACCCAAAAAAACGCAACCTGAAGCGGCTGTAACCTGAGGTATGACTGTAAAAAACATAATGAAACATCAGTCGTTAAAAACCTCCCGATACAGTCGTGCCTTATTTGCTTTTAAATAAAGAAATTGAAATGGCAGGCCTTTCCTTGCTCTGGGCGGGTGCCTGGATGTTGCTCTCAGCCACCTGCCCACTGCGATGTGACCTTGGGGTAACAGGCGTGAGCAAGGGAAGCCGGCAGCAGCCCTGAGCAACTTACAGGCAACAGCCCCAGTGGCACCCATGAGTCTCTCTCTCCCCCTCTCCCTGGGCGCCTTCCCTATTAGGTGGGTAGCTCCCCACACAACACGATTTCAGTTATGCGCACGGGGGCATGGAACATAACCCCTGCGTAAGTAGGGGACGCATGTAGAAGTAAACGAGGCTGCTGCTTTGCATAGTGTCTTCTTAAAACTGCAGTAATATCCAAGGCAACACAATGACTAAGTACAACAATGCGATGTCAATATAAATTCTTTATATAATCTATACAGAACATTAAACAGTATGAAATATATGAAACATGCCCTCTCTGCAAAACCAAATAAAGAATCTGACCCATTGCTTCTTTCAGAGACTTGCGTAGTCTACAAAGACTTTCAGAGACTTATAAGACTTATGTTTATTTGGTTCTATGTTTTCAAGAGAACCCATCAAGAGTGCATATTTTGTGACTTTCGGAGATTTATAAGATTTCTGTTTATTTGGTTTTGCAGAGAGTGCATGTTTCATATATTTCATACTGTTTAATGTTCTGTATAGATTATATAAAGAGTTTATATTGACCTGGCATTGTTGTACTTGGTCATCGTGTTGCCTTGGATATCACTGATAATTGTTTGCAACACAATTGTTTGGTTACTTCTTAAAACTGCAAGCTGACCCCCTTTTCCCTTCTGGCGTTTCCCCAGGGTCTACGACCAGCGGAAGATCAATGAGAACGAGAACAACGGTGTGCTGAAGAAGTTCTGCCCTCACCACCTGGTAAGGGCCTTCCTGGGGTCCATGTTCCTTCTTCCCTGCCAGGGTCTTTGCCCTTCATCCCCCAGCCCTGCGGTGGTTCTTCAAGGAGCACACAAAGAGCCTGGCTTATGGATCAGGCCAAGGGGGACCTGCCCAGTCCAGCCTCCTGTCCTCCCAGTGCCGAAATGCTCCAAACAGCTTAGCAATCTGGACAGACTGCCCCTGGCGCTGGAGGTTCCATAAGAACGCAAGAAGCGCCTGGCTGCTGAATCTGATCAGCCCACCTAGTCCAGCCTCGTGTCGTCACAGGGGCTGGCTAGATGCCCCCAACGAACCCCCCCCCCGAGCGAGTGGGATGCTGGATTGTTAGGGGCCGCCTCTCTCTGAAATCTTGGCCTGCCTGCCCCAAGTGCAAAAGCTGCCTCTGTGCTCAGCCCACGTGGCTCTTTGGCATAAGAACCATAAATAGCAACACTCTAGAGGTCCTGGGCCCTAAGGAGGTGGAACACTCTGTCTCCTGAGACCAGGGTCCTGCGGGATCTGATTTCTTTCCGCAGGGCCTGCAAGACAGAGTTTTTCCGCCTGGCCTTTGGCTTGGAATCAACTTGATCCCCTTCCCCTCTTTCCTTTTTCCTTTCTCCTTCTGTGATGGAACTCCTATTTGGGGACTTCCCTGCCTTTTTTCCTGGTCCATGTAGGACCAGTCTGGATAGTTGGCCTTGGTGAAGATTTGACGTTTTCATCCCCAAAAAGTTTTTGATTTGAGTTTCTACTGAAATGAGGCTGCATTTTAATGTTTTATTTTAATCCTGTTTTTAAGTTGTATTTTAATCAATTGTTTTTACACCTGGTGTTAGCCGCCCTCAGCCCTGTCTTGGCTGGGGAGGGTGGGGTATAAATAAATTATTATTATTATTATTATTATTATTATTATTATCTGGGGCTGGAGGGTCTTTGGGAAGGTGCTCTGCTGAGCTTTCCTCTGCTCCCCGATTCCTCCGTAGGTGAACAGCGATTCAAAAGCCAACATCACTTGTTTGGTCTACAGCCACGATGGGTCAGGTACGTGGGGCATAGGGGGAGCTCTCTGGGGGGGGGTCGGCCACCAAGCTAGGAGGGCTCCTCTTCTGTTGTGTTGGGTGCCAGGACAGCCCTTGACCAGGAGAGCCTGGGAGAGGCACCTTCCAGGGTGTCACAGACAAGGAAGTGCAACAGAGGGAGGGAGGGGGTTGCCCTGTCCCAGTGCCCCCCTCCCTGGTGAAGGCTGGGAGGTTGTGATGTCTTAGAATCTGCTGGCCAGCCTCTCCCCCCCCCCCAAGGCCAACGAAAGCTCTCCCCTCCTGCCATTTCCCAGATGCAACTGAGGTTTCCCCAATGTGTCTTGTTGCAGAGCTTGTGGCCAGCTACAACGACGAGGACATCTATCTCTTCAACGCGTCCCACAGCGACGGAGCCGAGTACCTGAAGAGATACAAGGGGCATCGGAACAACGCCACAGGTGCAGGAGCAGCCTCCCACCCCCCCCCCGCCACCCCTGGCAGGGGGAAATGCCCCCTGACCTTGATGGCCTGTGGGGCTGGCAGAGCGCCTGGCCTAGCCTCGCTCAAACCCCAGGCGCTTTTGCTAATGTTGAAAACTTCCAAGAAGGGGCAGGTCTGATCTAGATATATATATGTAGGCAGGCAGTAGGCTCACAACTTACATGAGGGTTATATTCCGGGGGGCTGCATTGCAAAGGGGAAATCGCACAAAGTCGGGACGACCCAGAATGCCCCACATCTCTGTGTGACTATCGCTACCTGGGTAGATTGAGGCTTTTGAAAGGCTGTGGGTGGCTCCCATGAAATCTCAGGTGGCCCCTTCCAACTGGTCCCCCCCTCCCCATTTATTTCCCCTCCACCCACGCAAAGCTGCAGTTTCATAAGTAAATCACATGTGAGTTGTAGTGTTCCTGTAAATGTAATTATAAATGCATTCTCTGGCCAAAATGAGATTGATTTTGCCAGAGACCAAGCAGATAAGCAAGTGAGGAAGGGATTCCAAAGTCGTCGTCCCCCCCCAGCATCACCCCCACACTCCCCAATCACCCCCTGCCCCTGTTCTCTCCCCACATGGCCCCCTTGATGGCCGCAGGGCCCAGAGTCACAGCTTCCACGGCGCCCCCTGAGCAAGGGAAACTTGCTCCTCTGGGAAAGGAGGGAAGGAAGGGAAGTGCAAGGGGGAGGCAGGGTCTCCTGGTCCCCCTAGTGCAGGGGGGCTGCTGTTCTCTTGCCAGGAGGTGGCGCTGGGGGGGGGGGGGCAGCGGTTTTGCCGGGCACTCACCCAGACCACTTCTCTGCCTGCAGTGAAGGGCGTCAACTTCTACGGCCCCAAGAGCGAGTTTGTGGTGAGCGGCAGCGACTGCGGGCACATCTTCCTGTGGGAGAAGTCGTCCTGCCAGGTGGTGCAGTTCATGGAAGGCGACCGAGGAGGCGTGGTGAGGGGCGTGGCTGGCCGGAGGGCTGCTTGGACTGGGAGGGGGGCACAGCTGGGCAGGCTTGGTTAAGGGGGTGGGTAGAATTCAGGGGGCGGCAACCAGAAGGCCTGTCCTGTTGGCTCCTGGAAGAAATGGGTGCAGAGCCTGTCAGCATCGCCCTTGAGCCAGTGCCACCAACTGGACTCATCCACTTCAGCCCCGACTGGGCTAGGCGAGCTGGGTAGCACTTCCAGAGACCACCTTCTGCACAGGAACAGGTCAAAGTGCTGTGGACTCACAGCTTAGAATTGTGAGCACCGGATTCACTTCCACAAGAAGACAGTCGTCGCACAGCAGAGTACAGCAGAGCATAAACGACTCGGAGAGCAGCTCTGTAGAATATCTTCTTTATTCTATCTACAACTATAATACACAACTATATACAGAGCTAAATGAGGTCTAAACGAAAATGCTGCACTGCACTGAGTGTCTGCAGCTGCTCTTAGCAGCAACCTTATCTATACACACGATCTCTAACACTCAGTCTCTCTCTCTCCGACACACTGACTGACTGACTGATGTTAGGCTGGAGCAGAATAAGTAGAGAGCAGAACACCGCCCCTCCTCTCTGGAAAATCACCAGACTCATCAGCAGATTCTTGGATATGGGAGGGGTGAAATCTCCTCAGAGCCCACCTCTTTCCTGAAGCAAATCTGCCATCCCCCCTTATCCTTGGGGGGGGGGGGGACACACACAACACACCATCTTTTCTGCCTCCCCCAGCATGTCTACTTTGGGAGGGGCAGGAATGCAGGCCGTGGGACAAAGCAGCGACTCCTCTGCTACCTTCTTGCCTTCTCAGCTGTTTCTGGGGTGACCCAGAGCCATAACTCCGCTCCAGGAAAAAAGGTTTTTGGATATTCTTTCAGGTCAACTGCCTGGAGCCCCACCCTCACCTCCCAGTCTTGGCCACCAGCGGTTTGGATCACGACGTCAAGGTCTGGGCCCCGACGGCGGAGGTGCCCACCCAGCTCACCGGTTTGAAGGAGGTGAGGGCCGCCTTCTCAGCCCCATGGAGACTCAAGGGGCCCCTGCTGGCCAAGACCCTCTCTCCTCCGCCCTGCAGTCTGGGGGAAGCTAGCATGGCGGGTGGGATGGGGGCTTCCAGTTTTGGTTGGACTCCCAGGGGGGCCAGGGGTGAGGGTGATGGTAGATGTCAGAGGAGACCATATAACACCAGTCCTGAAAGACCTGCATTGGCTCCCAGTATGTTTCTGAGCGCAATTCAAAGTGTTGGTGCTGACCTTGAAAGCCCTAAACGGCCTCAAAGGCCCAGTATACCTGAAGGAGCGTCTCCACCTCCATCGTTCTGCCCGGACACTGAGGTCCAGCGCCAAGGGCCTTCTGGCGGTTCCCTCCCTGTGAGAAGCCAAGTTACAGGGAACCAGGCAGAGGGCCTTCTTGGTGGTGGCACCTGCCCTGTGGAACACCCTCCCACCAGATGTCAAGGAAATAAACAACTATCTGACTTTTAGAAGACATCTGAAGGCAGCCCTGTTTAGAGAAGCTTTTAATGTTTGATGTTTTATCATATTCTTAATATTATTAATACTCTGTTGGGAACCGCCCATAGTGGCTGGGGAAACCCAGCCCGATGGGTGGGGTATAAATAATAAAGGATGCTGATGATGTCCGGAGGACCACAGACGCTGGCTGGGAAGGAGGTGGCTTGGGTTGTCCTTCCACGCCTCTCTGGGAGGCTTCCTGTGGCTTCCTGCGCTTGTGGGAAGCTCATCAGTACTGGAGCCAGTGGCCATTCAATGAAGCGGAGGATTGGAAGGTTCAGGACAGATAAAAGGCCGTCCCTCTTCACTAGACGGGCCACTGAGTCGGCAGGGACACCCAGGGGCATCTAGTCCAACCCCGTGCAGTGCAGCAGTCTTAGGTTCCGAATGGGCCCTGGGCAGCCTAGTGACCCTCTCTTCCTCCTCCTCCTCCTCCTCAGGTGATAAAGAAGAACAAGCGAGAGCGGGATGAGGACAGCCTGCACCACACGGACATGTACGAGAGCCACCTGCTCTGGTTCCTGATGCACCACTTCCGACAGAGGCGGCACCACCGGGTAGGGCGGACGGGCCAGGCTGAACTGGGGGGGGGCAGGGGGGAGGATGGTGTGTTGGAAGACCGGGAACGGGGGGTCTTGAAGATCACCCCATGGGGGTTTTGGTCGGTTGGGAGGGCGTGGGGCTACCGAGTTAAAGCCCCTCCCTGAATGACACAGCCGTGGGTGAGCCTGTTTTGGCGATGGGCTGATCCTGAGTGCGCTGAGCCCCCTCTGCTCTCCCCCCCCCCTCCAATATGGGACATGGTCACAGCCCCCTACTCTTCCCTTTCCCCCAGCGCCGAAGAGATCCAGGCACAGGGGCGACGGACAGCGACTCGGACGAATCCCCCAGCTCCTCTGACACGTCGGACGATGACGAGGAAGGCCCGGATCGGGTGCAGTGCATGCCTTCTTGAGACCCCCCTCCGAGGATGAGGAAAAGGTGGGGGCGTGAAGAGTGTGCAGACTTGAATCGGCAACAAGATGCCCACCACTTTGAATTGCCATCTATTCCCCCTCCCTGCTTTTTACTGAAACACCAAGGAAAGCCCCCCCTGCCCCCCGCCCTCCTTGTCGCTGGCCCTCCCCCAGGGGCAACCTGCTTGGCATTAATTGCACTTGGACTTTGCTTGAGGGGGGCAGATGAGGGGGGGCCCACATGGGACGCCCTGGGATTCCCTTCTGCTCTCCCCCTCCTCTCTCTGCCTCGGTTTTGGCATGGGGAAGAGGGAGGCCTGCCCCCTTCCACCCCCTCATTTCCCCAGAGGCATGGGGTGGGGGGAGTGGGAGGGAAGGGGCTTGGTTGCTCCCCCCCCCCCCGCCATTCCCTGTGAAGCTTCCTTTTGAGTGAGCTGAGTTCGGGTTCTGCCTCCCTCCTCCTTTCCTTTCAGATGTTGGTGTGAGCCCCAAAGGGGGCATTTTTTTGGAGGTTTTGTGCTTTTTTCTCCCGTCCCCCCCTCTCCTGTTTTTGAGGAGCGCCCTTGCTTGCCTGCTTTCAGGATGAGCAAACTTGGACTCTTTGCTTTATTTCTGATTACATTTTCTTTTTTTAGAGGGGGGGCGTTCTTCTCCCTCCGCCTCCTGTTTTTTGTGTTCTTCCTTCAGCAGAGTTCTAGCGGCATGAAGAGCTCCCTTTTGCAGTCTAGAGCTTGCCTTGGCCCCCTCGGACGCCCCTTCGCCCAACCTTTTCGGAGAGTAAAGGGTTTTTTTGTTTTTGTTTAAGAGAGGTTTAAATGCAGAGAAGAGACATGGGGCTGATTCCCCTCCCCCTTTTGCGGTGGGGAGGGGGGCTCATTCGTGCCCTGCGGAGGGAGAGGGGTTCTCGTGGGATCCCCTCCATTTGCCCGAAGGTTCTTTGTGTTTCATTTCCCCCGCTCCCCTTCCCTTTAAAAAATAATCTTATTTGTTTTCGAAAACAACTGCCCTTCTCCCCCTCCCATCGCTGTTTAGAGGCCTAATTTTATATGTATTAAACAAGACAAGAACCAAATTAAAACTTGGATGTTATCAAGTTAAAATTATTGTAAAAGTTTAAATATATATATTATATAAATGCAATAAAAGAATTGAGAGACAGGCCTGCCTGTGTGTGAAATGGGTCCGCTGGGAGCCTGGCCGGAGGTTCCTCTTTGCCCTTCCTGGGGCTGGAGGTGGGGCTCTGGCCCCCCTTTCTGCGGCCTTGTTCGCCTAATAGACTCCACAGGCCTGGAGGGGGCTCTCACTTCAGCCCCCCCCTCCTCCTGGCCCTTCCTTGCCTTTGTCCCATCTTTCCTGAATCACCTTTTTATTTTTTGCTTCGCTGGCTGTGCCAGCACTTCTGTGTCCCCCGTGCACCTCCTTGAGTCAGCCAAACTGCTGGAGCATCTTGCCTTCGTGATAAGGACATCTTTGGCATCAGCAATATCGAGATCTTCTTTCCAAAGTCAGGCAGCCAGGGGCTGAACTCTTCAGCCTCGAATCCTGGTTTGGTTTTGCTTTTTTTGGGGGGTGGCATCCCATAGGGACACGGGTGACACTGTGGGTTAAACCACAGAGCCTAGGGCTTGCCAGTCAGAAGGTCGGTGGTTCAAATCCCCGCGACGGGGTGAGCTCCCGTTGCTCGGTCCCTGCTCCTGCCAACCTAGCAGTTCAAAAGCACCTCAAAGTGCAAGTAGATAAATAGGTACCACTCCGGCAGGAAGGTAAACGGCGTTTCCGTGCGCTGCTCTGGTTCACCAGAAGCGGCTTAGTCCTGCTGGCCACATGACCCGGAAGCTGTATGCCGGCTCCCTCGGCCAGTAAAGCGAGATGAGCGCCGCAACCCCAGAGTCGGCCACGACTGGACCTAATGGTCAGGAGTCCCTTTACCTTTACCTATCCCATAGGGGCAGCACAGAGTTTGAATAGTGGGGGAGGACTCGTAGACGTGCCCACCCCCTCCCTACCAAATAAGAGCCAGTGACTTCACTTTGGGGGTCAAACAGACTAGCCCCTCATTTTAAATGTATTTTAATATTGTGTTGGAAGCCGCCCAGAGTGGCTGGGGAAACCCAGCCAGATGGGCGGGGTATAAATAAATAATAATTATTATATTATTATTCCTAAAGACAGCCTCAGGCCGGCTTTTTTGGGGAGTGAAAGGGTGAGTGCTTCGCTTTGTCAGAGCAAGTTGCCTTGAACGCTTTGGCTGTGTCCAGAGATCAGCTTCGTTCCCAAAACAAATTAATGCCCAAACAGTAAAGGCGCTCGTGGCCTCAAGCAAATTATAGACTCGCAGAGCTGGAAGGGGCCCTCCCACGGTCATCTAGTCCAACCCACTGCAATGCAACGATCACAGCTTAAGCTTCCCTGGCAGGCAGCCATTCAACAGATGCAGCCCTCAACCCCCCCCCCCCCAAAAGTTATCTTTACAGATGGTGAGGTGGCCCTTTTGGTTGTGAGAACGTCTCTTCCTACACACAAACACCCCCCTCCTAGGGCCTGCCAGCTGCCTGGCATTGTCTTCCTCCTCTTCCAGTTTGAGTAATGGGGGGGGGGGGGAGCTTAGCTTACTTGCACCAAACACCCAGGAACTTGGGGGGGGGGCCTTCCATGCTATTTGGCTGCAAGGGTCTCCTCAGGAGGAACAATCGCTCCCCTTGTCTCCCTCTCCTCCTGCTTAACTGAGAGGGGAGAAGGTGGTTTTTTTTAAAGAAAACACAGTCATCACGTACACAATACCTTTGACTTTTATTTCCATGATTAGCACAATGACTCTCATTACATTTTGGAGAGAAAATTCGAGGGTGGGGATCAGGGGAGAGTAATCAAAGCAGGAGCTTTTATTTCCTTTACTCTAAAAAAACAACAAAAACCCTTAAAAAATTAACTTTGCAGTTATGACAAGTTTTGATTAAAGAAACATTTTCCTTTAAAAAAAAAAAGTTGCGGATAACGTCGCCACTTACAGGAGAAGGTAGGAATGAACAGTGCAAGTCAGCAATCCACTTTGGGGGAAGGGGCACCAATTTGGGCACAGCTCAGGAGCTTGGGGTGGTGGGGGCTGTGGAGACCCCTGACCCCTCGTGTTGACTTGGAAACATGGAATTGGAGAGTGGGTGGGTGGGTGGGCGGGCTGCAGGCGGCCGAATCCAGACCCCCCCCCCATCAATACAGGCCTTGGGCTCTCCTTGAGAGCTACTCCCTTTTTAACTTCCTTTCTGCTGGGCAGAAAGACTGCCATCCATCACTTCCACTCGACAGTTAAAAGACACTCGCTTCAGTGGTTTTTCTGAATCTGGACAACGGCCCCAATCCAGTGCAGTGGAAGTGAACCCTGCATCCCCCCCCCCCATTTCATTGGGAACACTTAACCCACAACACTCTGACGGCATTTATTTAGCACCCCTGGCTCACTTCCTTGTCATTGGCCGTCCTGGGAGTACTGGCTTTCCCCAATTTTTTTAACGTCCATTTTTCATTTATTGAAGCTGGCAGTGTTTAGCCTAGGCATAGGCAAACTCCGGCCCTCCAGATGTTTGGCACTACAATTCCCATCATCCCTGGCCGCTGGTCCTGTTAGCTAGGGATGATGGGAATTGTAGTCCCTAATATCTGGAGGGCTGGAGTTTGCCTGGAACAGATTTTTTTCTCGCCAGTGTGGCTACCGTGATGGAGGGTGGAGTTGCCACGGGGAAGGGGGCAGGCAATCTGGCTGTGGATGAGGAAGACTGGCAAAGGAAAGGAAAAGCTGTTCATTTGCAGAGTGTAGTGGGAGAGACCCCAATGGCATCTCGACTAGCCCCCTGCAATGCAGGAATCGGAGGCGAAGAATCCCTGGCAGATGGCCATCCAGCCTCTCTTTAAAAACCTTCAAGGAAGGAATCCATAGCAGAGGATGGTGCAAACAAGGCTCGGGGGCATCTCAGCCCAGGAGTAAAATACCCCAACCTGCCCCCCCAACAGCCAAGTTCATTTACTTGCAGGGGGTGGTGGTAAATATATTCCATAGATCCACTTGATTTGAGTGAACACAAGAGAGGCCTGTTTTTTATCCCGACTTTACACAGAATACTGCCTTTTTCAATAAATCCTCACAACCCTTTGAGATAGTCCTTATCCCTCCACTGTGTATTTTTGGCTTAGCCAAATTGTATGCAAACAAAATACCCCATCAGCTATACTGAAGTTATGCTTATTTATCGTTTTGTTCAAAGAAACACTTCTTTAATCAAAAATTGTGTTGAGTTAGAAACTAACACTTTGTTACAGTTCCTGTTTGCTGTGGTTTTGTTTTTTTGTTTTGGTCCACTTGACAAAAAAAAGAAAGAGAATAAGTTAACACTAAACACTCAATATTATATTTAATATACATATATTTATAATATATATGTACACACAGTTAGCACGGTCTGAGCGTCAGGGGTCAGGGACAGCTGGGGAGGGAGGAAGTAGAGAGAGCTGGCGGAGAGGCAGGATTGGGGCCTGGCTGCTTCCTTCCCCTGTTCTGGCTCCTGGAGCTTCTGTCCGGCTGCAGCGGACTACAATTCATGCACCTGAACTTAATACGGAGGGCGGGTTTGTACTATTAAAAGAAAATAAAAACCCTGGCCACGTCCCGGAATTTTAAATCTGAGACGCCAGAGGTGGCACACTGGTTTGACTGATAACATTCAGTCTGCGTGGAAGCTGCCTCCTTGTGCTCATCTTGGAGGTAAGAAAGTGTTGTGGTGGGGTTAACTGAACAGTAGAGTCATACCTCAGGTTACAGACGCTTCAGGTTGCACCATTTCGGGTTGCGCACTGCGCTGAACCCAGAAGTACCGGAACAGGTTCCTTCCGGGTTTCGGCGCATGCACAGAAGTGCTAAATCGCTCTTTGCACATGTGACAGAAGCACCAAACCGCAACCCGCGCGTGCACAGAAGTGCAGATCGCAAACACTGCGGGTTGTGAACGTGCCTCCTGCATGGATCACGTTCGCAACCCGAGCGTCCACTGTATGTGCAAAGTTGCTTTTGTGTGTATGTGTGTTTATATATATATGTGTGGCTTGTGGGAAGAGGTTCTTTTAAACAGTGCAGGGCTTTGCTCATTGGTGGCTCAGCAGCAGAGCACATGCCTGGCTTGCAGAAGGCCCCAGATTCAGTCCCCAGCATTGTCTCCAGCAGGGCTGGGAATTTCCCCTGCCTGAAATCCTGGAGACCCAGGGTGTGTGTGTGTATAGCGCAGCCACAGCTGGAGGGCCACACAGGTGTGTGTCTGTCTCTCCACCCCCAGCCCTGACCTAGCAGAGAGCCTCCCTCTCTCTGGCAATGTCACTAGCCTTGCATCCAGAGACCAAGCAAGGGCTGCCCTTTAAGAGCTGTGAAGGACTTGGCCATGCCAAGGGTGGTGGGCATTTAGCCCCTAAGCAAAAAAAAAAAAAAAAGTGTTTTCTGCATCCTGTGATTCTGAGCTGCCTCCTAATCAGCCCCTTTGTTCTTCGCTTTGTTTTGAGCTGTTTGTTCGCTTTTTAATTCCAGCCTCACCCCCCCAACCACCACCCTGTTTCTTTTTTGACACTATTTTTACCCGCTGCCAATTTGCTAATTTGCAATGACATCACCACCACCAACTGTTCAGCTGTAAACATCAGAAGTGTGTGTCTGTGGGGTGGGGGTGCTTAAGGCCAGCTGAACCAGAGACCCCCCTTCTGCCGAGGCTTTGGCTTTGAGAAGGCAGAGGCTTCCCGGGGCTGATTTTTGTTACTGTAGGACCTTGGAAGGAGTCAGGGGGAGAGAAAGAAGGCAAAAGCGGCAGTAGCAGCCCCTTCCCCTCCTGCGCAATTTGCTGAAGTGCTTCTACACGTCTTCACACAAAGGCTTCTCTTAGGAGGGCACCAAGCAAGGGCAAGCAGCCCAGATCCTTCCACAGTGTCCCCGACCCCCTTAGCTGAGAGCAAACACTCCTCTCTGCTACTCCTGCTCATAGCTTTTCCGCAGGACCCCAGACTCTATATATATCTTGATTTGAAATGTGGTTGACTTCTGCAAGAGCAAGGAGGCTGAGAAGCCCCTTCCTGAATCAGAAGCAACATCTAGTCCAAGCCCCCACATCTAAATCACAACGAAGGCATCCAGGACAGATGGCCCTCCGCTTAAAAACCTCCAGCGAAGGAGAGTCCACATGCTCTGGCCCATTCCTCTAGGCTTGGCCCAATCCAGAAGCGTAACAAGCCCGGTGCTGAGAGCCCGTCTGAGTGTGCCATGCGCCCTTGGAGTTGTGTCCAGATGTGCACGGCCAACCTCAACCTGCGAGAAGGTGCTTTGTGGTGCAGCTTGGAGGCGAGGTCCCACCATGCCAAACTGAAGGCAGGCAGGGGGGTGCAGTGGTTGTAGGGACGGGAGCCTGTCTCTCTCGAATTGGGGCCATTGCATGTCTCTCTCCTGCCGCTGACCCCTTGCCTTGCTCCAGAGGAGCCCTCCCCTCCCCACCTCGCTCCCCCTTTCCGCCAGCTCTCTGGACTTCTGAACAGTCATTGCACACCAACACGCACCGAGGGAGTTTTGTGCCAGGAATGCATCTGGTTGGGCAGGATCGACCCACTGCGGCCGAGATCCTGACCCAGGGAATGGGGGGGGGGGGATTGAAGGCAAGGCTCAGGCTGTGTGTGGTGGGTAGAGAGGCAGCGGGATTGCCGGGGGGTGGGGTGGGAAGGGGGAGACCGAAACAAGATGCCTTGTAAGAAACACAGACCTAGCCCACCTGTTGATACATAACACAAAAGAACACAACACTACCTGCAAGGGGGAAGGGCAGAAGCAGGTGGTCTCGCTTTAAGGTTGGGGGGGGGCAGGGAGAAAAGAGGAGGAAATACTACCTGGCCAACAACACCAGGATGCACAGCGCAGTTTTTCAGCGTTAATTAAATAATATATATATATATATATTTCCTTTTGCAGTCTGATGCAAGTTCCACTGTTTGGGTGGGTCTCTTTTTTAAAAAAACAACAACAACTGAGAAGTGTTTTCCTCCCCCCACCCCAGAACAGGTGCAGTTAGTTTAATGGCAATATATGTGCAATGGAAGCTGCAGCAGAGAGACGAACGCAGCAGCCAGGATCACAGCTTTGGGTGCCCAGAAACAGTCACGTGGCCCCCCCTTCCCTTCCTCCTCCTCCTCTACACCCCCAGCAGCCATGTGAGGCAGGGAGACTGTCTTAATCTGGCTCCATCTGGAAACAAACTGTGTGGGGAGACAGAGAGAAGCAGACAAATCCCACATTCCTCCTTGCTGCATGTGGATTACTGTTTACCCCCCATTTGTTCCTTAAACATTTTAGCCTGCTTACACACACACACACACACACACACACACACACACACACGGCAGCTGATCAGCACCCAAGGGGGCTGCATGTGCTGCAGGGGGAGGCAACACGTATTTCTCTGTAAGCAGAAATGTGGCCCCTCAGGACTTCCCTGATTTATTTAAGACACGGGTGTCTCGATGATCGTATGCAGGGATGCAGGATGAGTGCATGCAAGCAGTGTCACCGGCTCTCTTGGGTCTGGGCAGGTGGGGAGGCTGCTGGTAGCCTTGGTTGCTGCAGAGGTGCCCCTGTTGCAACCTGGGAGCATCAAGAGGCCTGCCCTCCATATCAGGCTGTCTCCTGGGCAGGTGGAGGGCCAACAGGCAGGCAGGCAATTCCACAGGGAAAGCCTCAAGGGTCCCACCATCCCCATGGGGAAGAGGAGACCTCCAGGCCCCCACCCAACCTACCAGTCCCCCCCCCCCATCTATGACAATGCAGCCACTGAGCAGAACAGCAAGGCGGTCCACGAGCTGAGGAGTAGAAATCATGGCAAAGAAAAAGACGTGGCGGTTAAGGGTTGGCCCCCTGTGGAAATGGCCCTCCGCTCAAGGCGAGCCAGCAGGCAGGGGGTGCGGGGGGTGGACTGAATCGGGGCAGAAGTGGCACCAAGTCAGTCCCCTGAGGAAGGAGGAGGAGGAGGAAGGGGTCAATGTCTCTGGCGACAAGGGAGGAAGAGGCACCCACGGAGCAAGTTGAAGGAGAGGTGGCGGCAGCGGCACAACCAACACCGAGGAAAGGCACAAAGTCAAGGGGGGGCAGGCAAGGAGGCTGGGGGGGGCTGGTGTGTGTGTCCCCCCCCCCCCCAGCTTGCCTCCTGGTGAAAGGCCTGCTCTCCCACCCCAGGGTTAGCACAGACTGGCAGGGAAGGAGCAGACCCCCGAATTGAACCCGGCTCTCTCCACACAAACTTTTGTTCTCTCTCTCAAGCTGTACCCCCCCAACTCCTGTCTTCTGCTTGTCCCCCTCCCTGCTCAGCAGGTACTTAGCACCCCTGCCCTGGGACTCCAGCACCCTAGCCCTCCGCCTCAGATAACACCCTGGGAGAAAATTTAAATGCCCTCCCTCCCCAGCTCGCCTTTGCAACCAGCTATCCCCCCCCCCCCAAGAAAACCCTTTTAGGATGTCTGGCTCAGCCGAAATAAGCCTTGGCAGTTTGCGTGGCTGAAGGGGAGTGTGGCTGCCGTGGCCTGAGATGCGCAAATCTCCAGTGCGCCGCTCGTTCTGTGTCTGCATTGAGCCGGGATGTCAGCAAAATCTTTAACTGCAGTACTTGGCTGACTTTGGAGGGGTCAAGAGTGGTAGCGAGGCCTCACAGGCGACTGGCAGGGTGTATAGCCGGGGTGACAATTCTGGAGGGAGGAGCTTCAGGGCCCGGTTCTGTGGCCCTAGGGGCCCCCCAGCTCATCTAAGCAACTAGGGGCCCCCTCAGGCTTTCCCGCTACAGCCCCATAAGCAAAGCTGCTAGGACTTCTTCCTAACCCTTCTCCATCTCGTTCCCTTCCCCTCCTTGCTTGCTGAACTTGCCCCTCGTTGCCCAGTCCTTTCTAACCCCCCCCCCCATCTCTCCCCTGCAAACTGATGCCTCAATGCCAGCTCCTGGCACTGGTTCTGCACTGGGGGGCTCCCAGTGGCTTCTTAAAACCAAAACACCCACCCACCTGATCTCATCTCCCCCTATCCAACTTCCTCTGCCCATCCTCACCTCTTCCTTAACAACAACAAGGACAAGAACAACAACAGGCCAAGGCTCTTGATTTTGTTGGGGTGTTAAACTTGGGGGGGGTCTGCCCCTTCCCGGTGGGTGGGTGCGTGGAAGGGTGGGAGTGGCAATTGGGGAGAGGTGGGCTCCATGTTTGCATAGCAACAGTCCTCCAGCCCCCTGGCCGCCCCCCACCCGTCCCAGCAGCCCTCCCGAGGGTTCATCCACACCAGTCAGGGGCAAGGGGGGGATATGTGTGTGGGGAGGAGGGGTTGGGGAGGGGGGGTTGGAATTAAGACTCCATTAGTGGCCAAGGCTGCTCCCCACCCCAGTCCCACAAGACAGGCGGACAGTCACAGAGAAAGGGCAGAATGTAGCCAGAAGGGGCAGCTGGAACCGTCAGGGCACAGTGGAGCAGGGGGGGGGGGTTGGTGGGGGGGGTCATCCTCCTCCCAGCTGCTCCCTTCCTCCCCCTCCCCCCCACTTTAAGCTTTTTTGGGTGGCGGAGCCAGTTTGATTATCTCTTCTTCGGAGGGCTGCCGGATGATGTCTGTGGGGAGAAAAAGAAGGGAGACAACATGAGAACGACTTGGGAATCACCTGGTGGGATTGTCTGAGTCCACCTAATCCTCCTTTAAAGAGATCTGAGTTGGTGGCCAGAAACACATCTTGTGGCAGAGAGTTCCACAAGCTTGTGAGGACCAGTGTGAAGAAACTGCGGCCTGAATCTGAAGGTCTCCAAGTGATATTTAACAAACTGAAAACCTAAATGCAGTCCCTATAAAGATGGAACCAGTGGAGAGCTTAGGGTCCGAGGGGCCCCACATGCAGCCCTCTGGGGGGGGGGGCGTTTGTTCACTTAAATACACGTGACTATTAACAGAATGGCTTATCTTTTTTATTATTATTAAACTCAATGTTTCAAAGGTATCCTCTCAGCTAACTATGTATACTAGCAACTGGGAGCCACTCAGCCTCGCAGAACACTGTTTCTGGGCTGCGTATAAATCTGCCTCAGAACAGAGCAGAGCAAACCCAAACTATCGCTTCCCCGCCCATCCTCTTCCTGAAAACAATGCAACATGATAGAAACGTGAAAGGGACAGGTCCACGACCTGCTTTTGCCTAGCTGCCCATCTTCAACCTCAGAATAGAAAAACTACACCCTTGAAAGGTTTCCCACACAACCAACCATTTATCTCCCCCACGGCTGCATCTTGCCCCTGGTGAGCCAGGGAGGTTTGGGGATGAAGCTGTTGGTGGACTGGACAAAAGAGTCCTCTGTCCACCACCCCTCGCCCTTGGGTGGATGTGCAGCACGTCCCTGCTCTTCAGGCTGGAGATTTGAAGCTGGGTTTCTCCAGCTGTTCAAGGTGGGTCTGAAAAAGGGAGGGAGACCAAGTTCTCCCCTCAAGGTTGGATGGGAAAGGTGAGTCTTCCTGCTTCCCCAAAACCGGCCTGCTGAGCCTCTTGAGCAGCTGCACCCCACCGAGAGAGGCTGGGAGAAAGATGGACAACCCACCAGCCAGAGACATGGACCATCCAGCCCCAGCCCCAGGGTCTCCATGCAGGAAGAAGGGGTGAGGTGAGAGCAGGGGCAGCTGCTGGGGTTTTGGGGAAGGGGGTGGCTGAGGACATGTGGGTGCTGAGCAGGGAGCCCCCGACCTTTGTATTTCTTGGCACTGGGGATACGGGTCAGCTTGGTGTCCACTTCATCCTCCTCAGAGATCTTCAGCACTTGGGTGCGGTACTCCACCACCATGGTGAGCAAGTCTGGGCGGCGGGAGATCTCAAAGATGTGCTCGATGTAGGAGAGGTTGTCTGCGCAGGAATAATAATAATATTATAATAATTTATTATTTATACCCCACCCATCTGGCTGAGTTTCCCCAGCCACTCTGGGCAGCTCCCAATCAAGAGTTAAAAACAATACAGCATTAAATATTAAAAACTTCCCTAAACAGGGCCGCCTTCCGATGTCTTTTAAAGATAAGATAGCTGCTTATTTTTTGACATCTGATGGGAGGGCGTTCCACAGGGCGGGTGCCACCACCAAGAAGGCCCTCTGCCTGGTTCCCTGTAACCTCACTTCTCGCAGGGAGGGAACCGCCAGAAGACCCTCGGGAGAGGGACCCTGGTGTCCGGGGTGGAGGCGCTCCTTCAGGTATCCTGGACCGAGGCCGTTTAGGGCTTTCAAGGTCAGCACCAACGCTTTGAATTGTGCTCGGAAACGTACTAGGAGCCAATGTAGGTCTTTCAAGACCAGTGTTATGTGGTCTCGGCAGCTGCTCCCAGTCACCAGTCTAGCTGCTGCATTCTGGATTAATTGCAGTTTCCGGGTCACCTTCAAAGGTAGCCCCACGTAGAGTGCATGGCAGTAGTCCAAGCAGGAATAAGCACAGGGAAGGAGGTCAGCTGTGGGGAAACAGGAAGGCAGCGCCAAGCGCCCTGCCCATTGAATCGGCTGCATTGTGCCTGCCTTGCCCCTCCCGCAAAGATGAAAGGGCTTGGGTTGCCCTGCCTCTTGCATCCCTCCAGGATTTCAATGCAGACAATCAGCGCAGGGACTTCTCTCTTTCTCCTTCTCCCCCCCCGCCCCCCCCGGCCGCCCCCACTTAGGATGGCACCATGTCAAAAGCAGCCCACTGTTTCATGCTAATCGTCACCTGAATCCCACACCTGTTCCATTCTCTACGTGTGAATTTAACTTGACTCTTTGTGTCTGTAACATACCAACTCCCTCGTGTGTGTGTGTGTTGGTGCCGCTTTCCTCAAGGTGTGACTGACGACTGCGAACCTCTCTGGAGGCACGGGGCTGTCTTGCGTGGGCACAGCATGGCAGTGTGAGTCTGTTCACGATGATGCTGGTGCGTGGGCAGAGAGACCAGTGCAGAGGTGTATGTGTGTGTACAGGAGAGAGGAAAGCAACCAACCAACAGCAGGTTGCATTGCCCTGAGAAAACAACTTTATTTTTTTTAAAAGCACAAAATGACATCATCCAGCTCCACAGCACCATCTGTAGCCTTCCTCCACAAGAGCAGCTCAGGGTAGGGCTCAGCCGTGTGTGTGTGTGTGTGTGTGTGTGTGTGTTGGGGGTGTCTCAGCTCAAGAATCTGGAAGGCGGAAGTGGGCAGGATGGGTGCAGGGTGGGGAGACCAGCAACTCTGCAAAAGAGCAGAAGAGAGCTGGGATGCAGGTCTGGTTGTGAAGAGCATTTAATGCGCTAGGGCGATATTTAGATATATTTGGATATTTCTCCTCCTGTGCCCAGAGCAGCTTCTGCTCCTGTTTGTCATCATACTATTTTTGTTGAATGCTGAGGACACAACTTCTCACCCTGGCCTTTGACACCTGAGATGTGCATTTTTAGGGCTCACCCTATTTTTGTGTGATTTCATTCTTCACAGTTACGGTGGTACCTCGGGTTACAAACACCTTAGGTTACAAACACTTTGGGTTTCAGACTCCGCTAACCCGGAAGTAGTACCTCGGGTTAAGAACTTTACCTCAGGATGAGAACAGAAATCGGGCGCCAGCGGCAGTGGGAGCCCCCATTAACTAAAGTGGTACCTCAGGTTAAGAATGGACCTCTGGAACGAATTAAGTTCGTAACCAGGTAAAACCACAAGATTTTAAACTTTTTTATGTTGTTATAAGTAGTTGTATTCTATGTGGATTTGTCCAATCCTCTTTTTATGGCATCCAAATTGGTGGCCACCTTGCTTTCTGCAGTAGTGAATTCCCTTGTTTAACTATGTGCTGTGCGAAAGACTCTCTTTATGTGTCCTGAATATTCCAATTTCCAGCTTCATCCATGAGTTCTAGGGACATGAGAGGGTGTTTCCCCCCCTTGTTGGTGAGTGGTGTGTGTGTGTCTGTGTGTGTGTGTCTGTCTGTGTGTGTGACACCTGGCACAATCTCTTCTAGAGCTGTTCATTCCTACAGCCCCATACGCACACCTCCCAAACACGCACCCATTTTTGCAATGGGTGCCCCACAGTTGCACTGAGCCCCCTGAAAGAGGTGGAGGTTCGGGCTCCTGGTTCTATCGCACAACTCGGCATCCACACCTTCTCCCTGCGCTCATGCCCTGTCAAATGGTGCCGGGCGACAGATATTCATCTCCCTGCCCCAGCCTCCCTCCTGGGGACAGAACAGAAGTGATTGCAGAAGTGCTTTGTTGGCCTGGAAGTGTCAAGCCCTTGGATGAGATCTGAACCCTGAGCGGACCTGCCTTGCCGGTGCCTCTTTGCTGAGTCACTGGTTCTCCCGGGAGCCCAGCCGTCCGTTCCTCTTGCCTGGAGCTGTCACAGCCAGGCAGGCAGGCAGGCAGGCAGGCTGCTCCTCCCCTCTCCCCAACCCTCCTGGAAACCTCAAGCCTGCCAGCTCTGAGTCACTCAACTTGATTCTGCTGCTCTTGCCTTCCTTCCTTTGGAAGGAAAGCAGGGTGAAAGTGGCGGTGAGAGAGGGCTGAGCCGCTTATTGAGATGTAGGCCTGTCTAGGTGCACAGATTCTTCTCCCCTGCCCCTCTTCTCTGTGTTTATTTTAATCCCACGGATTCAGATACAGTGGTACCTCTGGATGAGAACGGGATCCGTTCCGGAGCCCCATTCGCGTCCTGAAGCAAATGCAACCCACGTCCGCGCGTCTGCACGTGCACAGGTCGCAATTCACCACTTCCGCACATGCGCGTGATGTCATTTTGAGTGTCTGCGCATGCGCGAGCAGCAAAACCCAGAAGTAACGCGCTCTGTTACTTCTGGGTCGCCGCAGAGCGCAACCCGAAAATGCTCAACCCGAAGCTACTTCAACCCGAGGTATGACTGTGTAGGCTAGGTGCAGCCGGGGGCACCAACTTGCCCCCCCCCATTGAGGGGGGCCATGTGATTCGTCGCGTGATGCCACCCAGGATGTGTGGGACACGCAGAGGGTGATCTTTGGCCTCACTCATCCCAGCCTCATCTTGGGTTGCCAGGCAGAGGCTGGGGCCAGCAAAGGCAAAGATCACATCCCAGCACCCCAGCACCCCAGCACCCCAGCCTCAGCTCCGAGGCCCCCATCCTGAGTGATAGGCTGGCGCAGAAGGGGCCTGGGGCTGAGCACACGCTCTTCCTCTCCTGCTCCTCCTCATCTCCTTCTCCTAAGAAGAGCCTGCTGGATCAGGCCCAGAGCCCATCTAGTCCAGCATCCAACCAGATGCCCCCATGGGAAGTCCACAAGCAGGATTCGAACACAGTTTCCAGCAACTGGCCTTCAGAAGCAGCGCTGCCTCCTTCCATGGGGCAGAGCAGGGCCATCTCAAAGGCCAGTGGTCCTGCTCACCTTTGTCCAGTTTCTTGTGCTTTTCCAGGAAGCTGAACCAGTCCTTGCTGGTGGTGATCTCCTCGTTCTTCTCGCTGGGGATGTCCTCCTTGCAGGCCGACTTCAGCTGGTCCAGGTCTTCGTTGGTGATGTTCTCAGCCAGCTCCTCCAGAAGGCTGCTGTATTCTGCCATCTCTGCAAGGGGTGAGGAAGGGGGAACAGGGCGAGTTATAGAAAGGGGTAGGCAAGACATCACGCCTGCAGGATCTGTCCACTAGGACCCTGATATCTACCAGCTGGAGCCGGGTGCAAATCACACACACATTGAATGAAAGGACCCTGAGCCTAGGAGTTGGTTTGGACTGCCAAAGTGAAAAGAGCTTGCAACCCTTCGGCATTAAAAAATAAATTTAAAATCCACTCATGGTTACCCAGCTTTTCTTCAGTTTTGCAGCATTTGGGGAGGGAGGTCAGAGGTCAACTGGGAGTCAGAAACCCTTGCTGACTTTGTGCAAATCACCCAGAGACCCACCAGCAGATCCCTATCTACCTTCTGCACATCCCTGAATTAAAGATCCAGATGCAGCTGTTTATTATTATCGTTATTTCATTTAGATCCCATCTTTCCTCCAAGAAGCTGGAGGTGGCATACATGGTTCTCCCCTTTCCTATTTCAACCTCATGACAATCCTGTGAGGTAGTGAGCTTTGTTACGGAGTGGGGATTTGAACCCTGATCCTTCTCTGGTCCCTAGTTCAAAACTTGAGGGCCCTGGAATGGCCAGTGATGAATTCCTGTGCTCCACCTTGGAATCTGGCTTTCTGTCATCAAATACTGTGTTTTTGTTCTTCTTTCCTAGCGTACCTGGAAACCAGGTACGGTTCTTCTTTGTTCTACTTTGTGTGGCAATTGTTGCAGCTGGCTTAGCATGTTCTTAACTGACCTTCCTTTGCTAGGGAGGTGGCTTGTTAGCAGCCTCAAGGATTATGCTTTCTCCGTTGGGAGATAGCTGGCAATCGCCCCCTTCCAAGTTTGGGGGAGAAAGGACCTACAAGTGCACAGACCCCAAGCTCAAGGGAGAGAGGGCAGCTGCATGGGTGGGTGAAGAAACAGGAAATTGGAACAGGCAAGATGCATGACCCTGGAGTGGGGTGGGGGGGGGGGGGAGTTGGAAGCATCTTGGAGTGGGTGAGGTTCAGGGGTCTCTGCCCTGTATGGGAATGCCTGACGTTTGCCTCCCATTCAACATTATGCTTCTGCATTTGTAAATAAATCAAGCACAGTGGTCCCTTGGTTCTCAAACTTAATCCGTTCCGGAAGTCCGTTCCAAAACCAAAGCGTTCCAAAACCAGGGTGCGCCTTCCCATAGAAAGTAATGCAAAATGCATTAATCCATTCCAGACTTTTAAAAACAACCCCTAACACAGCAATTTAACATGAATTTTACTATCGAACGAGACCCTTGATCCATAAAATGAAAGCAATCAACAATGTACTGCAGTCACACAATCAATCAATCAATCAATCAATCAGTAGCTGAACTGGGTTTCACATAGTCACAAAAACAAACAAAATGAGCCGCAAAACCAAAAACACAAAATAAATAGCGAAACCAGACAGACTTCAGTGTAACACTCAAAACTGAAGTGTGGCACTCAAATCGGAAGCGTAACACTCAAAACAGAGCACGTTTGGCTTCCGAAAAAGGTTTGCAAACTGGAACACTGACTTCTGGATTTGCACTGTTTGGGTTCCAAGCTGTTTGAGTCCCAAGGGACCAGTGTGTTGCAGAATGCTGAGGACACACCATGCACACTGCAGAGCTCATGTGAAGTATCCTGGGAACTGGGGCTTGCAAGGAGGCTCTGAAGTGTACCTCTGCAAGAAGCTGTACACTAGTTTGACAGGTATTGTTGTAGGATGTTCCTGATAGGGATGACACTATGTACTGGATTCTCAGAAACCTTTTGCCTCCTCTCCGGGGTGGGGAAGGGTGGAGAGTCATCCATCCCTTCTCCAAACTGACCCTGCCTGGAATTGGTGAATTTTACTTTCTCTGATAAAATTCCTCCTCCTCTTTAGCCTTTCTAAGGGACCGTCCATACTTCCCCTTATTCCGTGCCTCAAAAGCACAGGGCCCAGATGTTTTCCACATGTCACAGGCCCCAACAATTTCTCATGGAAAACCCACTAAGGTAAAGGTAAAGGGACCCCTGACCATTAGGTCCAGTCGTGAACGACTCTGGGGTTGCGGCGCTCATCTCGCTTTATTGGCCGAGGGAGCCGGCATACAGCTTCCGGGTCATGTGGCCAGCATGACTAAGCCGCTTCTGGCGAACCAGAGCAGCGCACGGAAACGCCGTTTACCTTCCTGCCGGAGCGGTACCTATTTATCTACTTGCACTTGCTTTTGAACTGCTAGGTTGGCAGGAGCAGGGACCGAGGAATGGGAGCTCACCCCATCGCGGGGATTTGAACCGCTGACCTTTTGATCAGCAAGTCCTAGGCTCAGTGGTTTAACCCACAGCGCCACCTGCGTCCTATTTAGTGCTAAATCAGAGCAAGCATCAATCAGGAGAAAACCCAATCAAAGTTTGCTTCAATTCAGCAGTAAGGAGTGGGTTTTCCCTGTGGAAAGCAGCAGGGCAAACAAAAATCTAGATGAGCCCTAAGTCTTTGCTGAGGTCAGTTTAAGGTTGGCAGGCAACCCAAGACACTCTCCAGCGCACAGTCTTTCCCTCTGGCTGTTTCTCACCCGAAGGAGACCAAACTCAGGTTGTTCTGCCCTGGAACATCTCTCCCCCTCTCCGTTGCTGCTCAGTCGAGTGTAGAGCACACAACAAATATCATTAAACTGATGCTGATCCTCCCAGTGGAACTATTTGGTCAGGCAGAATACCGGCTGCCTGGTTTTTTGTTTTTGTTTCAGATTGATTTGCTGCTGATCTGTGAAGCTGCAGCCATTCTGAAAAGTCCTGCCATTTATGAGGCGTCCTGATGCAAGCATGTACTTTTCAGTGTGGTGCGGAAGAGAGACTCCCGTTCTGGAACGGTGGTTTATGGGAGACTGGAATGTGCAACCACCAGGCCCCATAATCAACACCCACACCCTGCATGCATGTGCTCTTGGTTCTCTGTTACAGGTAAAACAAGAACATCTGCTTTCCTTTGACAAACACTGGAAAGAACTGGGAGAGTTTCTAAGATAACAGAACCAAAAAGCTCCCCACTCCCCACAAACTCACAACCTGAAGACAATTCATAAAAACAGCACAAACGTTTTTTCAACAGGGTTTTGTTATGGACTGCGATTTGGGCTGGCCCAAGACATTTTTTTCCTGCTGGCGGCAAAGGTTCCCCCCTTCAGCAGCTAACTAGACTGACCACTGCCTCTTGCTTCAACGTTTATGACTGGACAGCACTCTCCCCACTGCACCTCAGAGGGCGAAAGGCTGGCTCTGGGGGCACAAGCAGCTCTATTTGCCAACACATCACTGCTTTCCATCAACATCTGCCGCCAGAGGCAGCCACCTCACTCAACCTCCTAATGGAAGGGCTGGCTCTGGTGGCTGCTTTTCTTTTAAAAAAGGACAGCCCTTGGCATGTGTTGTAATTTTATTCTGCATTAAACACTCAAGCCACAGCACAGAGCTTTAGAAGGCTTGGTGGGACATCAAGGCCTTGGACTTTGCCCTCCTAGCTAGAGAAAAGCACTTCTGCATCTGTATGAAAGACAAAATACCTCTCCCCCTCCCTATTTGGAGCTTGTTTGCATAGATGGCTTGGTAATGGAGATTAGTGTGTGTGTGTTTTCTCCTCATTTAAAAAATGAGGGCACTGGAAAATATAATTCCCAGACAGAGACATCACCCAGCTTTGCAGGGCTTTCTAGAATCCCTGACAGTTCAGGGACAATGAGCAATTTGGCCTTGGATTTGGAGAGAGGGGCTCATCTGTGGATAATGAGAACTTATTTCGAAAAGAGGAGGGGGCCGGGAGGTATTATTGCAGCAACAGCTGGGTCTCTGCTAGGGATCTCCAGCCACGGGCCTCAGGGTGGAGGGAACTGTGGAGGGAGCAGGGAGAGGGAGCGAAAGAAACTGCTACCCTTCAAATGCCTTTAGTGCCACAAATGTCGAGCATCTCAGCAGGTACTGTGAAGTGTTTACTAGCTGCATTCAAACAGGAGAACTCTGTGGTCCACCCAAGCATCACCTCTCCCTGCCCTGACTCATTAGCATATGCATTCCTAATTTCATCAGTGCTTCCTGCCACTGCTCCCCCCCCCCCCCCGAAAAAACCAACACACCCAAAGAGTGCTCACGAATTCTGAAGGGAAAACTAAACCACTTTGCCCAAACCTGATTCTGATTTGGGAGCCTTCGACAGAAACCAGAGGAGTAGTCTGGGACAAGCTGAATGGTCCAGGAGTCAAAGGTCAGCTGGAGGAACTGCAGGGGGGAAGTTACAGGTAGGTAGCCGTGTTGGTCTGCCGTAGTCAAAACACAATAAAAAATTTCCTTCCAGTAGCACCTTAGAGACCAATTAAGTTTGTCCATGGTATGAGCTTTCGTGTGCAGGCACACTTCTTCACATACACTATATAAGGGTCTGGTGACTTCTGTTTCAGTGCATCTGAGGAACTTTGCTGGTCTCTAAGGTGCTACTGGAAGGATTTTTTTTATTTTGTAGGGTGGAATTTACAGTCGTACCTCGGAAGTCGAACGGAATCCGTTCCGGAAGTCCGTTAGACTTCCAAAGCGTTCGAAAACCAAAGCGCGGTTTCTGACAGCCAATCGGAACTAGTTTTCAAACTGGAACACTCATTTCTGCGTTTGCGGAATTTGGGAGCCAAAACATTCGAGAACTCATCTGTTTGAAAACCAAGTTACTACTGTAAATGGTTTTGGTTCCTCCACTCACTACCATGAGAGAAGAAAACATAGATTTTTTAGCATTCAGGACTGTCATTACTATTTCCAGCAGGCTTTGCTTGTTCTCTCTCTCTCTCTGGGTGTTGTAACGTTGCTGGTACAGGAGGAACTAATTGATTTGTTACTCTATACAGGACAAATGAGAAGAATGGATTGGAACCACACCTTCCACTCCCCCAGCCCACCCCCCTGCCGCCTCAGTCCAGTTTGTTGTTTGCTATCTCATTGCTGTTGCTTCTTAATTCTGCTCAAATCCAGT